GAGTAATTATTATTTATTATAAGTAATAATTAAATGTATATATGTGGTATTGTAAATCAATTTTTAATTTTTCATAAGACATGAAAAACAGTTTTTTTATTCAAATTTCATAAATAAACAATTTATAAAGAACTATTTGAAATAAAAAAATTTTAAATAAAAATTTATTTTAGAATTTAGCATTCCAAGACAAAAAAAACCTGTTTTTATTTTTAAACTGATTAGACTGGATATCAGGAATTTTTTTTTATTTAAGAAAATAAAAGAATACTAAAAATTACAATTGTTAATAACTTTGACAAAAATATATTTTAATAATTAATATATTAATTAATTAATATTTTTAAATTTCAGAATTTTTTTTTATCTCACCAGGATGGAGTAAAAAAAAAATTTACGAATGAAAATTATTTTTTTTTTAATTTTAAGCGACTAATAATTGAAGAAATTCTGACCAATTTTAATTTATAAATTTTTAAAAAAAATTAGGAGCATTAAAAAAGAAATCTAAAATTTTGAAAAATTTATATCTCGCGTATAACTTGATAAAAAAAATTTGAAAAAATTATATAATTATTTTTCATCGAGGAGAAAGAGAAGAAAAAATTTTTTGGCGAAAAGAAAAATGTTAAAGTCGATTGAGATGGCGTGAACTTCCCCCTTTTTTATTTTTAAAATAATTAAATATATCTACTCTCTTTGGGAAAACTCGTAAATCGATATATATATATATATATATATATATATATATATATATGCGAGCGCTTTTGATAAAAGCTTTCCGGAACTTAACTAATCTTCGTAAGTTAATGAAACTTTTTGTTTGGTCAAGCAAGTTTGAACAAGGACTTTGATTAGTTTGCTTCATACTCTTGCAATCAGCAACGACGTTAGTTGAAGAAGAGTCGGTAAAAACACAAGTTCGTAGGAAGAGATAATCTTGGAAGAGAAACTCCCCGCGTTCACTCAAGTTATGACACAATATTTGTAATGAGTTTGAGGAGTTGAATTCTTTTTTGCATCTTAAGCAAGAGTTAATATATTATAAGAGAGCTTAATTTTATGAAAATTAAATGTCAATTTCAATTATTATTATTAATTAAATGTAATTATTTCACTTTTTACTATCTACTGGCCTCGAATCGACTTTAAGGCACAAAAAAAGTCATTTTTTAGTCGATTTATATTCCAAAAAAAAGTCGAAAAAGTTTATTTTTTTTTATGTCAACAAAATTTAATTGGTTAATAAATATTTTATTCAGTTTTTCAATGATTAGATTAGTCTTTAGATTCATTTCTAAGCAGTTAAGGGTTCAATCATAGGCACAACAATAAATCTTCAACGCGCCGGCGTGTGTTATGCTCTCACTTGGATTCAATTTTTAAAAGAGATTCGATGTTTAAATATTTTAAAGATATAATAAAAATCTCCTTGAAAAGTTTTTTGAACTTAAAAATATTCTAACAGTTTTATTTATTTGATTCTAGATTTTTTATTGAATTTTAAATTGAATATTCTAATAAAATTCATATAAATATATTTCTGTTAGAATTATAAATCAATAATAATGATAAATAGTTAGTTTATTAAGAATTACAAGAAATATGAATGTTTTGATTAATAAATATAATAATTTATCAAAAAGATTTTAGTTATTGCATTAAGTTGAAAATAACACGATCCACACTGCTTTGCTCACATTATAGTCCGTTCAGGACTCAGTACTAGACTCGAGTAGAACTCATTCCAGAAGCGCCTACCAATATGTTCATCTGCTTTGCACCGTCTATAAGCAAGCATATGAACCTTAATACGTAAAGTCTATTAACGTGTTCTTCCCCCTTTATCATTCATTTTTAAATTTTTCATCGTGGAGTGGGAAAAGTAGACTACTTTAGGAATGAGACTTAAATTACTAGTATTTAAGCCTTATATTTCAAATCGAATTTCCCTCCGTGAATATTTCAGAATCGAACTAATTGTAAAACAAATTATCAAAATTTTATTTAAGTAGGACAAATTTCTAAAAAAATTCTTAAAGTTCCATTTTTATAATTTTTTCAAGTCTGATTTAAGCAATTTATTCGAATTAAAAATTGTCATAGATTTCAATTTAGGTCAAAAAATTTTCAGGCAATACTTAATCAAGTTTTACAGATTTTTAAATAAATTTTTTTTTTAAATAATAATTTTGGAAGAGTTAAAATTGGCATTTTTAAAAATAATTGAATTTCAAAAGATTTTGTTAAGTTTCAGACAATAATTAAATTTTACAGAACTAAAAATAATTTATCAAATAATTTTAGATATTTTTTAAAAGTAATTGATTTTCAAAGATTTACAATTTTGATTTTTGAAATTAATTTATTGAACTTCTAGTGATTTTTAATTTGAAATTTTTTATGATTTCACCAAAAAATTTATTAGAAATAGTAGACAAAAATACAATAATTTGAAAACTTTTTAAGTGAAAAATAGTTTCAGATAGTTGAATTTTCGAAGAATAATATAAAAAACGTAAGAAATAATTAAATTTCAGGAGAGTTATAATTGAAATTATTAATTTTTAAAAGATTTTAAATGGAAAATTTTAGAAATAATTAAATTTTAGAAGCTTTTAAATTGAAATTTTTGAAAATAATTGAATTTCAAAAGATTGTGTTAAATTTCAGATAATAATTATAATAAGAGAAATTTTTAGTGTTTTCTGTTGATGAATTGAATTTTCAAAGAAAATTATAAAAACCATTAAAAATAATTGAAAATTTTTGCAAATAATTAAATTTCAAGTGATTTTGAATTAAACATTCTTTGTAATTTTATTTGCTAATTTTTTTTAAAATTATAAATAATTGTTAAATTTCATAAAAAATTTCATTGAAAAATAGTTTAAGATAATTGAATTTATAAAGAATTTCATTAAAATTATACGAAGCTGAAGTACGCAACGTTTATGAAAAAAAAAAAAAAAAAAAAAAAAAATTAAAAAAAAAATATATAAAAAATATATAAAAAAAAAAATAATTTTTAAAAATGAAAAATTCTATAATTTTTTGCCTAAAAAAATATGTTTTGTATTTTTCATTAATCAACAAATTATAAAAAAATATTTTTTTAGACTGAAAATTATAGAATTTTTCATTTTTAAAAATCGTTTATTATTAAATGTTGCGTACTTCAGCTTTTTAATTATTAAAATTAATTAATTTAGTGAAGAATTTTAGTTGAAAATTTGTTAAATAAAATTGTAATAAACAAGATCTAAAGAAGATCTGCATTGTATATTAAAAAAACGTATTTTGTTAAAAAAAATTTTTTTTTAAATGTAAAAAAAGTCGAAATAGTCACATTTTATTTAAATAAGTCGAAAAAAGTCGTATATTTGAAAAAAAGTCGGAAAAATTCGTATTATCCGAGGCCTGCATTTTTTTCGATTTATTTATTTTATTCATTATTATCTCTATTATTTTTATAAAATCACATTTTTCTAATTGGAAAAAAAAATGCAAAAACAAATGGTTATTAAATACAGAAACCAATAAATTTTAATGTTATCAAACAAAAAATCGATGATTTCTGTATATTTAAAAATTATTTTTTTTCAAGTAAGCAATAATTAAGGAATACAATTTTCTAATAAATAACTAAGAAATAGGCTGAATGAAATTCGTATTCGAAATTTTCACCATTGTGTGTTATGTATATATATATATATAAAACAAGGGAGTGGAGAAACTGAAAGCTCGTATTTGTGAAAAGTTGGGGCAGTGATAAAATCAAGGACGTTGGTGCTCTAATTAAAATCCACCACGATCCGCTTTCCGTCTGTCAGCAGATAACTATTTCAAGAGGATTAAACAGTTGATCCGGGAATTATTACTAAAATGAAGCTTTAAACGTATATGAAAAAAATTGATAAACGATAAAATACTCTCTTTTTACCAGGAAATATTTGCTTCCGAACTTTATAAGCAACGTTATAAATTTAATTTTAAAAATCTTATATAATAAAAATATATATAATATTTTTATTGTAAAATAAAAAAAAAGAGGAATTAAATAAAATTTATTGATGAAAATTACAATTTTATTTTAAAATAGCTTTCCAAAGAGAGCAAATTATTATTAAAATTCGACTAATTATATAAAAAAGAAAAAACTCAATTATATCGAAATGAAGAAAATTTGATAAAATACATTATAATTAAAATATTATTAATGACAAAAACAAAAAAAAAGATAGATTTTTTCTTAGGTGTGAAAAAATGTATGGCAAACTTTGCATTTTCTAAAAAAATTCCCTCAAAGTGTAAAAATTTTAATGGGTTCTTGAAATTATTTTTTTTGTGTGTTTAATCACATTTGAATTAATTAACCATGATATAAATACAATAGTGTTATTCAAATTGCATACCTTTGTCGCGTCTTTGCTGTCAATTATTTTGAGGTTATGCGTTGTCCGCGAGTTTGATGAAAAGAATGTCTTTTACATATGTATAGCTCTCAATGTATATATTACTTATTGCAGAATTCACTTTACTAAAAACAAATAATAATTTACGTTGATTAGAAACTTGCAAATTTAATTTAAAATACTAAAACACAAATATGTAACAGGTAGAAGTGAGTCAGGTAGAAGTCACATAATGAGACAATCACTGGCATAATGATTGCTACACATTCGTTTTCAGAAAAGAAACATTTTTAACTTTATCTTTCAACGATTTAACTATATATGTAAAATTTCATACCTCTATTTACTTGTAGTAATTTTTCCCAATGCAAAAAAACACTTAAATGCGTCAAAACTATCTGCAAACTATATTCATCAAAATGGAGATCGTGGAACTTCTACACGATGGAGCTAGATGGCGCTACTTTGCTACTGTCGTGGTCAGGGCTGAATCGCAACATTAAAAAAAAAAATTTTTTTTGCATTTACAAACCTGATTGGTTGTCCACAATCTGATTAATTGTTATTTGTTAATAACCATTTAAGTTTATTTCGAAAAATGCAAAAAAAAGTATGTAAATGCATCATTCGCATACGCAGTAAAATATTTACTTTAGTTAAACAGAAATCAACTTTTTTTTCTGCTTTTTTTATAATAAATGTGTCATTTTTCCATATTTTTCTCATTTAAATAAGTCAAATAAGTGTTACACAAAAAGAGCTCTTTTTGATTATGTGTTGAAGAGCAATAATCTAAAGGTAATAGTATATTTAAAGGATTCACAAGTTTTTCTAAATATTTAAATAAAAAATTTCCCTATATATCTGTCACATTGTTAAATAAGATATGTGATTTTTTTTAACCATAGTAACTATGTAAGTGCTATGTAAGGTTAAAATTGACCTTTTTTGACACATTCTGCTTTTATTTTTTTTATGTATATTAAGATTGTGTTAACCTCCCTGCTCTCATCTAATTTATATTAATAAATTTTGTGAAAAGATTTTACAGAATATTTTTTTTATTAAAAAGAACAAAAAAAATGAACTCGACTGCTCCTTCGTTTCTGTTTTTTGTGGCAAGAAAACAAATTTCAGATTCTTGACTGTATGCCACTCGCTTCCGACTCCTCCTCATGGTGCTTTGAATGTGACTAATTAGTGACTACACATTCACTATACTGTCGTGTGTAATAAGCAAACAAGTTATAGCACAGAGGTATATAAGTATATTTCACCTGTATATCTCTTTCTAAAAGTCGTTATCATTTTATTTTTCCTACTTTTTCTTTTTTAATCATCAAATATACCTCAGTGAATCATAATAATTCAAAATTTTTATTAACACTTAATTTTAGATATGAAAAAAACAATTAATGAATATTTTTCGCTAAGTTTTTTGTTATTGAAATATATATAAAAAAAATTATTTTTTTTTTAAATAAATAAACTCTTCCACATTGGAATAAGTAAATGATTTTCTTAAATCAATGATACTTTTTGTTAGGGTAGACATTTTTAATTTAATTCTGTAACGTAAATTTTTTTTACATGTTTTAAAAAAAATTTAAATAAAATACATTTTTTTAGTATACAATGCAGATCTTCAAATCTGTTTATTTCAATTATTATTTAAGAAATTTTTAACTAAAATTCTTTACTAAATTAATTATTTTTAATAATTTTAATGAAATTCTTCACAAATTCAATTATCTTCAACTATTTTTCAATTAAAAGTTTTACGAAATTTAATATAATTGCTTATATAATTTTAAAAAAATTAGCAAATAAAATTACCCAAAATTTTTAATTATTTTTAATGATTTTTACAATTTTCTTCGAAAATTCAATTGATCAACAGAAATCACTAAAAATTTCTCTTATTATAATTATTATCTAAAATTGAACACAATCTTTTAATATTCAATTATTTTCAAAAATTTCAATTTAAAAGCTTCTAAAATTTAATTATTACTAAAATTTCCCATTTAAAATTTTTTAAAAATTAATAATTTCAATTATAACTCTCCTGAAATTTAATTATTTTTTACGATTTTTATATTATTCTTCGAAAATTCAACTATCTGAAACTATTTTTCACTTAAAAAGTTTTCAAATTATTGTATTTTTGTCTACTATTTCTAATAAATTTTTTAGTAAATTCATAAAAAATTTCAAATTAAAAATCACTTTAAGTTCAATAAATTAATTTCAAAAATCAAAATAATAAATCTTTGAAAATTCAATTACTCTTAAAAAATATTATCTAAAATTATTTGATAAATTATTTTTAGTTCTGTAAAATTTAATTATTGTCTGAAAATTAAAAAAATCTTTTGTAATTCAATTATTTTTAAAAATGTCAATTTTAACTCTTCCAAAATTATTATTTAAAAAAAAAAATTATTTAAAAATCTGTAAAACTTGATTAAGTATTGTCTGAAATTTTTTTGACCTTCAAAACTGAAAACTATGACAATTTATAATTTGAAAAAATGTCTTAAATCAGACTTGAAAAAATTATAAAAATGGAACTTTAAAAATTTTTTTTAGAAATTTGTCCTACTTAAATAAAATGTTGATAATTTGTCTTACAATTAGTTCGATTCTGAAATATTCGAAAAATAAATTTTCTTGATATTTTTATAGAATTATTCTCATTACAGAATTAATAAAATGAATTTAATATCTAATAACATTTATTATTTATAGTAAAATATTTATTAACCAATTAAATTTTGTTAAAAGAAAAAAAATCGACTTTTAAAATTTTTATTTAATATAAATCGACTAAAACTACTTTTTTTGTGTCTTAAAGTCATTCCAAGGCCTGTAAATGATTAAATTCGCTTGAAACTTGTAACTCAGAGGTTTTTAGGATCACTGCGATTAAGAATTTAAGGTCAGATTCGTAATCAGCGATACTAAAATAAAATATTTCAAATAAATCCGATCTATTTTCAAAAAAAAAAATTTTTACATTTTTTTCAAGTTACTGTATTTATTTTGAAATACATTTACAAAATAAAAAAAAATTTGTCTATTTCAATGAAAATCAACAAACTACTGACAATGCATGCACAATGTTGTTCGATATGAGAGAGAGAGACAGAGACGGTGAGTACACCGAGAGAGGTGCAGCTTTCGGTTCAGCTCGTACGCGAATTAATGCTCACGAAATCGGATTACGCCGTGACCTACAGTAAAGCCTGTCTACTAGCTCTCGAGTATTAGTCCTCTAGCAAGTTACACCCTTACTTTCACGTTTAAAATTTTACTAACAGTTTTCACTTTAAATATATTTGCTTTTTACATAATATAGTCACTATAGAGTATAAATATCTTAAATTTTTTTTTCTTTTCAAAACAAAACTATAAAATCGTAAAATGTCAATGAAAATATTAATTAATTTTACCTAAAATTTGTATTGTAAAATTTTTTCAGAAAATGGTTTTAACAAAAAGCAAATATTAAATCAATCGGACTTCAAATCAATTACATCAACAACAATGGATTGAAACAATGATTTTCATCAAAGAATTCTTTTTCAATACGAACATGAAGCAGTAAAAGGCAAATAAATGATTAGACTATACCTACATGAAACTACAACAAAAATCGTATTTTGCCTTTTTATTATAAAATTATCAAAAAACGGTCTTAACACAAAGCAAGTATTTATTATTATTATTATTATTATTTAGTTTTTAAATAATAATTTTCAGATGACACACTGAAAAAAATTTATTTGTATCAAATAATTATTATTTGAGTCAATTAAATAGTATTTGTTTGAAATACAAAAATTATTGGTTCAAATACAGTTTATTTAATATAAAAAAAAAATTATTTTGTTCAAGTAAATATTTATTTGATAATAGTCAAGTAATCGATTATTTGAGTCAAATACATTTTTTTCAGTGCATCTTTAACATAACATTATTAGAAAAGAAATTATTACTTTTGAATATAATAATAAAATTTCTTGCAATATAAAAGATGGAAAATATTATGTACAAAGTATCAATCCTTCAAGTAAAAGCAAAAAATAAAAAAATAAAAAATGATATAAATTTTAAATTCATAACTATTTTAATCATACAAATGATTACAGGATGTCTAGCGACCTGGAATTCCTTGAAAACCTGTAAAAGTCTTTGAATTTTATTTTTACCTGAAAAACATGGAAAAGTTCTTGATTTTTTTATTGACTTATGGAATTTCCTATTTCGTGTAAGAATTTTTTTTCCAACTGCGTTTGGAAACACGAAATTTGGTAAAATAAAAAATACGTTCTACTTTTTTCAATTCATTTGACTATTTTCGACTTAATTTACTAAAATATTACTTTTTCGACTTTTTTTAAAAACTTTTTTTAAAACAAAATACGACTTTTTTTAGTAAAAAATTTACATGTTTCAAAACTGAATTATTATATAAATATTAACTACAATTCTTCGCAAAATTAATTATGTTCAATAATTTTAATCAAGTTCTTTAAAAATTCTATTATTAAAAATATTTTTCAAATGAAAGTTCTTTTTAAATTCGTTTATTTTCTTATTCAATTAAAATTTAGATTTAAAATCTCCTGAAATTCAATTATTTCTAAAAATTTTAACTTTAAATCGTCAAAAATTTAATTATTTCTAAAATTCTTCGGAAAATTAATTATATTTCTAAAAAATTTAATCAACATTTTCGAAAATTTAATTTTTTAAAAACATTTTTCAATTCAAAATTCTCTAAAATTCAATTATTATTATTATTATTATCAATAGCTTATAAAAACAATCATCAGCAGTTCAAATTTAAAAAAAAATTTATTGAAAAATCTCCAAAAAATTCAATTACTTCTATATATAAATGTTAACCGCAGCTTTTTCAAATTTCAATTATTTTTAATTTTTTTTTTAAATTTATTTTTTTTCAGTAATACTTTAATTGAATTCTTCAAAAATGTAATTATTTAAAACATTTTAAAAGCTTCTAAATTTGACTAATTTATATAAATCAGATTAGAGAATTAATAAAACTTATTTAATTTCTAATAACAATTGTATGATAATAATAATAAAATATTTGTTATTTAATTGTATTTATTATAAATAAAAAATCAACTTTTCCTACTTTTCTTGTAATGTAAATCGATTAAAACTTATTTTTTTCTTCCCCTAAATTCGATTCGAGACGTATTTTCTTATTTTTCATATAGATTTCGAAATTTATACGCGATATGCCATATTAACATTTCAAATTTATAATAGCAGAAAAATTATAATAATGATAAAAATAATAATAATTATAATTTAAAAATGTAATTTTCAATTTTCTGACAAGAATTCTGATCTACCTAAATGTAAACCATAACTAAGTACTTTCGTAAAGTAAAAGAACATTATTGTTTTCAGAAAGAGGATTTCCCAGTGCACAAAAAAAGTAATTCTCTCCTTTTTTCAAGACATTCAATTAAAAAACATTTCTAATTACAAGGATCTGAAGACATATATATAACAGCTCGTTATATACCAGCAGCTCTCTATGAGTTCTTCGTTAACAACTTTTCTCATCGGGAGACTTTATTAATATAAAATTTCCACTATTTTATTATCATCGCCCATCTAGAAAGAAGGATGAAAAAAAGACAGAAATGAAATTGTGTAAAAAAAAAAAACTTTTCCTGTCTACATGTTCGAGAAACTTGTTTTTAACGTATATATCTATATATATATTATATAAGACGCACGAGAACAAGGGAACAATAAAAAAAAAATTTTGAAGGAAAAAGTGAAAAAGAAGTGAAAGAAAATGATGAAAAGCCATATGAAAAATGAATAAAGAGGATAGAGTGAGTCTAAAAGAAAAGGGATGAGAATAGGATTTTAATGAATGCGTCGAAAGAATCCAAGTGCCCTATGATATTCCCTGCATTTATACGTTCTCTAAGGACTCTTTAGAGGAGTATTCTCTCTCGCTCTGTGTAGTAGAGAGAGGATCATTTTATCCGCGCTTCGACTATATATAACAGGACGTTTCCAATAATTATACCGAGTCGAAAATATCAGTGGTAAACTCATCTCTTCAACCCTTTAATAGCGTCCAAAGTACAAAGCATATTGGTTTTTCTATATAGGATATGCCTCATAAAATTGCACACAGAAAAATCTAGGGTTCATTATTTGAGTATTTTATATATATATATATATATATATATATATATTTTAGTCCCACCCCTTAGTATATATTCGCGCGCCAATTCTCTATTTAAATTTTTTTAAAATATTAAATAATTTCATTAAATTTGTATTTAATAATTTTTTTTTATTTAACAGCAGAAACTTATGTATATTTTAATATAAACATAAACCTGCATATTTTAACTTGCATCTTATCTTTTCTAAGAAAAAAAGTCCTTTAATTATGATTACTTTGGTTTAATTTATGAATTTTTGCTAAGAAAAAAAAAAAAAAGTTGCAGATTTTCATCAACTTTTAAAATATGCTAACAAAAATTTTGTTTAAAATTTTTATATAGAAAATAACTATTTTTTATAAGTAGATTAATTTTTTTTTTTAACTTTGGACCCGATTTTTTATTTTTTTTTTTATTTTTACATACCTGGAAATATTAAGAATATTTTGCAAAAAGTTTAAGAGTCGACCTATAATGATCCTTTATGTTTAAATAATTAGTTTAAAAATTTTTTTTTTCTTTTTTCACATTTTTTTTTTATTTTGAAAAATAAAATAATACAAAAGAAGAAATTTATTTAAACAAAAAGAATTATTAGGCCCATCCTAAAACGTTTTGCAAAATATTCTTAGTATTTCCAAGTATGTAAAAATAAAAAAAAATTGTAAATAATCGGGTCCAATGTTTGTAGATATTCGTGATTTTCAATATTCGGGAAATTAACCGGGAATTATCGTCCATAATTATATTTTGTTATTAAGGGTATGTAATTGTTGTGATTTCACATGTAAATATTCTCTGCTGGTTTTCATGCAAAATGTTTTGTAGATTGAGCTGTAATTTTGTGAAGAACTCAAAAATAGTATAAAGAATCGCTATTATGTAACAAAGTATTAATATTCTATCAAAAAGTTTATTTTAAAAAAAACTGCATATTTGAAGAAAATTCAAAATGTCAAAAAAAAATTTTGAGTTCTCCAAAAAATTTTAACTGAATTAATCAAGTATTTTGCAAAAAAAAAAAAACCTGCAGAGAATATTTTCATACGAAATCACAACATTCACATGACCTTAAAATACGTGCCCTAAAATTTTATTTTTGATAATAATTTCAAATTATGTGTAGAATAAGATTCTATAAAGAAAATTTAATTATCTGGTGAAGAACATACTCAAATTTCAATTTTTTAATTATTTAAACAAATTACATGATAGATAATTGAAAAGTAGTTTTAGATTTTTCAAGAACATTAATTTGTAAAGTGTTTCAATTTTTATCGAATTTATGTCGACTAGTTTTTAAGCAAGTTAATTTTTTTTAAACAATGTTAAATTTGTAACCAATGATTTTTTAACGATACTCAATGTTGAAACAAAATCAATTACAAAGGAAAGACTCGAATAAATTTTTAGTTGGTCACCAATACTTTCTTGGGACAAAAATAAAAATAAATAAATAATTAAGGGACAAAAGAATTAAATTGATTAAATAAATTTTTCTTTAATCGTTGAATTAGTCTGAAAAAATACACAAGGCCACCAAGCAAACTATTTTAGAGACTGTCAAATTCGACAATTAAATCAAAATTATTCTTGATTGTCAAATTAGTCTGAAGAGTACACACGGCCACCAGGCTTTTACTCAAAAACTGTTAAATTCAACAATCAAGGGATACTCAAAGCAAAGAAATGATTCAAAATTTAAATTAAATTAAAATAGTCTTCCTTTTACTCGGCCTGCCGCAGTCCCAATTCTTGGTTAACAGTAGAGAGGACGGTTCGGAAAAGCCATATTCGAAAAGATTTTATTTTTAAATTAAATAAACAAAAGGTTAACAAATTTCTTTATTTAAATTTTAAACATTATAAAAAATTTGAGTTTAGACTCGATACAATGCGAGGAAATAATTACTTATTCTTTTTAATTTTGATATTTTTCTTAATTTCTTGTTTCAGTTGAATGTTGGCTCGAAAATACATAAATAAAAAGGGATTACATACATTAATTCTTAATATTAAATTATTATTAAATAAGATTTTTCCATTTCTCGAATCTATAATGTGATTTCGTCTAGTAAATTTTTGATATTGAAATATCTTTTTCGGAAATAATAAACAAAGTTATTTAATATATTGAAAAATAAATAAACCTTTGTGATTTGTAAAATTGTAAATTTTACAACGTCACAAATTATTTTAATTGTTTAGAACTTTTGATAAAATAATTTTTTTTCCAAACTATATGAACACTACACAAACCAACTTTGATTGTCTTATAAAATATTTTTGATTTATTTTAGTCTTTTTGTGTATGAGCCAAATAATAGAAAATTAAAGGTTTAAAATATAACACCCAACTTCACTGAACATAGTTTATTAAATAATAAAATTAAAGAAAATCACTCCACATGATATAATATAATAATAAAATAAAATTCAAACTATATTCACACACACGCATACGTATAAGTAAACAGTCTTTGTCAAAAATGTTGTTTATCGCTCGCACGCTAAACGAGTACTGATCATTTCTAATTAATTTACATATTTATTTTCTTTGATCGATTTCATTCGGAAATTTTCGTCGTCAAATTAGTCACGATTCTCGACATTCTGCCCCCTTTTTGAACAATTATGTTCAATAAATACATTTTTTTTTTTTTTTTTTTTTATCTCTCTATAGGAAGCGGTGATATTTTTTTTACGCCTCTATCTAATTCACCATTTTGGGTCTTTACCTTTACCACACGTATCACACCATCATCTCCTGGATATATTTGAGATACTCTACCCAAACTCCATCTTAACGGCGGCAAATTGTCATCCCTTAAAATAACCAAAGTTCCCTCTTTTATCACTTTTGGTGATCCCGAATGCCATTTTGAGCGAACATTAAGCTCATTTAAATATTCGCGCGACCAACGTTTCCATAAATCGCGTTTCATTTTTTGTAAACATTCCCATCGTGATAATCGATTTACAGGAGTTTGAGTATAGTCCCAAGCAGGAATCGTTGTCAAAGGCTCTCCTATTAAAAAATGACCTGGAGTTAATACGCTTACATCATTAGGGTCCATAGTCATCGGAGTAAGAGGTCGTGAATTTACAATTGCTTCGATTTCACACATATATGTTCCAAGCTCTTCGAATGTCAACAATGTTTCGCCAATTGTTCGCCGTAAATGATGTTTGAGCGACTTCACCGCCGCCTCCCAGATACCGCCAAAATGCGGAGTTCGCGGGGGCGAAAAATACCATTCAATATTCTGATCTGCCAATTTTCGAGATATAATTTTATTATGTTCATCTGTGTTGAGGAGACGGTAAAGATCACTCAACTCATTTCTAGCGCCTACAAAATTAGTACCATTATCCGAATACAATGCTTTAGATTTTCCTCTTCTTGCGAAGAATCGTCGTAAACTTGCTAAAAAACATTCTGTTGATAAGTCGCTTACCAATTCTATATGGATCGCTTTAGTGCTCATACACACAAATACGGCCGCGTACACTTTAATTTTATTTCGATTCCTGTACTTTTTTTCTTTAATATAAAATGGACCGCAGTAATCCATACCTGTATTTTCGAAAACGCGAGTGGCAGTCACGCGCACTGCAGGCAAATTTCCCATTTGATAAGATACTTCTTTAGGCTGAGCTCGAAAACATTTTACGCATTTATTTATGACCTTGCGCACTGCCAACCTACCATCGATTGGCCAAAATTTCATTCTCAATGCATACAGTGTTGCATTATTGCCAGCATGCATATTTTGCTCATGAATATCGCGGATGATTAATTCTGTAACAGGATGATTTTTTGGCAGCAACATAGGGTGTCGTTGATCATAGGGCAATTCTGCTCTCTTTATTCTTCCCCCCACTCTTAAAATTTTTTCGTGCATTACAGGATTAAGTCGAAGTATTTTTGACCGGCTTGATAGACATTCATTCTTTGACAGTTGATTAATTTCATTGTAGAACTCTTCCATCTGGACCAGTGAAACAATTCGATTAAATGCTGACTGAATCTCTGCTGGTGTTAATATCTCGGAAAATTTGGTTTTACCGCGTGCTCTTTCTGCTATTCGTAAACAATATGCCACTACATGGATCAATTTTCTGAGGGATGAAAATCGAGACCATAAATTAATTGATGTTTTTACATTCTTTATAGTTAGCGCCACGCTTTTTTTTCTTTCAGGCAATTCCGTTTGAATGAAGTGATGACTGGGCCAATTTTCTTCCGACAATTCCAACCACGTTGGACCATTTTTCCATAACTTGTTTGATACAAATTCTGCAGGCATTTGACCCCTAGATACAAAATCTGCGGGGTTATCCTGTGAGATGACGTGTTTCCAACATTCAGGTCTTGTAAGAGTTTGAATTTCGGCAATACGGTTGGCTATGAATGTGCTGAACTCATGAGGAGAAGATGCAATCCAATTCAATACTATAGTTGAATCCGACCAAAGGTGTATTGCATTTACATTAAATTTTATTGCATTTTTGACAGTGATTATTAACTTTGACAATAATACTGCCGCACAAAGTTCCAATCTTGGCAATGTAACTGTCTTCAATGGTGCAACCTTTGATTTCGCACATAGTAATATTGTACGATGTTTTCCCTCATTCGAACACCTGATGTAAACGCATGCGCCATACGCTTTCTGACTGGCGTCTGCAAAGCCATGGATTTGAGTCTCGTCTGATGGTTGACTTCTAACCGCTCTCTCGATTTCCCAATTGCTCAATTCACCAAGTTGACCTTGAAATTGCTCAAATTCCACTAATAATTTAGTTGGTATTGGATCGTCCCATGAATTATTAGTTTTCCAAAGTTCTTGCATTTTTATTTTTGCCACAACTGTGACTGGTGCCATTAATCCTAGCGGATCATAAAGCATCTTACCAATTTGTGAAAGCATGATTCGTTTTGTAGTGGGTTTTTGATCCAACGTTGGTTGCACGTTAAAATGCAATGTATCCTTTTGAGAGTTCCACATCACTCCAAGTGTCTTTGAACTTTGATCCACATCATTTGTTAATACTTCTGAATCCCCTGAATTTTGAGCAATTTCTTGATGATTTGACCTCCACTTGCAAATACGAAGTCCTGCTTTTGTTGTCAACTCAATTAGTCCTTCTTTTATTTGTTGTACTTCGCTTACAGTGTCGGCTCCCGTGAGGCAGTCATCCACATAAAAATCATTCTTTAATACTTCGGCAGCGATTGGAAATGCACGACCTTCATTATTTGCCAATTCTTTCAAACAACGAATTGCCAAAAATGGTGCCGCAGAAGTTCCATATGTCACGGTGTTCAGTTCGTACGTTCTGATAGGTTCATTCTCATTATATCGCCACAAAATTTTCTGGAATTTTCTATCTTGGGGATGTATAAAAAATTGGCGATACATTTTTTCAATATCTCCACTCAAGGCAATCACATGCTGTCGAAATCTCAACATTAGTGCTACTATGTTATCTTGAATAGTTGGTCCTGTCATCAAGGTGTCGTTTAACGACAAACCAGTATCTGTCTGACATGATGCGTCAAAAACTACTCGAAACTTACTAATATTATCTATCATCTTCAGAACAGCTTGGTGTGGTAAATAATATCCTTCCGATTTATCCGCAATTATTTGTTTCATATGATTCAAGTGTTCGTATTCTTCCATAAAATTTGTATATTTTTGTTTTAATTTAGGGTCTTTAGATAATTTTCTTTCGAGCATAAAAAATCTTTTCCGAGCTATTTCATATGAATTTCCTAAATTATTTTTATTTTCATTGAACGGAAGTCTCACTATATATTTACCTTTATTGTCACGTGTTACATTGTTTACAAAATGTTCCTCGCACGACTTTTCTTCCAAACTTAAAAACTTCTTTTGTTCTCCTTCTTCGATTTTCCAAAACTTCTCCAACTGAACCGATAAATCATCTCTTATTAAATTACATGTTATTTTTTGTGTTTTGGTAATTTCCCCCAGTTTCCCAATCACTATCCAGCCCACTTTTGTACTTAATAGAGAAGTATGCGGGACTGCAAGAGGAATTTTATTATATCCTAAGATTTCGTAGAACAGTTCTGCTCCTATTAAAGCGTCAACAGTTGCTGGCTGGTGAAATTGAGGATCAGCAAGTTTGATATAAGAAGGGATTTTTAATTGATTTTTATTTATAGGATTCGCTGGAAGTTCTCCTGTTATATTAGGAAGAATAAGGAAGGATACATCAACTGCATAATTTGAGACTTGCGACTCCATTTTTGTCTCCACCCAATCACCGCTATTTACTTCGTTGCTATTTAAAACCTCAATCGCTGAGCGCAATTTTCGTCTTTTTAAATTCAAAATTTTCGCAAATTTATCTGTCATGATATTCGGTTGAGAGCCGCTGTCTAATAGAATTCTACAATTTATTCTATTACCTTTACTATCTACTAAATTTACTATAGCGGTTGATAGGAGAACCTTTGATGAATCACTCAAATGCATACTTTTTCCTTGATTATGATTTACAATTTCGACATTAGAATTTTGATTTGATCCCATATTTGATTGCGTGTGTAAAAGTGTATGATGTCGTTTATGACAAAGATTACAATTTCTCGATTTGCATTCGTTAATTAAATGATTTCCACGCAAACAATTAAAACAAAGACCTTTCTTTTTTACTATTTGATACCTGTCACTAATATTTAATTTTAAAAAATCTGAGCAATTATGAATCATATGATCCTGATTACACAATATACATTTAAAACTAGACTGTGTATTTAAAAGCGTCTTACCATTATTTTTCTTTTCGATAAATGAATTCTTATTAATTGAACTTGTCATTTTGTTTTTATTATCATTGTTTTCAGGATTCAAAGCTTCAAGAATCTGACATCGCTCGCGTAGAAAGTTAGTCAAATTTTCTAGTCTCGGCATCTCGCTACCTTTGACCGACCGTTCCCACTCTTTCCTGGATTCTCTATCAAGTTTTAATACAAGAAAACACACAAGGGGGGTATCCCAACTCTCTGTTGGCTCACCTAACATTTTCAAAGCGCGAATATGTCGCAAAATAGTATCCAATAAATTTCTCAATCCCGATGCTGAGTCTTTGTTTGGTATTGTTAACTCAAGGAGAGCCGTCATATGGTTTTGTATGATTACTCGTTTATTGTTATATCTCTCCTCAAGTAACCCCCACGCTACTTCATAATTAGCCTCAGAAATTTCGATATTTTCAATTATTCGCGACGCGCTTTCCCTTAAATAAGACTTTAAATATCTAAACTTTTGTACCTTAGGGATGTTATTATCTTTATGAATGATTGCCTGAAATAAATCTTTAAACCCTAGCCACTCTTCATAACCTCCAGAAAAGGTAGGAAGGTCGAGTTTGGGTAGCGGATATCGTATTCCGTTATGCGAATTTTCATTTTCTATAATATTTGATCGCGAAGATGCTAAAGTTCTTAAATGTGTCAACTCAGCTTCGCGTTGCGCATTCAATTCCGCTTGCAATTGATCAATTTGTACTCGTTGTCGTGTTAATTCGTCATTCTCCGTAACCGTTTCGTGATCAGTACGTTCTTTAATCATTTTCGTAGCTTTCGACACATATTTAAAATAATAATTTTCAAACTCTGTTCGATCTAAATCACGCGACGGTGCCGGAGCCAATATTTCTAGTGTAAGTTGAGCTTTCTCAAATTCGCTCCAAACTTCCTCAATTTTTTGTAAACGTAGTTTAATCTCCTCGACAGTACCCGCGTTTTCGTCAATTGAACATTTTTCAAGAAATGTATTAAATTTTGTTAATTTTGATTTGCAATTAGTACGGCTTTGTCGAGCAGTATCAACTTCGTTTACAGACATTACAAAGAAAATAATCACAAATTAATATAAAGATAAATAATAAATATATACAACGTTCTTACTTTAAGTCGATGAGTCACCTTATAATACAATAATTTATACTTTCCAAAGCGTTGTCGATTTGAAATAACTGCCTCGTTTTCGTATATGTAGTTTTTCAGTTATTTCCTCAATGAATATTCTCATCTGCTTTTCATTCGAAATTTAAAATGAGACCTATGCATACACTGCTTCCATACAAGTAATTTTTGATTTCTATATGATGTAGATTAAGCAGCCTTGTCGAAATTGAGTACTCGATAGCTTTCTTTGTGCGAGCGATCCGGCTCGAAGGACCATGAACACTACACAAACCAACTTTGATTGTCTTATAAAATATTTTTGATTTATTTTAGTCTTTTTGTGTATGAGCCAAATAATAGAAAATTAAAGGTTTAAAATATAACACCCAACTTCACTGAACATAGTTTATTAAATAATAAAATTAAAGAAAATCACTCCACATGATATAATATAATAATAAAATAAAATTCAAACTATATTCACACACACGCATACGTATAAGTAAACAGTCTTTGTCAAAAATGTTGTTTATCGCTCGCACGCTAAACGAGTACTGATCATTTCTAATTAATTTACATATTTATTTTCTTTGATCGATTTCATTCGGAAATTTTCGTCGTCAAATTAGTCACGATTCTCGACACTATAATTATATAGGAGTTATTTCTATTATTAATTGCTACTAAAATTAATTAAAAATAAAGTACATATACTCATGTATGGTAAAATTTGAAAATTGGAAGAAAATGCGGATGTAAACCAAGACACCGACTGCACACATACATATATATATATATGTAAACGAAACGCAAAGTGATTTATATGTATAAATGAATTCATTTCCGTATTATATCACTTTTGCTTCAAATAATGGCTCCGATGTTCGTCAAGGGTCATATATAGCTATCAAAGTGCCATGAAGTTTATAATTAGAATCTACCGGCTCGCAATATTGCATCATCAAGACCACTTCAAACGAACTCTCTGCTTATCACCCACCCTCGAGTTAAACTTTAATTAGTATTTACCATAAGGATGGTTGTTTCTTAATTTTTAAAAAAAAATTCCATTATATATACTATATTTAATCAACGAAATATAATAATATATGAATAATAAGAAAAATAATATTTTAATCACGCATTATCCATATGGAAATGCAGGTCTCCAGAAAAAAAAATTAATTAATATTTAAATAATTAAAATAATATTATTAATTGTACTTTCTAAAATAAGAATCAATTCTGAAGAAAAAAATTTTAAACCAACAAAATTTATTTATACAATTTGCATAGGAAGCAAATTTGGAGCTGTTTGGCAAATATTGCTATTTGTTTAAAAGAAAAATTTACATTTTTTAATAACAAAAACAATTTTCTATTATAAATAAAATTAAAAATTAAACATGACCATAATAAATTTTATTAACAAAACTGTGAACAATATTGAATAGAGATTAAATATCATTTTAGAAACAGAAGCCTTCTATTGGATAACTATTAAAAAAAATATTACGTAATTATTACATGAAATAAAAATTTATATAAAACTTTTAATTATTTAAAAAAAAATATTCTAAATGTTTAATTTGTGAAATAATAAAAATTTATATGAATAACCTGAAAAAAATACCGTTTTTTGTTCTGGAAAAATTTTATTTTATTAATAAATAATAATTATTATACGTTCAAAAATGAAAATAATGTTATCTATTCTACTTTCAGTTAATTAAATTTCAGGAAGTTGTACATATATTTTAATGTAAAGAGAGAGAGAGAGAGAAAAAAAAGTATAATGTTTAATTTGATAATAAGATGCTCGCCTTGTAGATAGTAGACGTATTCAATTAATGTAATGCTTAATTAGAAAGCAGAACATTTTATAAAAGCCCCTAAGAACTTACGAGAAAAGGTAATTAATCGAGGGATAATAAAACAGATTAACACAAAAGAAATGTCTCGAACAAAAAAAAAAAAAAAAAAAAAACAATAAATCGTATATTTTTAATTACTTTTTCTCTCTCTCAAAAAAAAAAAGGATTGCAAAAATGCCAAGTGTCTCTCATTATTTAAAACATGTTTTATAAAATTCTCTTTTCCTTCGATACCAATTATTATTATTTAGGGAAAAAAAATATTCCAATTTACAGAAAGTAAATAATATATATATTTATATCAATTATTATCGAATATTTTATAATCGATTATAAAACTAAACATGCATTGCAATTTAATAAATGCAATAAAATTGTAAATGTAACAGAGTAAATAAAAAGATTAAACAAAAACATTTATCTTTTAATCGACAAAATATTAATGATTTCAAAAAAAAAAAAAAAAAAAAACCTTGTAAATATTGCTCTTTTTTTTAAAGATTAGCCGATTTTCCAGACATATTAATTTGTTTTCCAACTTTTTTCAATCCCTCCGTCAATCGTTTACCAAGATCAGTGTCAACTTGAGTGAAATTTCTCACAGCACGTTCAACAATAAAGTTTGATGCGCCCTTCAAACTTCCAACCATATTATTCACCATTCGTGTCTTGGCATCGGCATCAAGAATATCTCTCCAGAATGTGGTTGCTTGTCCAAAATCGTCTTCATTTTCCGGCTCATGACGATCCACAACTCCGGAAACATTGAAAGGAGGATCTTTTACCACTGGACATTCTTGTGGACCGCTAAAGCTATTTGGAAAGTAATTTGGCGCACATCCTTGATTGTGAATTGGCATGAAACCATCACGTTGATAGTTCATTGCCGATATTGCCTGAAAAAAATAATTTTTCATGAATAACTTCTAAAAATCAATATAATTTTCATTGAGGCGAATTTTATTTATTCAAATTTATTATTTTATTGAATTTTCATTAAACCATTCATTAAACATTTTTAAAGAAAATTTACTTCACAGAATTTTTATTTAATAAAATTTTCATTTGTGCGAAATTGCAAAATTGACCGAAAAATCAATTTGAAAGAAAAATTTCGTCGCAATTTTTAAAATTAACAATTTTGGAACGCTCTTAGAGTCTGATTTATGAAAATTATTCTAATTAATCGTTTCGGCAAAATTTTTAAGATGAAATAAAAAGAATTTTTCAATTTTAAACAGATTTACCAAAAGATTTTATAAGATCAACTCATGAAATATAATAATTATTACGTCATATATTTAAAAGAATTTTTAATTTTCAAAAGATTTGCAATAATAATATTTGATTAAAATTGTTCATTAGTGAACCCGTTAAGATTAAACAAAAAAAAAGAAAGAAAAATTCAAATCGTAAATAAGAAAATAAAATAATTACTTTATATGGACAGTTAACAGCCAATTGAAGATGATTTGGTCCCAGGCGATGTCTGTGAGTGTCACCATAAGCGAAGAGACGACCTTGAAGCATTTTATCAGGACTGGGGCCAATGCCGGGCACAAAGTGGGCTGGATCAAATGCCATTTGTTCCACATCTTGGAAATAATTCGTTGGATTCTCATTTAAAACCATTTTACCCACTGGAATCAATGGAAATTCTTTGTGCGGCCAAACCTATTGCAAAAATTAAATTAAAAATTTCCATTAAATAATATTTATTCTTAATAAATATTCCAGAAATGATTAATAAGAATAATTATTATTAAATAACTAACAATAATAATAATAAAATAATTATTATGAATTAACGATATATTTAAAAAAGTGATTGTCCTGTCAAAACAAATTATGAAAATAAAAATACAAATGAATAATTTCTTTAAATTAAATTAATTTTTTTTTTTCAATATTTATGTTTGTTCTTACTTATCATTTTTTCATATAAATTACATTAATTTTTTATTATCTTAGTTTATATATATTTTTGTTTTTATTTAATTGTTACTTGACTTTAAAAAATTTATTTAATTAATTTTAATTATACTTTTATATAAATATAACTATAAATTTTTTAATTATATTCATCGCATTTATTTTAATTACCTTCGTTAAATCGAAGGGATTCCATTTAAAGATGTCAGCTTGATTTTGCGTCATTACTTGAATGTAAAATGTCCAAGATGGATTTTTGCCTTCGGCAATTGCATTATAAAGATCGCGAATAGAATAATCAGGATCAGATGCACTCAATTCACCAGCTTTTTCAGCGAGAAGATTCTTAATACCTTGATTAGTCTATTAATTAATAATATATTTAATTAGAAATCAATCGAATAATATCATTGCTCAAATAATTATAATAATACTAGTAATAATAATCATAATAATAATAATAAAATAATAATTATAATAATAGTAATTAAAAAAAGGAAGAACAGTCATTAAAAGTGTTAGAAAAAAGAAAATTATCATAATTAAATAAAATACCGTTCTTTTTTAGCTTGCAAATATAAGAGAATACTTTGGCAATTAGTAAATACCTTATAATGGAATTTACAGTAGACCATTTCATTTTTAGCGTTAAATAATTTAAATGTGTGAGAACCATAGCCATTCATGTGTCGATATCCATCGGGAATTCCACGATCAGCAAAAAGGAACATTACTTGATGGGTCGTCTCTGGACGGAGGGAAATAAAATCCCAAAACATATCCATGTCCTAAAATAATAATAATCTCAGTTATAATTAATTTTAAATAAATAATAATTATTATTTTCATACCAATAATGAAAAATATGTTGAAAAAAAAAGTTTTTTTAACTTGTTATATATTGACAATATTTTGAAAATGAACCTTCAAATGAGTTGCTGGATTTCTTTTTTGAGTATGAATGAAACTCGGGAAAAATAGAGGATCTTTAATGAAGAAAATTGGAGTGTTATTTCCAACCAGATCCCATATGCCTTCATCTGTATAAAATTTCACTGCAAATCCTCGTGGATCTCTTTAAAAAGAGAAAAAAAAATATATATGTACAATTAAATTTTCATTTCTTATTCCTTAGTCTTTTAGAAAAATATTTAAATATTCAAACAAACAAAAAATTAATAATAAAACATTTTCATAAAAATTATTTAACAATTTTAGTTTTTTCTTGAGAAGAAATTCAGTAAAATTAAACAAAATATAATTTTTTTTTAAATAACGGTATAGGTATCTCTAAATGGCATGCGGGCTTAAATAAATAAATGTAAACAATTTATTTAATTTCTTTTTTTTTGTTTTAATTACCTGGCAGTATCAGCTGAACCACTTTCACCTCCAACAGTTGAAAATCTCACAGCAATACGTGTTTTTTTTCCAATTTGAGAAAATACTTTTGCCTTGGAATATTTTGTGATATCGTTAGTCACCTCAAAGTAACCGAAAGCACCTAGGGTGTAATTAATTTTTAATTACAACTATTATAAATAATTTTATTTATTTTTCAAGATCTATATAATACAAAATAATTATAAAACTATTTAAGTTTTACGCTTTTGTTTATAAAATATTTATCCACGTCATTCCATTATATCGTTAAAGACATTTTTGATTTGAATAAAATATTTTTTTTCTCTTTGTACTCAAGGAAAAACGGTTAAATGATTTTTTTTCAAAATTTTTTTTTATCAAGCCCTTTACAAGATATGAATTTTTTAAAATTTTAGATTAAAAAAAATTAATCTTTCTGGATGTTCAGAACTTTCTTAAAAATGCATCAATTTAAAATAGGTTAAAAAAATAAAATTAATTGTAAATAAATAAGTATAAATAAAATTAAGTTTTTTTTTTTTTTTTTTTTTTTTGGTAAAATATGCAAAATTTTCTACGAAGTGTATTTGACACAACAAATATATTTCAATATATTTCATTTATTTCGTCTAAATTTTTTATTTAAATTTTGAATATTTCACCAAAAAAAAACCCCATGAATTTTGAGTTTTTTTTCGTTATTGTTTTTACCATGAAAATCAAATTTACAGTATATTTTTAATCTAATTTTTGTAATCAGAGCATAAAAATTCATAAATAATAGTATCAAAAAATAGTCGGAGGTATTTAAAAATAAATTAATAAATTTCGAAAATTTTAACAAAAAAAAACAAGATTTTTCCATGCAGTCTTGTGAATATTAAAATATCGTTAAATTGAAATTGACAACGATTCATAAATAATTGCTTATTTAAAATTTTGATTGGTTTTTTTCATGAAGTTTTTTTTTTTTTTTGGTTTTTGACCTTTGTAGCAAAGAATAAGAAATATCTATGTCATCAGATAAAAAACTTGATGTTTTTTAAAACAACAAGTAATGAAGATTTTATTCAGATAATAGGAATGTAATATTTATTGTGAGGACAATGTATAATTATATAATTATTTATTTTTATTTTATTATTATTGTTGTTTATTATAATTATGTTAATAATTAATATTCATCAAATATTTAAAATCGTAAATTAAAATTTTCTTTTTTCAATCAAATTAATGTATTTTTTTTTTTTTTTTTAATATAAATTTTTTTTATTTCTTCTATTTGTATCATACTTTTTGTTTTTAATAATTTTTAAACGTATTTTTAATTACCTGCTCCCTTAGCATGGACAACACGTTCAGGGATTCTTTCTCGGCCAAAATGAGACATTTCATCGAGATAAACAAAATCTTGTAAAAGTAAAGGCCCTCGTGGACCAACCGTGATGCTGGCAGTTTTTTTTCCAACCGGAGCTCCATTTCCTGCGACAAGAGTAGTTGGTTCTCCCTTAAAAAAAAAAAAAAGAAAAAAATTTTGTTAATAATAAAGTAATATTTTTACTGCTACAGTTTAATTTAAAAATTAAAATTGTGTATTATTATTATTAATTATTTAATGAAAATTAATTTTATTTATATTAAACAATAGTATAATATTATTAATTACATTAATGAATATAAATTATTTTTGTAAATAATATTAATAATTATAAATTTAATAATTGCAAATTGTCAAAAAAAAATTTCAACTAAATAACAACAAATTAAAGAAAAAATTTCAAAAATATTGAAAACGCAAAAAAAAAAAATTGCAAAATAATTTTTCATAACAAACAAAAAGAGAAAAATTGAAAACATTTCTATAAAAAGTATATTAATAAAATATTTATCAAAATGAAATATAAATTATTTCAATAATAATTCTCTAATTATCTAAAGTCACGCCACTTTCTTTTAAAAAAAAAACAACAATGTATATTTTATACACACATAAACCGATTATAAATTATCAACTAAAAGGTATAAAATCGTCTATCTAATAATATATATTATTTTAATTTCTAATCAATAAATGTCAATTAAGTTGTTTGGTGAAAGAAAAATAAAACTCTTAAAGCGCAAAAAAGATAAGATAATTTTCCTTCTCTTTTTAAAAAAAAAATATGAAAAAAATACGCCTAAATGAATTTTACAATTATGCAAAATTTAAAATAAATCAATTTTTTTTTCAATAGAACAATAGGAAATTTTTTTTTTCATAATTAAAACATTTTTTTGAATCTCATATTTACTCTATAATAATTGTCCTTGATTTATATGCAAAAATCCTGCAAATATTGTATAAATTGAAAATTCTCAATTGCTAATTATACGCCTTTCATGACTCAGCTCTAAATCAGATTTATCAAAACATTATAATAAAATGAAACGTAATACTATTTGCGTGTGGATTTTTTTTTTGTAAATTCGAATTTCAAATTCAAAAATCTGTATTTTTTTACTATCGATAATATCGATTATAGAATATTAAGAAAGAAATAAAAAATATATAATAGTAATTAAAAAATTGATATATTACATTTTAGATAATTAAAGAAAAAACTAATGAATTAAACATTATTTGCGAATTAATGAGAATATCAAAGAGAGAGAAAGAGAGAGGGTCAAAAGTCCAATTTGTAGAGAAGGTCACATACAACCTAGGTGCGGTGTATGTATCTTCTTGAATAAACTTTAACTTGACAATATTTTACATTGCTGATTAAAAATAAGTTAAAATACTTTCAAGAATATACATATATAGCAAAAGCAAATGTGCAAAATCTTGTAACATTTATCTTTCTTCTCAAATGACAATAAAAACTTTTGATAAGATAAACTTTTCTTTCTTTTTTTTTTTTTTTTTAAATAATTTTTCTAATAAAAGCTCCAATTTTCAAATTTATATTGAAAATTTTCCTACTAAATTAATAATTATTTTTCTAATCAGAAAATATAAAAAATACCATTTTTTTCATAAAAAAAAAAAAGTTTCTACCTCTCTCAAATCGAAATTAGTAGAATAATCGAGAATATTTTTAATATCAAAATTTGTTTTCTATTTATTATCAATTTAAATATTTTTATTCAATAGAATTATAAATATAAATTACAATTTTAAATTCTAAAATACTTTTCATTTTTATGATCGGAATAACTACAATGGAAAAAACTGATCTTTCTCAATTTATTTCAATTTTAGAAAAAGCAAATTCTAAATATTTATTCTCAAATTTCAATATTTTATTTACTTTTATTTTATTGGTAATAATAATGAAAACGTATTTTTTTATTTCATATCACAAAAAGAAAATATGCACACTTGTAATAAAAGGAAGCAGCATAAAAGCCGGTTCGGCAAGTTTTTTTTTTAAAAAAAAGAAAAAAAAATGCAGTATGATGAAGATGAAATATAATAAAATTACCTGAACGGATTTCTTGTATTTATTAAGCTGTTCAGCTGCTTGATCCCTCGACATATTGATAACTTTCAAGTTGAATCAATTACAAAGAAAAAAAAACAGTTTGAATAAAAAATAAATTCAATTATTGTGCGCTCTGCTTCTTTTCTGAAAGAAGTGAAAACAGTGAATGACAAACAATAACGATAAACTCTGGAGATCCGGTTGTAAATATACACATGAAACATTCTATTAACAAATGATTGGTTGAAATTTTTCAAGTAGGAGAAACGCGGTTCAACTTGAAACAATAAATTAATATTTTTAATTAAATTTGTTAATTGTATTATTATTTAATATTTAGTTAATAATTTACATATATATATATTCCAGATACGTTTTTTTTCTCTTGAAAATAGGTGAAAAAATGAATTATTTGCCGAAAATTGAACATAAATTTTGGATAAATTGAAAATTAATTAAAACAAAAATCTATAATAAATGGAAATTCAAATAATTTGGAACATAAATCAATTAAAATTTAGATAAATTAAAATTCGGAAAATTTCAAAAAATCGATTAATTTTTAAATAAATCTGAAATTTCGTTAATTTTAAGTTTCAATTGAATTCAATTTGCATTGAATTAAAAAATTTTTATTGTTTTAATCAATAAAAATTAGAAAAATTGATTAAAAATTTTAATTTAATTAAATTTTTAATCGATTAAAATTTAAATAGATATGAAAATTTTTGAATAAATGAAATTTTCTATTCAATTGAATTGATTATTGATTAGAATTGAAATGAATTTAAATTTTAATCAATTTTTCAATTAATTTAAATTAAAATTTTTATTGAAATTAAGTTTAAAAATAATTTTTAAATCGATGACAATTTTTATGATAAATTGCAACATGGGTCATTTTTTTGGAAAATGATGAAAATTTGTAACTTTTGTATTCTTTAAATTAATAATATAAGGTCAGAAATTTTTAAGAAACATTTCTTTTATAATAAATTATTTTTCAAACATTACTAATCAATATAATTTGACATTGTAAATAATCAATTATTTTTTAAATCATATTACAAAAAATAATATCACATTTTTGACAATTATAAAATTATATAATATTAAAATTTAATTTTTAATTACATAAATTATAATATTTTTAAATGATAGAATAAATTGTAATAAATTTATATGTATAAATCACTTGGAATAAATTTTTGCAATAAACTTTTTCGAGTGTCAAATATTATTTTGTCAACATATAATTATATTAATTATTAATATATACATTATATATATATTGTTTTTTATTTTGAAACTGAATTTTGTTTATTTTATAATTTTTGATTTTAACTTTTAAAAACTCTTTTTGAAATTTGAAAATGCGAAAATCAGAGAATTAACATAACCTCAATATTTAAGTCGCCGCGATAAGTAAATAAAACCAAAGTATTGTAATAATTAAAAATAATTATGCAACATAGATAAAATAAGAATTAATGTAAAATTCAATTAAAAACACTAAATACTTTTTTTCACTTTTTGTTTTTGCAATTTTGCACTTCTCACTTTTTTTTGACAATTTTACAAATGCAAACTTCTTTCAACAGTGGTACCAACACTAGAATAGAAAACTCTCATCTCTCTATAGTAATTCTAGAGAAATTTATGTAACTCATATTGTCATCCATGTTGAATCATATGTCAAAAAAGCACAGTCAAACCTAACCTCAATTTCTCTGTAAACAAATATACACATTTCTGATGGAAACATACAGAGAGTTGATTAATTTTCATTTTTTTTATAAAACTAGTAAATAAAAAATTAAGTCCCTCAAATCTAGTCTATTACAATATAATTTAGAATATTCAGTGAATGTGATTTTTATTTATTTTTTTTCTTCCCGCGCCTCCTAAGAATAAAAATGGATACAAAGTGGAAAAAATATTTATTTTGGTTTGCTCATGAGCACGTGGATTTTCGTATTGCCGAAATGGAATCAATTTTAGATATGTTTAAAATAACATCGAGAACAATATTAAAACCAAAGGAACATCCATTTTGGATTGTTGAATTACCATCAATAAATTGTGTTTATCAAATTGCCAGCCGTTCTGTATCGCTTCGTTATTGTCTTGAATTATGGGCAATGTCAAAAGATATTGAAACCCTTCATAGTTGTTTAAAATCTTATACCAATGAAAATATTGAACATTATCGTAAACAATCGTTTAAAATAAATGTTAAAACATTTTGTAAACATTTTTCACAAAAGGATAAAGTTGGAAAAATAGAATTATTTAATTATTTACCATTAGAGGGTTCAGTGAAATTAAATAATCCCGAATTGAATTTATATTATTTTGAATATTATGGTTTAGATCCAAATTGCATTCCACAAAAACCATTTCATTTATTTTTTGGACGATGGATCATCGATGGACAAAGGGATTTAATACAGAAATTTTCATTAAAAACACGCAAATTTATAGGTAATTACACAATGTTTTTGTTTTTATTATGTACTTAAATTTTTGACGAAAAAAATATGTGAAGGACAATTTTTCTCAATTGATAAAACCTCGAAATAGACGATTTTTTCGATTATTCTACTTTTAAAAAAAATCGTCTTATTTCAATTTATTTTTAGTGTAAAATGCAACTAATCACCTTTTTTTTGAATTAAAAAAGCATTTCTTCATTTAAAAATTTTAATTAATTTCAATTGTTACATATTAAATAAATGAGAAAATATTTTCAATTAATTTATTCGATATTTGAAGGTAATTTTAATTCTATTTGATTCTAAATTTAATAATAATTTTTATTTAACATTCCTGAGTTTCTATATTAATTTAGAGGACGAAAAATTTGTTTGTTTTTTTTTCTCTGTATAAAAGAAAAAATTTTGTCACAAAATAATTTTCAAGATTTGAACTATTTTTTTCAGCATTTTTATTGTTTCCTGTAATTCTTTTTTTTTTATCAAGAATCTGTAAAATTCAATTGAAAACAACTTTTTATTAACAATATTATTAAGAGAATGTCCATGAAAATTGATATGGTGATAAAAAAATATTGTTCAATGTCAATAATAAAATTTGCTTTAACTTTTCTAATAATGCGTAAAATAAAATAATAATTGTGTGAAATATTTCAATTTTAGTTCGTATTGTTTTTTTTTCGAAAAAAATTAATTTAAATTTGTGAAAAATAAAATTCATAAATAAGAATTATTATCAAACGTTTTTGAAAGTAACTATGTAAAGATTAAAAAAAATAAAATAATACAGTTAAATAAACATGAATTTAGAAAAATATTAAATCAAAAATATTAATAAGTAATATGTACCTAATTAATAAATTAATACAAAAAGGGTTGCCACTAAAAAAAAAATTACCTAACAAATTATATTTTTAAAATAATTAAATTTTGAGGCGATTTTAAATTAAAATTTTTTTGTAAATTCATACTCCTGAATTTTTTTAAAACCAATTTCAGACAATGAATTAAAAAAAATTTGTTTTTAAAATTTTTTTAAATAATTAAATTTTTGAGAAACTTTTAAAATATTACCTATTAAAAATTATTGATTTAACGAAAAATTTTGGATAAATATTTATAAATACATAAATTTTCGAATAGTTGCTGTTATATTAAGATTTTTAGAATTAATTAATTTTCAGAAGATTCGAAATTGGAATTTTTTAAAAATTTTAATTGTTAAAGATTTTTTTTACAAATTTTTGACAATAATTAAGTTTTAGAGAATTTTTAATTAAAAAGTTTTGCAAATAATTGAAACATCCAAGAATTTTTGTTAAAAATTTTTTAATTTATTCAATTTTCGTAGTTTAACAGTTAAATTTTTTATTAATTAAATTGTAAAAGATTTTCATTTGCAAATTTGGAAAATATTTATAACTATATATGAAAAACTTTATAAATATAAATTTGTTGTAAAAACTTAATTCGATATTTGAAAATAATTTATATTTCGAAGAGCTGCAATTAAATTTTTTAATAATATAATTTTTAAATTTTTGAAAAATTTATAATATAATTTTTTTACAAATAAATAAATTTTGTGGAAATTAAAATTAATGTGTTAAAGGCAATAATTTTAATTGGTAATAATTGATTCAGTAATTAAATTATTGAGAAAGTTTATTGAAATTTTTGAAAATGGTAAAATTTGCAATGAGTCTTGATTTTTTATATTTTTAAAAGATTTAAAAAAAAAAATTTCGAAAATAATTCAATTACTGAAGAATTTATTCAAAATTATGAAATAATAAATTTTTTTTACTAATTTATTTAATTATAATAATAATAATAATAATAATTATTATTATTATTATTATTATTATTATTATTATTATTATTATTATATTTAATTTTTAATAATTTATTCAAAATTATAAAATAATAAAAAAAATTTTAATAATAAATTAAATTACATATATTTTTGAAAATAATTGAATTTTCAAATATATTGAATGAAAAGAATTGTTAGTAATTGAAATTTCACAAAATTTGATTAAAAGCTTTTAAAGTAATTGATTTATTAAAACTTTTGAAAATCTATAATTGAATATTTTTTTTTTAGACTTTGAATTGTTCATTATACAATATGCTTAATTTAATTTTCATTTTATCGAATTTTTATTTTTCACAATTTTCTTTTAATAGAATTCACATTTAATAGAAAAGAACAAAAATCGAAAATGTCAGGGTAAAACACAAAATATTGTTCGGAAGTTAGAAAAAATTCTAATAAAAAATTTTGTGACAAACCGAAAATATTAATTACCACCTTTAAGTTAACAAATTAATAAATACAAAAAAAACTATTGTAACAGGAAATACCTCAATGGATCCACAATTGTCATTGATGATGGCAAATCAAGCACAAGTACAAAATGGAGATTTAGTCCTTGATCCTTTTGTTGGCACTGGATCTCTTCTAATAGCCGCATCACAATTTGGTGGCTATACACTAGGAACTGATATAGATTATTTAATGCTACACGGTCGTACGCGACCAAGTCGAATATCACAAAAATCACGTGATATTGATGAAAATGTTGCGGCCAATATGAATCAATATGGAATAACATCGTATTTTGTTGATGTTGTTGTTGCTGATTTTTCATGTCAACTTTGGCGCGATACACTTTCATTAGATGCAATAATCACTGATCCACCATATGGTGTACGTGAATCAACAGAACGTGTTGGTTCAACAAAAACGGGTTCAACAATTGAGGCACATCAAATTGAAACGCATATACCGTCAAAAGTTGTTTATGATTTAAATGAAATATTTCAAGATTTATTAAATTTTTCCGCAAAACATTTGAAAATAAATGGACGTCTTGTTTGTTGGTTTCCATTATTTACTGAGGATCATTCTGAGGAATTTGTACCGACAAATTCATGTCTTCAGCTGCTGGCAAGCTCGGAGCAAATACTTAGCGCAAATACAAGTAGATTGTTATTAACTTATCGAAAAGTACGTGAACCACAATTGTGAATTATTGTTTTCTTTTTTAATTCTTTATAAATATATTTACAAACATTATACATTTATAAACTAGGACATTTTTTGATATTGTAATACAATCGAATTTTTACATTTTTAGACTGGTTTTGTAATTTAAATAAAGAAAATCAACTCGAATTTTTTTTTTTTTTTTTTTTTTTTTCATTAATAATCCAATAGACAATAAGAATGAATTTTCTTTTCAGGGATTCGACTTTTTTCACTTATTTAAAATTTTATTAACTAAGTATTTCAACTATTTTGACAAATTTTTCACTTTTTCGGACTTTTTTTTAATGATTTGATTAATTTGCGGATGTAATATTTCGAAAAATAATTGAATTTATTATTTATTTATAACTTGAATTTATCAAAATTTTTCTTCGTTTCAAAAAACAATTAAGGCCAATTTTTAAAAATCTAAATTTAAATTAGTTGAAGTATTTATTGATTAATATTGTAATTGATCTAAATTTTAATTTAAATTTCAAATTATTCAACTTTCAATCAATTTTTCTAATTTTTATTGATTAAAACAAATTTATTTATTGAAAATTTTAATCCAATGCAAATTCAATCAATCGAAACTTAAAATTAAGGAAATTTCAATTTATTTAAAAAATTAATCGATTTAAGTTTGAAATTATCAGAATTTTAATTTATTCAAATTTTAATTTATTTAACTATCAAATTTACTGAATTTCAATTTAAGTTTCAAATTATTGGAATTTAAATTTATACAAATTTTAATTAATTTAAGTTTCCGTTCATCTAAAATTAAATTTACATAAAATTTAAACTATAAATGCTTGAATAATTGATGAATTTTTTTTTTTAATAAATTAAAAAAATTTTTAATAGATACAAATTAGTTATTTTGCACGTTAATTGGTTTTCTTTTAAATACTGATAAATTATTGTAAAATTCAATTATTTTGTAATTTTATTATTTTTAAAATTCATTTATTGTTTAAATTTCATGATTTATAAAATTCAAATATTTTTTTTTCCAAATTTTGTTTATTTATTTTTTGAATTCAATACAAGAATTTATTTTTTATCTTTTTCAAATTTGTTTATAAAATATAAAAACTAATTAAAGATACAAAATGTTTAAATATGAATAATAACGAAATAATTGAAAAACAATAATTTAAGTTTTGAAAATAAAAGAATTTACAAAATAATTGAACTCAAATGTAAATAAGTAACAAGTTAAAGATTTTTTTACAAAAACTGATTAAATTAAATTGATTTTTATAATATTTAATTTAAATAAAAATATCCTAATTCAATCTTAAGATAATAAATCACTAATAAAGAAATTTCTTTTAAAAAAAAACATTTTTTAAAAATAATACATGATTTTCTTGCTCTTGAATATTTCAAGATCGGATAAAAATCACTATTATTATTATTGTTGTTTCATTTTCTTCAAGGGAACAATAAATAATTAAAAGTTGATGATTTCCTGTATAACTTTTATTAATGCCGTTGCAGCTCCACGCGAGCCAGGTACATTCCGCGTTCGACACTGAAAGCCGAGTTAAACATGAAATATACATAAAATTCGCTAGAGTCGATTTCATTCTACATATTTGTTTTTTATTTATTTATTTATTATTATTTTTTTTTTTTAATATAAACGCGATTTCAAATATATTGTAACCTCATCTTTGGTAGAAGATTCAGGAGAGAGAAAAAAGTGCAAAGACGCCGAGTTGCTAAACATTTTTTTTTCTTATAATCAACGGCGAGCAATAAATAACATTTTTTTTTTTTTATTAAGTTATATATATGGACGTCAATAAATTACAATATATTTACACAAGCCTATTCGAAGAAGTCAAAATTTCATTACGATATCAAATTGACGTCCAAAATAAGAAAAGAGCAATAAAGAAAAAAAATTCTTTATTTTGAAAAAAAAATTTCAATAAAAAAAAATTGAAGAAATCGCTATTACAATAACGATTTTGAAAAAAAATAATAATTCTCAGACATACACACACAATTCAAAAACATAAAATTGCACACATCCCCATACACAGGCTCATTTTTCAAATACATATTATATATTTATGTGCTCATAAATTACACGATTCGGGAATAAATTATTTAATTTGCATAATTTTAAAAACGATTTACAATAAATCTTACGCTAGCAATCGATACGTAAGCATATTATAAACAAATATATATATATATATATATTTAATATTTTTTTTTACATTATAAATATCTAAATTAAAAAATCTAATAAATTTTTCTAAATTTCATCGAACACACGATTTTCATGCAATTCGTGGACATTCTTTTTCAAAGTTAACGTATCCATTTTCGCTATAATAATAATAATAATAATAATAATATTTTCTAAAAACTTTGATAAATGATGACAACAAAAAAAAAAAAAACGACTAAAATCTTGTAATTTTTAACTCTAAAAGGAAAAATCAACAAAAATATTTTTGTACACTACGTTTATCTCGGCATTTCTCGTTTTTTTTCTAATTCATCGAGCTGACTTTTGTGAAACAAAATTTTCTTTTTTCCCCACTTATGATGTGAAAAAAATATTATTATTCACAAAAATGGAAATTTTTTTTCTTAAAAGAGTTTCTTTTTTCGTTTCTTTTTTTCTCCTTCGATCATTTATTTTTATTGCTAGGCCGGGCACCTTTGGAAATGAATTTTTGAATGAATTTAAGTGATAATCATTGCAGACAATGGACACTGAACCTGCCAGACAATTAAATGACTTTGTTCATTTTGCTCTTCGGAATTTGAGACTGCTGATGCGTTTGAACGTTCGATTCCATCTTCAGTTTCATCGCCGTCACCTGATAATCAAAGTTTTTGATTTATTTTTTTTTTTGTTTTGAAGTTAGAAAAAATTTGAAATTTGAATATTAAATGCAGAGCAATGATCCTCAGCCTTTTGTACAAGACAATGCAAAATGGAATGAGTGATTGAAAATATTAGGAATTACTTTTGTGTACAATTTTTTTTTTTCAAAAAATGTATTTTTGTATTATATCAATGATATAATGAAAGATTAATAAATTATTTATTATCTATTAATTTATTAATATTAAATTAATTAATTAATATATTATTTATCATCAATTAATTTTATAAATTTTTTTTAGTGAATTACTTTTAAAATGAAATTTATTTTATCCGAATTTATAATTCCTAATTTTTTTCAATTACTTCTATTAATTTTAATCGTCAGTTGTAGAAATAATATTTCGTTTGAACAAAAAATCATTTTACTAAGAAAGCAATTAAAACCCAAATTAAAAAAAAAGATAAATGGGTTTAAATGACTATTTTTGAAAATTCAAAAACCTTCAATCATTGCGATGGGAATGTAAAAATACTAGGATAAAATTAAGAAATTATTAGTAAAAAAACTAGAACCGAATTTAATAAAAAGAAGAAAAAATAAACAAATAAAATACGAAAATAAATAAAGAATATTAAAAACGAAAGGGAATAAACAAAATAAAATACAAAAATAAATACAAATTATTAAAAAAAATTTAAATGAATAAAATAAATAATAAATATTCAAAATCAAATTTTTTTAGTTTTAATAACAATACATTTTCTACAATCAACGATTTAATTAAAAAAAAAATTTTTTCGCCATCTGTCCAACCCCCAGAGAGTAAAAGGAAATTGGAAGGGTAAAAATTGGGATCACGATACCGGAAACATTTTTTTTTTTTTAAATGTCTATTTACATATATATTATAATAAAACATAATTTTTTTCAAAGAAACATTTTTCCCGATTCCATTGGAGCATTTTTTGGAAAAAGTGCTAAAAAAAATTAATTGATACCCACGAAATAACATCACCAATTAAATTAACTATATTATACAGTGCAATCATTATGTTTCGAAAAAAAATTTTTAATTCAATATTTTTCATTTTTTTAAAACAAAAAATATTTTTAAAAAAATAATGTTAAAGTTATCAAACAATAATGACATCCTGTATATATTATTTAAAAGAGACATTGACCATATTTATATTATTGCAGGATTTCATGTAAAGTGATCAAAGCTAAAAAAACGTTTCTTTTTAAACGCGCTAATGTTTAGATAATTTTTCACAATTAAATAATGAAATAAAAAACTTTTTTTACAATTAAAATTAAAAAAAAAAAAATTAAAATATTAGTTTTCATAGCTTTTTTTGACGTTCTTTCGATTGGTACAATGACAATTTAGAAAAAAAAATTTCTGACCAAAAAAAAAAATGAAAATGAAAAATAAATTTGATTTTTTGGGGAAAGAGACGATTTTTTTTTAATGAAAATTGAAAAAATTCCTGTCTTTCACCCAAGAAAAGACAAATTAATTTCCATTTTCATTTTTTTTTTCAAAAATTAATTTCAAAAGAAAGAGAGCGTCAAAGAAGCTGTGAGAACTGATATTGAAAAAAAATGTATTTCATTATTTAAGAAAAAAATTATTATATAAACGATACTCAAAAAACTAAAGAAAATATTAGTCAAAAATTACCACCAAAAATAATCCAAAATAGGAAAAAATATTTTTTTTCACTTTGATCACTTCACCTGAAATCACACATTTAAAGTGTCAATTTAATTGTCAAATTCAAAAAGACAACCAAATATTTAAAGAGCCAATATAAAAAATTGAACCATAAAACGCATTTTTTTTTTGTACATTCACAAGTGTCAGTTTAATATGCGGTTAGGATATTGTATATATATAATGTCTAACTACGATTTGAAGATGCATTTTGTTAGTTTTGTCACGAGCGAGACATTCAAATGAAAGAAAAATATTATTTTGGTTTTTTTTTTTTTTTTATCAATTAGAGTTATTGAAAAGAGAAAAAGAAGTTTTAATTTTTTCAAAGCGAATGACAGAATTTGTACTCGGAACTCGAAAGAAAAATTATTATTTGAGTTCGTCATTACATACTCTCTGGGGGCATACCTGACCATCTGCCATACAATCAGATGTGTTGCCACGTCACTCTCGTCCTCAGCTTCGTCCGCTGAAATTAAATATCAATCGCACGACGTTCCAAAAAAATATTCACATGTTCCAGGTGTATTAATTGTTTCTTTTATATATATATATATATATAATTATACAGAAAAATTGCAAAATGAAACAAACAAATTCAATAATTATAGATATTATTGAAATACTATTAAAAATTGAAACTAAAGAATTGAAAATATGAGCTAAAAAATTTGAAAATAATTTAAATAGCTTGGAAAATTAGTAAAATTTAAAAAATTAAAATTAGTAAAAGAACAAAAAATAATTTTAGCTAAAGAAAAAAGAAATAATTTTCAAACAGATTTAATTTTTATTTACACTCACCGACTCTGAAATCAATGTAACCTTCTCCACCGGATAAGACTAGCATCGCTGGAATAGAACCGTCCGAGATCGCGCTATGACCTCCATGACCTAAAATTAATTTAATTTAAAATATATTTACTTATTAAAATAGATTTTTAACTAATTAATAAATATTTAACAAAAAAATCCAACTTAATTCCTTAGTAAAGAAAAAAAAAACTATCGTACCGTAAAATAGAAATTTTTTTTAAATAGAAAATTCTTTAAAATTTAAATTATTCACCTTTATGTAAATTTTGCAAAAAAAATTCTGTTTAATAAAAATTTGCCAAACAAGAGAATATAACAGAAACAGGAAAGAAAATAATAATAATTAAGGGAATATTAAATTGGCCCAGCTAGAAATATTTGATTAAAAAAATTTTTTTTTTCCTTACCAGGTACGGCGACAAACATTTTTACAGCATCCCTATGTCCATGGAAGCTAAGCTGAGCGTGTGCCATACTACAGTAAGGCACGAAGCTTCCTGGAGTCACCTCATGATCAGAGGCAAAAACTCGAACTCCAATACCTGGAGCGTCTCCCTTTCCACCTCTGGCTTGTGCTCTCGAAATTGCCATCGATCCACCGGCGCCTTTATTTAAATAAAATTAAATTCTGTCAAATATAATATAACAAATGAAAATTCTAACAAATTAATTTTTCAGATCTTATCCATGAGTCTCAGATATAAAAATTAAAAAATTAAATTAGATTAGAAAAGATTAAAATGAGTGTTTATATCAATTACTTTCAGAAAGTGGAACAGAGATAATAACTCCATTTCCGGTTCCAATCCAAAGTCGATTGGATGAAATGAGCAAGGCAGTGATTCGAACAAATGAGAAACCAAGTTTCCCAGTGCCGAGCATTTTGCTCACATATGGCTCAATGTCCACGTCCTGTAGATGCTGATACGTGTGAGCATGATATAATCTCAATGTTGAATCGAGTCTGATACTAACCCAAACACCTTCACCGAGCCACGCTAATTGACGTACTTGTGACTCCCGACGAGGATGTGCGTCCACGGAACACTGCAATTATAAGAGCACTACGATTTCACATATTTGACTCTATCGTTAATTTGTGTATCTTCATATAGAAAATAAAATAATCATCATATATTTTCCAATAGACAATATTTAATTAATATTTTTCCCCACTAAACTTAAATAAAAATTTAATCAAATTTTTATTAAGTAGAATTTTATAAATCAAATCTAGTCAATTAAATAGTTTACTTGAATATTCAAAAAATTTGTTTAATTAACATTAATTGAATAATCGTAATTTTAGATTATTTTTTTTTAAAGAAAGAAAATAAAAAAGGAGAACCAACTGTGATATTCCTATGAAAATGTTTTACAAATTTAAAAAGAGAAAAATTAATGAAAAATAATTTACCTTTAAGGTCAATGTAATTGGATCGATAATATGAATTTTATTTTGATAACCACACCAAACTGTTTTCCCTAATACTGCTGCCATACATCGAATGGAATGTTGAGGATTGCCTAAAGTTATCACATGATATTGAGTGAGATCCCATTGTCCGTCTTGTCCTCTTCGAAATATTGCCACTGTTCCATCTGCCAGGGCAACGAGAACTCGACCCTGGACGTGTCTACAAAAAAAAAAATTGTTCCTTAACCCTTTGAGGACTAAATTTTTTTTATAATTAAATAAAAATTCCACAATGTGAAAATTTCAATTTTAACGAAACTATCTGATAAAACATCTTTTTCATAAAATTCGAATAAAACTAGAAAAAAAAAAATTTTTTGGGAAATATTTATTTAAAAATACTTACACAATGGCAAGAGCAGCGTCTTTAAGTTTCACCGAATGTAAACAAACGGGCCATTTAGCCACCGCTGAATGAACAAAAATTGCTCCATTCTGTGCACCAAGCCACATTGTCGGTTGAATCGAGGACATTTTCTCAATGGGAGTTTCATCATTATCATCATCATCATCGTCATCGTCATCTTCGTCTTCTCCTCGTTCATCGTCATTATTAATATCATCATTATTAACAGAAATTCTTTCCTTTTCACTTTCATTACTATTAAAAACTGATGATATTTCGCCGACATTTTTAACAAAATGTACCTTTCCCAAATTAATTGTCTCACCATTTGCATTATTTTCCAATTCCGATGATTCACTCTCATTAATTTCACCTCCTTTTACATCCTTATTTTGTAAATTCATATCAGTCTTGATTTTTTCTTGACCATTATTTTCGTCACATAATAAAGAATTATTGTTATTTGTTTTATTAGCGTTTTCAACGACAACATTTGCAATTATCATATCATTATCATTGGAACCTTGAGCGTAGTCACTTTCTTTGGCACCCGGAACACTAGCAATACAAAGCAAATGACTTTGGCATACATTAAAAACTTCAAGTATTTCAGCTGGATTATTTGCATCTATCACAGTTACTTTTGACATTTTTTGCGTTGACGTACAAATCCAAACATGTGAACTTAATTGTTGTTCAAGACGTTCTGCCTCGAGACGACGTTGTTCACTATCATGGAGTTCCTTGTCCAAATGTTCAACAGCATCCTCGGCATCGACTTTCATCACACTATTATTACTACTATTACTACTATTAATTTCACGTGCTTCGGCTGCATAAAAAACACTTCCACCCACCATTGAACCACCATCGCGGGTTTTACCACCGCTTAAATTCACTCCGGCTCCACACCATATCTGCAAAAAAAAAAAAAAATTTCAATACAATATTCTTATCAGGTTTTTTTTTAAAATTTTTAAATTTTCATTATAATTTTTCCTGACATTTCCCGAACTTCCAGACAATATTTTTTGTATTTTTCCCTAAACATTTTCGAATTTTGTTCTTTTTTATCAAATTTGAAATCTAATAAAAAAAAAGATTGTAATAAATAAAAATTCGATCAAATGAAAATTATGTTAAACAAACATTATATGAACAATTTAAATTATTCAAAAAAAAAAATTCAATTAGGGTACCAAAATTTTCAAAAGTTTTAATAAAATTCATTTTAAAACTTCAATTATTTTCAAAATTTTCAATCAAATATGAAATTTTAACTATACTTACAATTCTTTTAATTCAATATATTCGAAAATTCAATTACTTTTTCAAAATATCAATATTGATTTTTATTTCTATTAAATGCATTTAATTATGTTATTTATATATAAAAAAAAAAAATGATAACTAAAACCTGCTAAAACACGTTGAAAATTTTTAACATTTTCAAAAAATGCAATAAACTTCTTCAATAACAATAAATTAATTATTTAAGTAATTATTAAATTAAAATTATTGTTTTTAATTTTAAAACTCATTAATATTTTAATTTCCACAAAATTTATTTATTTATAAAAAAAAAGTTATATTATAAAATTATTGTAAATTTCAATATAATTATTATTAAAAACTTTGATTTCAGCTTTTCAAGGTATCAATTATTTCCAAATATCAAAATTAAATTAGACATAAATTTTCAAATAGTTATTATCAAGATTTTTAAAATTCATTAAATTTCATAAGATTTTACAATTGAATTTTTTGTAAATTTGAATTACTGATGATTTTTTTTACAAATTTTTTACAATAATTGAGTTTTAGAGAATTTTTAATTAAAAATTTTTACAAATAATTGAGTTTTAGAGAATTTTTGTTAAATTTTGGTTAATTAATTAAATTTTCAAAATTTCAATATTTTCCACATTTTCAATTGAAAATTGTTTTAAATTTTTTCATTAAAAAAAAATTTAACTGCTAAACTTTGAAAATTTAATAAATCAACCAAAATTTTAACAAAAATTCTTCGAAATTTCAATTATTTACAAAAAATTTTAATAAGAAATTATCTAAAACTTAATTATTGTTAAATTCGTATAATTCGAAACCTAAGTCGATTAATCTTTATATAGATTGAAAATTCGTTTTTTTTAACTTTCGATCGATTGAATTTGTATTTGATTAAAATTGTAATCAATAAATTTGTTTCGACCAATAAAAATTAGCAAAAATTAATTTAAACTTGAATTACTTGAATAAGTTTAAAATTTAGATTAAATTTAAAATGTGAATCGATGAAATTTTGAATCGAATATAATTTAATGAAATTGGAATTTTTATGAATTAAAATTTGAATAGTTTCAAATTTGGATAAATTGAATTTTTCATTCGATTGTAGGTATTTAAAATAAAATTTTAATAACTAATAATAAATAATAATAATTAATTATTAATAATTAGTTAAATTTATATTTTAATTGAAATTTGATCTAAAATAATTGTTAAATCGATGACACAAATTTTTGATAAATTCAAGTTTGGGTGAATTGAATCATTAATTTATTGAAAAAGAAGAAAATCTGCAATTTTTTGTGTCCTCTAAATTAATAATATGAGCTCAGGAATATTAAAAGAAACAATTCTTTTTGAACTAATAAATTATATGCCTGAGCTTAAATCAATTGTAAATTCAATTATTTTTGAAATATTACATTCGAAAATAAATCGAATTAGAAATTATCGATTTTTTGAAATAATAAAAAATAGGCGTCAAAATCCAAAATTCATTTCATCCAAATTTAAATCTATTCAAATTTTAATTCCTAAAAATTACCTTAAAATATTAAGTGAATCGTTTTTTTGAATAAAACGCTCCCTTATTCTAATAATTTTTATATCTGAAAATAAAAAAAAAATATAATTTATAAAATTACCTTCATTCCAGGCTCGGTTTCCTGAAGTGGTCGACAATAAACAGGAACAGGAACTGGTTGTCTCGCAGGTGCACTTGGTTTACCTGGTAAACTCCATCCGTAAGCGTGTAATCGTCCATCTTCTTTTCGAACATGAGCTCGTACCTGTCGATATTGTTCTTTTCTCTCGTTCGCTCGTCTAGCCACAAGTTTTTCCGATGACCTGCAACATGTATTAATTTTCATTTTAAATATTATTTCAAAAATCAATTTTTTTTTCCCCCTAAAACAACAAAAAACGAATTTACATTCGTTCACTTACCGTTCACATTGCTCTTATTTATAATATAAAAAAAAAACATTCTCATAGGAAATAGAAATTAAATTCTACTTTCTATATATTATAAAAAAGAACAAATCACCAATCATCTAAATGAAAGAAGGGGAATTAACAAATTTTTCATTTTTAACGTCACAACACCGAAATTCAATTTAAAAAAGTGCAAAACATTAAGCAAAAAAAAAAAAAAAAATTGCAATCCAAAAAAATTAATATACAAAAATAAAATAAAAATTTATTTTTGTATATTAATTTTACTAAAACAAGACAAACAATTATCTGTAGGAAATGAATTTTTATTTTCTAAGTAAAATGTAAAGTAATTTTTTTTAATTTTCTACCATTTTTTTTTTTTCCAAAGACGCAAAATTATTTCTCAAACTGTTCTATTTATCAAAATTCCATAAATCGATTAATTTACTTATTGATAATTTTTAATTAATTTCCATAATTTTTATTTTATCAAATACCAAACGAATTTTGTTTCGATTTGAAAAAAAAATTATTTTTATTACTAATTAATTAATTGAAATAATTTTGCCTCGAATTTAATATACAATATATATGTAGCTAAATTTTACCTCAAAAATCTGCAATAATCTTGAGAGTTCATAAATACTACAATAATAAAGGAACAACGCGGATGATTGAATAATCGAACCGAAAACGTGAAATAAAAGTCAAATTAAACTTAAAACCTCATTTTATTTCTCGATAGAGATTATATTTTTTAATATTTTTACTCATTTCAAGAAAATATATATAAATATTTATATACATATTTAAAACAATAAAAATCACATTTTGTTTGATTTTTGTTACAAAGGTCATAACATTTTTTTTTTCGAGTTGTTATTTATAAACAACTCTGACTTAGAATCACTTGAAAATTTCTACATTAATAACTTAATTAAAAAATTTACTAAATCGTCATAAAAAAAAACACTTGTAATCTTTGTTCATCGATATCGCGAAAATAATAAGAAATAGCAAAATATTTACAATAAGAGAAAGAGAGATAGAGAGAGAGAGAGAACAAAAGCAAATGTGAATTTGTGTAAATTTGTTCATACCACAGATGTTATAAATGTTTATAATATTTGTGTTAAATAAATAAATATTAAAAGGTGTTATAATATATGAAGTGTAGTAGAAAAATAGATCGTAAGTTAAAAAGTAAATAGAGTGTATAGAAAAAAAAACGAATATTTTTCAGCAAAGCAAATAAAATCGAAATAACTTAAATTTTTTTCTTTTTTTTTTGGCAAAACTTATCACTATAAACATTACATGCAGTTCATTTCTAAGCGTAATATATTTAAAATCTAATTGACTTTTGAAAAACAGATTTTTAAAAAATCCTTTAAAAAACAAAATTATTATCGTATTCTGCTAAAATTGTGCAAGTAAATTAGTTAGAAAATTAATAAATTTTATTTCAATTGTATTAAAATTATTCTTTTTTTAAATTTACTTATAATTCTATCAATTCAATTGAATTAATTTAAAATTGGTTTTTAATTATCTTCGCTCTTTGAGCTTATTTTTTATGCAAATAAATACTAATTAAAAAATTGACATTTTATTAATAATTTACTTATTTAAAAAAAAGATTTTCTTAAAAAAATATCTGAACTTAAAGACGAAAGACACAGAAATGAATAAATAAATAAATAAATATACAAAAAAATAAGTTAAAAAAAATATATATATATATTTTTTTTTAATAAAATCTTTCACTTTTTCCAAATAAAATATTCATAAAAAATGTCTTGAAAAACTTCTTTCAAAACAGTAAAATATAATTTTCATGCAAATATTTTTAATAAAATACATTGGTGAAATTCACGATTATAATCAACGATTTAGAAGGAAAAATATTTTTCTATGCAAATTATTATTATTTTGTTGTCTGAAATTATTTTTTCGTAACTTTCCTCGATCAACAATTTTTAAAAGAAAAATTTCTAGACAAGAAATTAATTAGTGATAAAAATATTTTTTTCCAATCACTGATCGTGAATTTTACCGATGCGATAAAATTTCGAATAATTCAATCTATTTCTACTTATTTATATAAAAATAGATCATTTAACTAACAAATAGACGTACTTTTTTTCTCATTATTAAATAAATTATTAAATAAATATTATCATTAATCGTGTCAACGAATAAACAATTAATAAAAAAATAATAATCTAATATTTCATAAAAATGAATATTAAGTTAATATATATTTTGATAAAATAGAAATTATTATTATTATTATTATTAATTTACTATTATATATAAAAATGTCTGTTTTTCAAAAGTTTTCGATAATGATTCATTTAAAGCTTGGGTTAAAATTAAAATTAAAAAAAAAAAAAATGAGTAAGATAGCAAATTAAAATAAAAGACGAGAAATGTCCTTTGTTTAAAAATAGAATGCTAAAAAGCTTTTGCGACAATCCTAGAATAGTGATCTAAGTTCTCTTTTTCTTTTTTACAAATATATACATGTATAAAGTTGTTTGATTTCTCACATGGTGTCTCCCTGATCAAGATATTCTTGTTTATTTTTCATTGTACGTCGACGCATGGCATCCAAGGATGGCGCTGGAACCACTTGATTTGTCGGTGCACTATAACGTAATGAATGTGGAGCTCGGACTAAGGATCCCCGATCTGCTGGTCCTGTGAAGAGATTACTAAAACTGGAAAATTAAAACAAAACAAAAAAAAAATGTTAAATTTCTATTATTAATTTTTTATATTTATTCCTTCATTATTATAGATACAATTTAAGTATTTTTTTTATTTAATATTTTTTTACAAAAAATATATATAGGAAGAATTTTTATTTTACAGTCATTTTCTTTACATGGCTTTTTATTTAAAAGAATTTTAATTTAAGCGAATTTTAATTTTCAAAGAATTCTCATTATTTCCTAATTTTTATTTGTCAGAATTTTTTAAGACTGCAAATTTTCATTTGTCCGAAATTACAAATAGCTGAATAAACAATCGACAGAATTTTAAAAATTGCGCCGAATTCTTTTTCTATCGATTGTTTGTTTAATTATAATTATTTAATTTTAATTAATTACTAAAAAAATTTTGAAAATAAAATTATTATTTCGCGAAGTGAAAGAGAACAAGAGACGATAAAAATAATACTTACAACTTCCAAAATGTTTGCTTTCCACCGGAAATACTGGCTGGATCGGTTTTATTTGCTCTCATAATTTCCGTCCATCTCACAGCTTCTTGAAGTTCCATGAATCGTTCTTTATATTGATTTCGTTCCATTAGAACCCTCGCCATTTCCACCCTTGTGAATCTCTTTCTTTGAGAAAGAGGAACATCTTCCTCGTCGTCGCTTTTTGAAGCCTTGGCCGTAGCCTCTGCCTCTTCTTTTGTCTTTTTTAATTCTTCCTCAAGAGTCGCGACCTTCTGACGCAAACGATCCCTCGCCTGCTGCAAAGCTCGAATCTCCTCGCGAAGTATTTCTTGCTCACTACAAAATTCAAACAATTTATTTTAACTATTTTAACTATTTTCATATTATTTTTTTTCTTATTATTATTATTTACAATTAAACACTAATTTTGTTTTTATTAATTATTACTTACAAATATTAATTTTTAATTAATTATTATTTACAAACAAATTTTTTTTTATTAATTATTATTCAGAATAAATATTCATTAATTTATTCATTGATGCTATATATTTGTTATATTAATTATAATTTAGAAATTATTATTAATTAAAAAATTAGTCACAATTATTAATTTACTTTTTAGAATAAATAATTGTTTACTGCGAAAACAAAATTACAAGTAATATTGAAATAATAATTTAGGAAAAAAAAAAAAAATAAAAATAGTTTCAACTTATTGAAAATAAGAAAAATTTAATATCACATACCCAGTTAGTTCATCTACTTTCACGATTAAATCATCTTTTACAATATTTAGAGCGTTCCTGGAAATTTTAAGGTAATTAATTTTTAATTCATTCAATTGTTAATCGATTATCAATAAATTATTTTTAAAAAAAACTTCGTACTTTGTCGCTAAAAGTTCATTGTTCTCCATTATTAAGTTTTCCACTTCTTTGCCCATTCCTGAAAAAAAAATTACATTTTTTGTAATAATATTTGAAAATATTATTTTTTAAAAAGAAATATTAGAGGAAATTCTTTATTTACAATAAATTAATAACTAAAAATCATAAAATTTGAATACAAATTTTAAATAAAATAAAAATATTGAAGCATTTGAAGCAAATTTTAATTTATGAAATGTTTTATTATAAAGCATAGATAGAGTAGACAATTAAGAAGACTCTTACCGAAGAAGTTGTCGTTAACTGCACATGTGGGTTATTCGTTATCATGCATCAATCAGGTTTTTTTTTTTTTTATTTTGAAGTAAATGGACCAACAGCAATCGCACAAACAATGAAAAAAGAGAGAAGTAAGTAGATTTGTTAAAAAAAAAAAAAATTCGTATTAATTTTTAAAGCATTAGAAAAGAACATTGAGTCCCTTGGTATTGTATTTGTAAAATTAATACAGTAATTAGATTTATTTATTTACAATACATATATTATTTTATTTTTTAACCCTTTAACTGCCGATGGCAAAGATTTTGGCCGTCAAATTTTTGATATAGCAGTTAAGGGATTAATATTATAAACTCGATAATATAAATTAGAAATATTTTAAATATTTTGATATCCGTCTCTTAAAAAAAACAATATTTATTTAAAATATTAAAATTATTTTTAAAATCCATTGAAAATATTTTACGTTTATTTGAATTTTTTTTATAAATGAGAATTCAGAATTTATCACTCGGTCGTATTTTAAATCGTTAATAGCAGGAAGATATCGATTACTCCGAGTCGGAATTTTTTTTTTTATTAATAATATTTTTGATTGTTAATTATTATTTTTTTTTTTTAATTAAAATATTTGAAACATTTCTTTAAAATATTTTAAATATTAAAAACTAACAATTTAATTTGATCTATACATATAAATATGTTATATTTTACATTTTAAAAACATCACTAGAATCTAATTCTAATAGTTTTGGAAATTTATACATATTATAATTATCTTTTAACTGCTTTCCATTAAAATTTTCCAAATAATTATTTTTTGTCATTGATTACCATTAAATTTTTTTTTTTGTGCTTCTTCAGATGAATAATTATTATTTTTTACGTAAATATAAATTAATATATAACAAATATTTTTCAATCATGTTTTAATATTAATTTAATTTAATATTGTATTACAAGTTTATAATTATGTGTATACCAGAAATCTGTTTAAAGCCGAAAGGCATAAATTATGAATAATAAATAAAATATTTTCCCATCAATATTTATTTATATTTTTGTATTTTTTAATAGTAAACAATTTTTGATAACAGTTTTTTAATTACTAAATAGATTAAATAATGTTTTTATTATTTGCAAGTGATATATTTTTTTAAATATTAATTTGAACAATATATTAAGCAGAAAAATAATCTTTTTTTTTTTAATAACCTTTATACAAAATGTCACTTTCAATTTTTAAATCTTTAATTTTAAAAAATGATGAAATAAATAACGAAATAAAATTATTAAACAAAAGACAAGCGATTTTGGTAACATTACCAATGCATTTAATATTTAATTTATAAAAAAGTAATCAAATTGATTAGAAATTAATCAATATTAGAAAATTTGTTAATTATCTTAATATCTATATTAGAATAATTTTATAAAATTATTTTCTTAAAAAACCAATTTAGAAAATAATAAAAGCTTTTATCAATTTAATCAACATACCTGACGACGCATATTCTCCGGGATGAACCCAACTTCCTGTAAAAAAAAATCACAAAATTCCATTAAAATTTCCATTATTCCATGTTTTTCTATATTATATTAAACTATTAAAATTTTTAATAACTCAAAAGATTCTGTTTCTTTAAAAATCTAATTTATAATTTATTGTTGTTTTTTATAAGAATATAATAAAATATAAAAATAAAAAACAAAAATTATTTTAAAAAATTCACCATTTTCCATTTAATAAATCTCTTGAAATAAATTACAGATAGGAATTTTTTTTTTTTTTTTGCAAAAATTTGCAAATTTAGAAATTTTAAAAAATCGTTTGTATATTAATTTTTTTCTAAATTTTAATTGAATTTAAATTAGGTAATGAATTTAATTAATGAATTTTTGATTAAATTAATTTTCTCATTGGTAAATAGATAAAAATATAATTGTAAAAATTTTACCTGTTATATCGGCACCTTCATCCATTTCTCCAAGTGCATCAGCATCTTGAAAACTGAGTTCCTGATATAACGTATTTCCACTACGTTGTTCTCTTTCAGTTCTTGTTCGACCACTTGGAGTTGACGATATTTTCTCCACAGTCGGCGAAGTCGGAGTAACAATTGGCGGTGGTACTTCAGTTTCAGGACTTTCATCTAAGATATTTAAAAAATCCAATAGAATAATAAACAAACGAAAAAAAAAAACCTCCAAGTAATTTACATTATATTTGTAATGTAAAAATTATAATTTATAATAAAATTTGAAAATAATTAAAAAATAATAAAATTATCAATGAAATTAAAAAATTACTCATTAATAAATTTAAAAACAATTTAAAAAATTTTTTTTAAAATCATGGTAAATTTAAAAGCAATTAATAAAAAAAAATTTGCAAAAATTATTTATAATAAATTAAAAAATAATTGATAATTTTAAAAGTAATTTCTAATAAATTTAGAAATAATGATTTTTAATAGAAAAATAATTAAAACTTACTAATAAAAAAAATAGTAATAATTGAAAAAATAAATTTTGCAAAAGACTTTAATTTAAAATAAAACAGAAAATTTGCATCTTATTTTGAAATTTTGAAAATAAATAAATAAACAAATAGTTTGTCGATAATTTTTGAAACCTACGTCTTGAAACAATTGTAGTCTTATTCTCATGATCGGGACGATCAGTTAGTTGACTTTTGTCGGATGTTTCTATTGTCGTTTCATTACTGCTGTCGCTCAATTCGGATTTTAAATTGGTAACGTGTGTCGATATCTCCTCGGGAATATCATCGGCATTCATACTGGCTTCAAGACTTTGGAATCCATAACTTAATGGTCCTGAACTCCTTGACATTTGTGTTAAGCCTAATGATGGTAAACGACCGGGACCCCTGCCACCGGTTGCATTCTCCAGTCTTTCTGTACTGCCTACCAGCATTTTTGTTCTCTCCATATAATCCACATGTGTCTTAAATAATTCCGTATACCGATCGTGTAATCGAGAATATTCCCGTTTCAACTCGGCTTCCTTTTCCTCGAGCCTAACGACTGCAATGCAAAAATAATTAATAAATTTCTATCATAAGAAAAAGCGATTTTTTATTCTCTCAAGTAACACACAAGGGCCCAAAAGCAACATCGGGTATTTTATTTCTAAATATAAAAAAAAACAAATATTTAAAAATGTGTAATAAACGTTCAGAAAATTTTCTAAATAAAATATTTTTAAAAAATGAATAATTATTGAAATATTAATAAGTATTTTTAATAAATTGTAACAATAAATAATTAATAAACTTTCATAAATAAAATAATAATTTGTTTATAATTTTTTGAAATTTCAACTGATTTGCAAGGCAGAAGCAAAAATTGACTAAAAATGAATAATTTTGATGAATTTTGAAAACAAAGACAAAAGCCAAAATTATTGCAATTAAATCCCAGAAGAACGTGATTTTCATAAAAGCGAAAAACTGAAATTAAAAAACAAAAATCGTAAAACTAATAGAACAATATTTTACTTTTATTGTATTTTCATCTTTTTTTTTAATAAAAAAATAATTTTGCTTTTCGTCATTGTTTGAATTTTCCAATTACGAGATAACAATAAACATTTTATAATGAAAAGTGCAGGGAAAGCTATATGGAGCAATAAAAAAAAACAAAAAAGAAGAATCAAAAAGAAAATTAAAAATAAAACTAAAACAATTTTTTGAAAATGAATACAAAACTAAAACCATATCACTGATCCCATGAAATTTTATAAAGAAAAAAAAATACTTAATTCAATAACAAAAACAAAAAAATAGGAAAAAAAACTGAACAACGCAAATATAATTGAATTATCGCTATACAAAAACAAGAAAATAAAAACCCCAGAACTGATAAATTAAAACAAAAAATAATAAAAAACTCAAAATAATCAACTCTACTGTAAGGAGGTGGTGTAAAAGTAGAACTGGCGGTACCATGGTCGTTGGAATTCTTCGTCTTAAGTTCCAACATTCTAACAATTGACTCGAGACTATCAATTTTTGATAATAATTCCTTCCTTTCGTCCTCGGCAACATCTTCGAGTTCCAAAAGTTTCTGTCAAACAAAAAGAACAAGCAAAAAATTATTCCAAAATACAATTTTAATATTAAAAAATAATTAAAAAATTATAAAATAAAATATTTAATTTTATTTAAATCTTTTAATATTATTTTTTATTGTTAATAAATGTTTTTCTCGTTGTTAACAAATCTTTTTTTATTATTATTATTATTATTATTATTAAATATTCTTTATTAACTATAACAAATAAATATTTAAAAAATTTATTACTAATCTTCATAATAAAAAAATAATTCTTTGTTAAAATTTCCATCTTAAAATAGTAAAACAAATATTTTAGAAATAAATTTTTTTTTAGTTTCTTGATTTCTACATATTATTTAAATTATAAAATAAATTTCTAAAATAAATTGCTATTTATAAAAATGAATATAATTTATTTTTTTTTTTTTGGCAAAAATTTTCATTTTAAAATTACAAAATATTATTTTATTATATTGTTGTAGTAGTAAAAAGGAAAAAAAAAACTAACTTGATCGGAAGTTTTTCTGAGTTGTTTCTCTCTTTCATATTGCGTGACGAGTTGTTCATTATCCTCGCGTAATAATTCTAATTCAACTTCGTGCTCTTGATTTTCTGTGTACGCAATATCCAAACATTCTAAAACATTGACTAGCAAAGGCATCAATTCTTTAACAACATCTTCATCATAGCGGGCGATCATTCTTTCAAATTCTTGATAAATACTACCCGCCAATGATTGAACTTTTTCCGACATAACAACATGACTGTCCTCATGAGTTCCATAAACTGTTTCCTGATCCATTTTTAATGAATTTACCCTTGTGGGATCTGTAAAAAAATTATTATTTTAATTTCCCAATTTACATTCTAAATTCAAAAAATAAACTACAAAAAAAATGTAATACATTAAATAATTAATATTTAATTAATATTAATAAAAAAAAATCGAATTCACAGAAATGGGAATTGAAAATAAAATTTTAATTTTAAACCAAAAAATTGAAAAAATCAAATAGAAAACAAAAAATAATAAATAAAATAATCAATATAAATATAATAATAAATGAAAAGCAATAATTAGAAAATAATTGAAAAATTATCACTAGTTAACAATAAATAAAAAAAATAAAAAAACTATACTAATTATTATTATTATATTCAATAAACTGCATTTCTTCAAATAAAACTGCTTGCAGTAAACACTATTGATTTTTTTTTGTTCAAGTATAACATAAGGTTAATATTTAATGAATTACAAAAACCGAAAATATCCCTCTTATTATCAAATTATCAATTTTGAAAGCATGAAAAATGCAAAAAAAGGGAAAATGAAAGTCAATATTGAAAAATTAAATTGATAAAAATAAAAATAACTAACTAAATAAGCTCTATGACGTGAACTGTCCTCCTTTCTCCATTTACACTAGAGAAACGAAAAATTACAAATGTTAGAAAAAGAGAGATATTTCTATCATTAGAAAATGCTTAGCTTTTTAAAAAACAATACCATGAAAATTAAAAAAAAAAAACTAAGCAAAAGGACACATAGGCGCTACTTCAAAAAAAAAAAAAAATTTGATTTGAACTGTCAAATCTCCTAACCTTGCATCATTGTGGTTGAATATCGAAGCGCAAGTTTTCTATTTTAATATATATATATATATAGAATTTGTTTCACGAATTACAAGTCATCATGATGGAACACTCAAAAAAAAGAAAAAAAAATATTAGTGAACGTAGTTATCACTATATGTTGATTGAAATTCACAATAAACTACGAAGAATCATTCTTGTAAGCCCAAGGTAAAACGTGTCTTCGTCTTCCTGTTATGACGTTTCGCAACTAAAATATATATACAAAATATCTCATACAATTTTTTCTTCTCTCTCTCTATCTTTCACTCTAAAAAAGAAAAAGAGAATTTCCTTCTTTCAATAAGCACAAAATTCACTCAGGCGAACCACGTATAACACAAATGGACTTGACTAGAAATTTACCGATGAGAGAGAATGAAAAAAATTAGTCTCGAGACATTTGTGTCAAAAAAAAAAAGGTCACAATAAACCCGATGTCGTTGGTCGACGTTTCACCGCCATACTTACTCCGTACTTTATATATTCAAACACTTTGCGACATTTGTTCATATAAATAGGTCCATCGCAGACAAACACAAAAAATCATTTCTCTGTCTTTGTCTCCCGTTAGATCTGACTTTGGCACATCCGATCGAAAACCCCGCAGGTTGCCGATGATGATGACGAGAATGTATGTGGTATACACATATGTATGTGTGCATCTGTTTTTATCCTTATTTCATCGTTAAATTCATTTTCTACTTTACCAACTGCATTTTGTTACGCCCAATTCAAATATTTTACATTCATAATTTTTTTTTTCTATTTTCTTTTTTGTTTATAAAAAGGGCTATCTTGCTAAATTTAGCAACAAAAAGAAAAATTCATTAAAGAATTTTATAACTATTTTTAGATTATGGTGGAATTTTTTAATTTTATTAATTTGGGTGTTTAATTTTAATTAATTAATTTTATTTTCAATTAAAAATTGAATAATTTAAAATGCGGATAATTTGAAACTCAAATTAATTAAAATTTGGATAATTTGAAACTTAAGTCGATTAATATTTATGTAGAATGAAATTTCGATCGATTAAAAATTTTAATTAAATAAATTTGTTGTTTACCAATAAAAATAAGAATTTATTAACAATTGAAACACTTGATTTTTAAATTAAAATTTACATTAATTAAATTAACGTTTGGCTCGATTAAAATTTGAATAAACAAATTTTTTAAAATTTTAGTTTCTTAACAAAAAACCTACGGACAATTTTGTTTGTTTTAACATTTTCAGTAATTAAATATTTGAATTTAGAGATAAATAAATTATTTTACCACGCATACAATACAATTTTTAGTCCTTCAAAATGTTAAAAAATTTAATTATTTACATTTGCATTCCAATATTTTTAAACTGTAAATTGTTTTCTTTTTTATTTAAAAGAATTCAAAAATATAACTTTTGTTTTGATTTTTCCTTTGAATTTCAATTACAAGGCAATTGAAAAAACAACAAACTGCATTTTTCATGATTTTTATTTCTTTAATAAAACATCTATAATATAATATTTATATTTTAACCGACAATTTGTGTTAAAAAAAAAAATTAAATACATTTAAAAAGAAAAAAAAAGATAAAAATTAAAATTAATTTATAATAATTAAATTTCTTATAAAAAAAAACATAATTCTTGAATTTATTTATTTCTAATTTATTTTATTTCAAATCATTTTTTCAAGATATACAATTAATTGTAAATCAATAAAAATTTGTGATAATCATAAGTTAGCAAATAAAAATTACCAAAACGTAAAAAAAATTAAATAAAACAAAAAAAAAAACAACTATGAATCGTATTTCAGAATTTAATAATCGTAAATGATAAATAATATAAGAGTAATGATTATCAAACTGTAAAAAGTAAAATGATACTTCATAGATATATTTATACTATCATAAGTTCCCTAACGAAATTTTCGAATTACATTTCAATCAATTTTAATAAATATTATTTCGCGACATTTCGAAATTTTTTTCCGAGGCCAATTAATTTCTATCCAAATTCAAATTTGTTTCATTCCGAATCAATTAGTTTTATTCTGATGCTGAATTTTAATTCTTTTCAATCCTGTCTCGGAAACAAATTTCGAAATACCACGGAATAATATACTTATATCAAAAACTAATTGAACATCAATCCAAAACTTTTATCAGATTTTATTAAAAAGAATGATTAGATTAATACTTTTTTTTAAAATTTTCTTCTTTCGTCTAAAAATTCGATCTTCCACTGTTGCCCCAGTTTCCACTGAATCCACGACTTCCTCCTCCGTAACCGCGACCACTACCACCTCCAAATCCACGACCTCCTCTACCAAATCCTCGATTTCCTCTGTATCCTCGATTACCACCAAATCCACCGCTACTATTTCCATTATTACCATCATTATTCCAATTATCAGTGCGTGCCATTTTATCTGGAGGACCACCACTACCACTAGCTGAGAATCCAGTGATATGTCCCTTTGGTGGTCGTCGCGATTGAAAACCACCGCCAGTAATTGGTTCCATTTCATGACGACATGCATTCATACCACAAAGTGTTTTAATCACTGAAAGCACTTTCTCCTCGACGGGGCTCAATTCAAGAACTGTTTCCGGATCCTTTGCCGCTCTAATTACAAGACTCTCGAGTGCTGGTCGTAGGGCAACAATTGCTGCCGCTGTTTTTGGCTCCATTTCCAAATTAATCCAATTGTCCAATCTCACCACGCCGTCGATAAATTCGACTTTACGCGAGCCAAAGAGCAATAAATGAATTGGCGATACCATTGTCATTTGTTTACAGGACACGGCTCTTGTTCGAATCTAAGAGTAAAACAGAAAGAAAAATTACAAAATTAATTTTATTTTTATTATTAATTTAAATTCAGTGTTGCTATGATTTTTCTCGAAAACAATTCCATGATTTTTCCAGAGCTTAAATGATCTTTTTTCAGAGTTGCCACGGTTTTAAAATTTAATTTTTTTTCTCTTCTTTTAATTAATGGTAATTTTATGTTTTTAGAAAAATAAAAGCGAAATGGCATTTTCATTATAAATTTTATACACAAAAATTCAATGAAATAAAAATTATTAATTAAAAATTCGAAAATATAATTTAAAAATTAATTATTTTTTCGTATTAAAAAAAAAATAATAATAAATTACCTTCTCTCCAAAAACAAAGAATGGGAATGGAAAATTTTGCTCCATATTGCTACAATTCACTGAGGTTTTATGAATTAATGCAGCTTTCGCTTCAGTCGTCAGCACTTTTCTTTTCTCTTTATGAAAACAGACATTTGGATAAAGTCCCATGCAAAGTAATGCAGTGATTGTATCGAGTCGAACATCAGCACCAGCTTGATAATTTAATGGAGTTCGACAAAGTGTTTCCTCGGGGAATCCGGCACTCGTCAAAAGCGCTTGCAATTGATTCTACAAAAAAAATTCATTAATTCACATTTTATAATCTTAAAAATTTGAAATAACGAAAAATTTTCAAAAATTTATACATATAATTAAAATTTTTTTTATAAATTTATTTTTTAAGTAAATTTTTAATATACAATGGATATATTTATTTTCAAAAATATATTTTTATTCTAAAATGTAATTTTAAAAGATGATAATTGAAAAAATTTGTTTCTAAACATACCTTAGCTTCCCATGTGACTCGCAATGTTGGTAAACTCAAATTTTTCGACTCGCAAAATGTTTGTTCGGCAAATTCGCCACCGTCTCTTGCTTCTTCCCATGTTTCAAATGCGTGTAACATTGCAACATGATCACTATATCTTGCACCAGCGAATGCTCTTTGTTGATATGACAATCGTTTTGTATCTGGACCCATATTGTAAACTTCCGGGAAAGTTGTACTATTCGCAGCCATTGTCGAAAGTGCGTCTCCAACTCGGAACATGCATCCAAGTATCATCATTTTACCTAAACGCGGCTCAATTGGCAAACGTGCCAATATTTTTCCAAGTGGCGTTAATTCGTCATTTTTGTCTAAACACTTCATTTCTGAAAAATTTAGAAGAATTTATTTTATTAGACAAAAATTCACCCAAAAAAAAAAATTATATTCTATAAAATAATAAAAATTCATTAAATCAGAATTATCAGGATTTCTATGCAATTTTATATAACAAAAATTTTTATGAGTTTTCCATAATTTTCAAATTCTAATTGTCACAATTTTAATGATATTTTTAGCAATTTCAAGGTCCGCTGAATACTCTATTTTTATATTTAAAAAAAAATCTCTTACCTCTAAGTATAACTTCAGCTTCAATAACAGCATCAATTGGAGGTGGTTCAATGGCCTTGGAAAGGAATTTCCCAATACTTCCCAATCTCAATAATTTAATACTCAATGCCAATTCATGTAATGGTGTTCTAAACATTTCCGGTGTCATATGTTCGTCCAATTTTTCATAACGCGCTTTCGAACAAAGATGAAAACAAAATCCCGGTTTAACACGACCAGCACGACCTTTACGTTGTTCAAGATTTGTCTTACTCGCCCAAACAGTCGCATAATTTGTCATATTATTATGCGATGTAAAAAGTTTCATTTTCGCTTTACACGAATCAATTACATAGACAACATCATTAATTGTAATTGATGTCTCAGCAATATTTGTCGAGAGAATAATTTTCGTCACCGACGATGGTACTGGATCAAATACCTTTCTCTGATCCTCCCTTGGCAATTGTGAATGCAATGGAATAATACAATAACTACAACCACCAAACAATGGATGTTGCTGTAAATGTTTCATCAATGCAAATATAAGATTCCAACCGGGCAAAAAAATTAAAACAGCCCCAGGCACATTTTGATCGCGTATATATTTCAAAATAGCCTCAATTAATTCAAAACTAATTTCCTTCTCCGTTAATTGTGCCATTGAATTTTTTGTATGATTACTGTATTCATCGCTGATAATTTGATTTAAATTCTCCTCGGGTTCACCATCATTTGGCGCATCATCAGCGTCACGACTTTTACGTTTTCTCGATTCCATTGGCGGTACAAATTTTGTTAAATGTATACAATCCTCCATAAAATATTCCTGCACTGGATATGCACGTCCTGGTATTTCAATAACTGGACAATTATTGAAATATTGACTAAATAAAGTTGTGTCAATTGTCGCTGACATGAGAATAATTCTTAAATCCGGATACATATGTACCATATCGCGTAATACGACCATTATAAAATCAGAATTAACATCACGTTCATGAATTTCGTCAACAATTACGTGTGAAACACCACGTAAGCCACCCTCGAGTTTTCTCAATAAAACACCAACGGTACAAAACATTATACTTCCATAGGGTCTTGGTAAAACTGATTCAAATCTCACTGAATAACCAACTGATTGTCCAAGACTTTCGCATCGTTCAACAGCAACACGATCAGCAACTGACACCGCTGATATTCTTCTTGGTTGTGTCACGGCAATTGAACAATATGCACCTTGGCCCGTTTGAATATAATCATCGAGAATAAATTGACAAACTTGTGTTGTCTTACCGCAACCAGTATTACCACGAATAATAATAACTGGATTATCATTTATTGCTGTCATTATTTCATTTCTTTTTGCATAAACTGGCAATTGACATCTGTCTTTGCAACTTTTTTGCAAATCCATATCTTGTTGATGTCGCATTTTTTCATCTTGCATCACATCTTCGGATAATTTATCAAGTTGCATTGTTGCCAATGGTCCTTCATCAATATTACAACCTGTCCATGGATTCCAATTTTGTTGTGGTGGCGACCAACTCACAACACCGGCTGGCTGTGGAACACTTGATATAAAATCATCTAAAACCTTGTCAGATACAAGTGATATTCCTGGTATTGATTTCTCATCGTTTTCTGATTGTGCATTTGAAGATGGCTATAAACGAAAAAAATAATTAATAATTAATTATTTTTGTTTTTACAAAAAAAGTCGAATTTTCTAATTCAAAAGGAACGAATGTTATTAGATATTAAATATTAGAAAAAGTCGTATAATCCAAGACCTGCTTCTGTCGCATTAAATTATAAACAAAATTTGATATTTTTAATGAATATTATTCTTCGACTAAAATTTATGATCAAAGAATAAATAATTAAAGATTTTTCATTCTCAATTTACGATTTAAAATTCATTTTATTGAAGTTAATATTAGACATTGCTTGAGGTGGAATATAATAAATAATAATAAATATACTCACAGGTGCACAAGTAACATCGACTGGTTTAACTTCCAATCCCTCTAAGACTTGATGAATTTCTTCCTCAAGTTCTGGACTAATTTTCACCGGATACGCTTTCATTTGATCAGCTTCCTTATTTTTCTTCAAAGTTCCCGTGAAAGCTTCAATTACACCAAGATGATAAAGTTGTCGTACAAGTGACAAAGCACAACTTTTTGACGCTGTTTGTTTATTGGATGCAGTTTCTCTTGCAACAACAGCTTTAAACAAAAAAAATTCAATTTTTTATACACACACTTTATAAAAAATAAATTTTAAAAAGAAAAACAAAACAAATTAACAATAAAAATCTTACTTCTTCCCAATTTCTTCACGTAGAAACTCATTTCAGACCTGAAGCTCCTATATGGAATAAAAAAAATTTTATAACACACAAAATTGGTAAAAATTAATAATTTTTTCTTTGAAAATTGAAATATTTTGAAAGAAAAAAATATTCTTTAGAATATTATATATATATATATATATATATATATATTAAGAATACTTACCACCCCGAATGAACCGAGACCAAATTGGAGAACGATGTTCATATTTCTGCAAAGTGACAATACCAAAACTATTATTGATTGATTTCAATAAAAGCTTTGACATAACATTGTCAGAGAGTGAATTCTCTATTTTGACATTTTGTAATGTACTCCAAAGTGGTCTCGTCAATTTCAATCGGGGAATTTAAAAAAGGGGGAGGAAGGAAACAAAACATTTTTATTTCTTTTGTCAAAACAGAAATTCCATTAAAAAAAAAAAAAAAAAGAATCAATAACAAAACAAATAATTTTTGAAACGATTCTTTACATTAAAAATTAACAATAATTTCAGGGTTGCCACAAGAATAAAAAAAAAATAAGAAACAAATTTTTCACCCTTTTTACTATAACAAAAATCAATGTACATTTTTTTTTCTTAAAAATAAATAAAAATTTAATTTAATTAATTAATTTAGTTCCATTTATTTACCGAAAATAGGTGGCAAAAAAGCGATAAAAAAAACTCACAATTAAAACCAATTAGCGTGCAAAATAATTAATTTTTAAATTTTAATTACTTGAAATTGTTCTTCAATTATTGAAAAATTAATAGTTTAAAATTTGTGTTAATTGAATTTTGGATGAAATGAAATTTAAATAAATAAAAAATTTAGGTAATTTAAAAGTTGAATTAATTAAAATTTATGTAAATTTAAATTCAAATAATATAAAAAATAAATCAATTAAAATTTGAATAATTTTAAACTTAAGTCACTTAAAATTTATTCAAATTTAAATTCGATTAATTAAAAATTTAGATAAATTAAAATTCGCGGATAAATTGAATATTAAATTTATTAAATTGATCAAAATTTTAATTAATAAATTTGATTTGACCGCAACAAAAATTAGAATTGATTAATAATATATAATTGACTTTTTCTGTAAATTTATTCAATTTCCCTGACAAAAAAAAGTTTCCGACTTGTGGCTACCCTAATTATTTAACAGAATTAACAAAAGAATTTTTTATATAATATAAATTTGAATGCCATCTTATTTGAAAGCATTCAAAATTAAAATTAATTCAGATAGGACCAAGTACGAAATATTTTTACGTACTTTAGTATTATCTTGTGTTATATTTTTCTATTTTATATAGCGAATAAATTACAAATTAATCTACCGAGCTAAAAAGCAGAAAAAATTGTTTTTTTAAAAAATATTTTTACATATATATAAATTTTATTTTTCTCTGAAAATAAAATTAAAAACTTAAAACATGAAAAAACTGCATAATTTTTTTTTCTTTTCATTCAATCGAAAAAAATAAAAGAAAATTTAATATTAAATACCTGGTGTGATCGGGACCAACAGGTGTGTATTTGTAATCGGCGCTAATTTTATTGACCTGCATAAATTGATGAAGTTTTGATTTTGCATTTTCAATTGTCCAATTTCCATGAATACCAGCATTAATATCGAGATCCTCGGCTTCCTCAACTCTCTTTTGATCAGCCAAACGATCCATATAAGTGTAATTTCCCTGTTCTTGACCACCTTCACGATATGGACGATAGGCCTGACCAATGTCATTGGGACCCATGCCATCGCGAAAAACTGGTCGACTTGGAGCCATTGATCCCGAATTAGATTCATCAGCACCACCTGATGGTGCTGGTAAACCAAAATCAGCGGGAACATCCTGCGCGTTTATATGTCCAAGACGAACTAAATAATTAATAAAATCACGAGACGCATTTCCCTGTGCGTCTTTTTTATTTGTCGAATTACCAACGCCAACATAATCAAATCCAGCTACTCGCAATTCGCATAAAAAGCGTTGACGATGCTTTGGTCCTAAAATGATAATTATTTGAATTTTTTATAATAATTGTCCAATTATTTTCCCATTTTTTTTTGTAATGTTAAAATTTTATTAATTAATTTATTATTGGGGCGCATGATTATTCACCAAATTTTAATTTCATAATTTTCAAGACATCGAAATTCTTATCATCGAAATGTCATTTCACATAATTTTTATTTTTTCGAATAATCATTTATTCTAATTTTTAAATAATCAAATTACCATTTAACATAATTTTTATTTTGACGAATGACCATTGGTTAGAAGTTTTAAATATTCGAATTTCAATTATCTAGAATTTTCATCTAATCACATTTCCATTTAGTATAATTTTTACTGCTTCGAAATATTATTTTACATAAATTTCAATTTTCTAAACTTTATTTGTTATAATTGTTATTTTTTTAAAATTCACTGACACTATTTTAGGATTTGCTATTTCACTTAATTCACAAAACACAGAAAATTTAAATGTCCTAAATTTTGTTTTGCCGATATATAATAATTGTGACAAATAACCATTCGGAAGAATGAAGTTTATGCTAAAGAAGTTTTCGGCAAAATAAATATTATATCAATAGATAAATAAATAATAAATAATAATTCGTAATAATAAATTAGAAGAAATGATTATTCGAAAAAATAAAAATTATGTTTAATGGTATTTCGCAATATAAAAATTATGTGAAATGAGATTTCGATGATAAGAATTTCGATGTCTTGAAAATTATGAAATTGAAATTTGGGATGAAAAATTCTATTATTTTTGGCATGAAAATTATTATTTTTAGATATTCGTACAAATTATTATACAGTTTGAAATTCAGTAAAAAAGGAATTACAAACTAATTTGGGAGCAATAAACTTATTTCTAATTTGAGGTTATGCCCGATATTCAAGTTTATAAAGACCGAATTTTCAAAAGCGAAAACGTTTAATTTCATTGTATTCAAAATTCAAGACAACTGCTTTTAAAGCAGATAATAATAATCCAATTATTCGCCATTTTGAGAAAAATATTTTAATCGATTTTAAACGCCTTCCTCTCACGAAATATATTCTTATAGATAATTTATTTTCCAAAGAATTTAATTTAATTTATTATCGCTTCGTATAAAATTAAAGTGAAACATTTAATTATAAAAATATATTTTCAAATAAAATTTGTTTTTATAATATCGTAAAATTTCTACTCCGATAGCGTCCTTACCTGTAGGACGAACTTCAAATTGCGGCTCCTTATTGGATTTACTGCACCACACATGTAAAAATGATTTATTATCGCCCATGGCGAGAAATTTTTAATTAAACTAACTTTTTTTCAAGTTTTAACACTTTGGAGAAAATGTAAAATTTGTTTATTGAAAAAAAATGAGGACCACGTCAAAACACCTGCACTATCACAGAGAATAAAGATGGCCGATCAATATTATTCGTGTTCACTCGGTCAGACTCGGTAAACTTCGGTCTTCGGTAATATATTAGGGCATATTTACAAATTTTTGTGAAAAATAATAATTCTTCTATTTTTTTTAAGAAATTATAATTTTCTATTCGTCAACAAGTCTGTAATAATTATTTATATTAATTTCGAAAATAACAGACAAATAATGATTTTAAATGCAAAACGAAAAAGAATTATAATTTTTTAAAAATGCGTGTAAAAAAGGCCTTAATAATAAAATAATGGTTGATTATTATACCGCTAGAGCAGTTTGAAAATGGCGCCAGTTATTTAAATTTGAAAATCAAATTTTTAAATTTAAAAAACAAAGGAAGAAAAAAACAAATTAATTAAAACAGTGTAAAAATTTTAATTTCTTATAAAGAATTATTTTGATAACAATTTAAAGTGTATTTTTTTTCTCTGAAACTTAAACAATAGTATTTCAAAATTCTTATTATTTAATTATAATTGTATTTGTTTTTAACATAATTATAACATTTGTATGCCAATGCTTATTTTACTTCAAAATTTATTGAAGATGTCAAATAATTATTATTAATCTACTCTAATTTTTCCAACTTCAATTTTTTTTCAATTTTGTTACATTTCAGTTTCTCTAAATTCAAATTCATAAAAAAAATATATTTACATTATGTATAGTTATTATGTATCATTATTATGCCCATGTATAGTTATTATTAATAAATTTTTTATCATCCACTGAATGTTTATCGATAAAAAAATTTTTATTTTATTTTATTGACCAACAAAAAATAAAAAAAATCCTAAATTTTAAAATGTTGCAAAAATTAGAGTAGCTTGATCGTGTTTTTTTCAACAAAAAATTATAAAATATTTAACATAATTGTGAATTTATATATACAATTTAGAAACAAATTATCGATAATGCTTATAAAAGATAAAGTACACAATATACAATTTTAATATTATTTACTTTTACAAACAAGACAAAAATATATAAAAAAAAAATAACTAAAAATTTTTTTTTGCTAAAACAAAGTGGGTAGATAAAATTGATACTAAAAATCTCATTAAAAAACTATATAACACACGAAATAACCAATTAAAAAAAAAAACATGAAAATCTAAAAATTCTAACATTTTTGAAAAATGAAAATATAAAAAAAAAATTTTTTTAAATACTTTTGCAAAGAATTGAACAAATACTATATATTTTCATTTATAGAACAATATTTTAAAATACTATATTTTCAAAAAAAAAGTTTTTAAAATAATGAATAAAAATTTTCGTTATACTCGAAAAAATATATAAATTAATCGTAATTTGTCAAAAGTATGAGATTAACACTGATTATTAAATAGGATACGTGTAATTTATATTTTGCTCAAGTTTTTTTTTCTCTATATTTACTTTTCTAACAAGCGAATTGTCAAAAAAAAAATTTAATATTGATTTAATTAAACAAAAATAAAGATTAATTGAATTTTAGTTTAATCAAATAAAATATAATATATTTTCCCTGAGATAAATATTGTAAAATTAATTTTTATTTTCGAAATCGTAAATAAAATACTTTCATTTAATATGAATCCCTTATGACACTAATAAAAAAAAAGACAATGACTGCGATGATTTAGAAAAATGATAAAACTAGAAAATATAGATAATTAATAAATTCGAGAGCAGAAATTAATTATTGGCATCCTTACTAATAAATCAGTTTGTTTATTAGCTAATGGAGCTTGAAAGTAACGATAATTTGAAATCACTAGTTAAAACTTAGTTTATAATTAAGGAAAAAAAAAAAAAAATTTGTTCGATATTCACTTACAAATAAATGAGAATTTGAAAAATTGTAAAATCTAGTCGAAACGTTCACTCTCAGAAATTCATCAAGTTCAATATCTTTTCAATTCTTATTTTTTCTCCAATTTTTTGCAATTTCTTTTTTCTATTAACAATATTTATAAACTATTATATTATTATAAGTTTTTTTTTTATAAATATTGTTTTATTTCTTTTTTTTCTTACAAACAATTATAATTTTATATATTGCAATATAAATAAAGAAATTTCGATAATTTTCGTTTCATTTATTTATTTATTTTTCTTTTAATTTGTCCTACTATGGATGAAAAAAAAACGTGAAACTAAAAATTTAATTGTAAATTAAAAGTTTTAATCAGAATTTTAACGTTCAATAATAATAATAATATCGATCAGGAGATATTGTTATTTTACTGAATTCTTGAAAATGAACGTTTCGATTGCACTTATTAAAATCTAGTCCTCTCACTGTGTATTAATATCAATTTATTCCAAACGACTTGGTTTAACCATTTCGTTTAGATCTTGAATATCGCGAGCCAATCGCGACAAACTCTCTGTATCGTCTAAATTCTCATTGAGCTGCTCAGGTTGTGGCTGAAATAAAAAAATTCAAATATCCATTATTATTTATCAAAAATCTCAAAAAAAAAAAAAAATAAATTGAAAATTACAAAAAAATTGACAAAATTAAAATAATAATATAAATAAATTTAAAATGTATTAATTTCTTACTTCAGTCGCGGAAATGTTTAGTCCATTAGAGAAATCAGCGGAAAATCTCTCATCTACCAAAGCTAAAAGTTCTGATGTGCCTAAATGAATTGGTGATTCTAAATATTGTTGTCTATCTAAATCGAAAAATCGTGTGCCGTCTGAAATTAATTTTATTTATTTTTAATATAATAAATAAAAATGTAAAATTTTCATTTAAATTAAATTTATAAATTATTTTAATGTTCTGTAAAAAAAAAAAAATAAATAATAATTTACCTGATTCATTTGGCGTTGTCAAAGAAATTCCTCCTGCTGTATTTTCAATAGGATTAATTACTTGTTGAATTGGAGGTTCAAAGTCTGGGATAAACATTTCCGATACATTATTTGTCGTCGTTGTTGTTTGAGGATAATTATAAGGAGTATAGGGAATATTAAATTCCGTAAACTGCATTTGAGGTGAATTCGCTGGTGATGCTTTTACACTAATGCAAAACAAGAAAAAAAATATTTATCAATTAATAGAATATTACTAAATTATTAATATTAATTATTACCTAATAAAAAAAAAATTATAAAAAATTAATTAAAGAACAAAAAATAATTTTAAAAATAAAGAAAAGTAAAATATGAATTTTAAAAAAATGTAAACATAAATAATTGAGGAATTTTTTTTTTTCTGAAAATTGTTTACATACTTATAAGGAAGATAATTAAGTGGAGCCTGTGTTGAAGCTGCAGCACCGGAATGACAAGGAATTGGTGACACAGTTTCTCTAAATGTCGGAAAAGGCGAATTTGTTGGTTCCTTTTTTATCAAATCCTGATGCAAGCTTGGATCAAGGAACTTGGGTCCTGAAAAATTAATTTATTATTAGAAAAAAAAATTCTATTTTCTTTCAATTTAGAAAAAAAAAATTTTTTAGTTTTCAAGCCAAGCATTAACAAATGAAAATCTATATAATAATAATTAAATAACAAAAATAATAATAAGAACAATAATAAAAATAACAATATACATTAAAAGTAATAAATATTAATAATACAATACAGTAATAAATAAATAATTTTAAAAAAACTACCCACGAAAAACATGCAATAATTAAAATAAAATCATGCAAACAAACTCATTCTCTCTCTACTGGATACCACTCTAGAAAAATGAAATAAAAAAAAAAATATCTCCAAAAATAAATAAATAAATAAAAAACAAATAATTATACTTGGTGATTAGAAAACCAAAAACAAAGCTTCAAAATGAAAAATAAACACAAGAAAAATAAAAAACAATTTTCAAACATTTTTGACAAAATGTCATACCTGGAAATCCGAAAAAAGTATTTTGTCTGAAAATTAGGGTCAAATTTACATTAATATAATAAATAATCACCAAGAGATTTGTCACAAATAGAGATAATATTATATAATATATTATTGCTTGATACAATTTGTCAATTATTATAACGTTATTGCATTTGAAAAAGAAAAACAATGTTCATAAAAATATTGCACATCATTTTACCGTGTATATTTATAATAATTAATATATAAATATTATAATACCGGAATATTTTTTGAGAATATTTCCAAAGTATTTTCCAGTGAGAGTTTTTTTTTCTTTCTTTCTTTCTTTCGTTGTTAAAATTACAATTAAAAAAAAAAAAAAAAGAAACCCCTTTTTTTCACAAGCGAAGGTAGAAAAATTAATTTTTCTTTCGCTAGATATTTTGTACGTATAACAAATATATCATTCTTCCAATTTTTATACATTTACAAAAATATAAATGAAGGAAGATGAATAAAATTATTTTCTTTATAAATATATTCTAGAAATATCCTTGAAACATATAAATTTTCCAAGGAATTTCTATGTTCTTTTTTTTTTGTTTTCAAAAATACAAATTACAAAATTAGGTACAATATTATTTATATTATACCTTTACAGAAAAGTACAAAATACAAATTTATCGTTGATTTATTTTTTCTTTTCAAAAAATGTCGAGAAAATATTCTCTGGTATCGTTAATTATGTGATTCAAAAAGTTCTTTTTTTCTCTTTCCTATTTCGAAAAAACTAGACCAAGTTTTAGAGTATCTCAATTATTAACGATAACCTTTTTTTTTTTTGTTAACAATCACAGTTACTTTTGAGATTTTACAAAAAAAAAAATTAAAACCTTTATTTTTTTTGTTGAAATTATTTCAAATATAATTTCTAAATTACAAATTTTTAAAAATTTAATGTACACTTTATTAAGAATAAACAAAAACATTAGGTAAAAAGTTACCAATTTAAAAAAATGAAATTTTTATTTCATTTATTATTGTTAATTTTTTTTTTATTATTAAACCATTTTACCAGTTAATTGTTTTTTCAAATATTTTTAAGAAAAATTTTCACCTTTACACCAATAATATTTTTCCCAAAAAAATAATAATGAATTAATGAAATATGATTCCACCGCCGTTTCCCATATTAATAAGCGAAAAATTTTTTTTTTTTTTTTGATTACTAAATACTCACGTTTATCACTATTTTGAGCCACAAAATCTCTTGGACTTTTCCTCTTTGCTTTCAAGATTCCCTCGTTATTAGCTATGAATGGTCATTAATTAATGTTTTTTTTTTCAAAGAGAGATACAAAGTATAACGTATTTAATAAAAAAAAAAAGAAATAATGTAAGGCCTCGGGTTTCTTTAAGACAAAAATATTTTTGATTTATACGCTCATTTTTTTGTGTATATTAGAAACTTATTACTCCTTCAAAAAAATTATTTTTCATACGAAAATAAAATTTTGTACAATTAATTCATGAATTATGTTCATTCGGAAATATCTGTAACTTCAAATTTGAAATAATTCTTAATGGATCGAATAAGCAATAATTAAAGAAAGTTTTATAAGTACAGAAAACTTAACATAATAAATAATATTTTTGTTCTATATATCAAACTGCTTTTTTCGCTGAAGATAGAGATAATTAATAAAATTAACTTTACTCTCCAATAAAGTAATAATCATCAAAAATTAAATTGTAAAAGAAAAAAAAATATTTCCTAATATTTAAAAATAATTTAAACATTCAAAATTATTAACAAGAACTAAAATAATTTAAAAACAATTTAAATTAATTTATTATTAAAATTTTTACTTTCAATTCAAATGTCATAATTAATTTTTTTTCAAGTATAAATTTAATAAGAAAAAAATTTACTTTAATAAAAAAAAATTGATATTCTCAGGTAAATATTTTATGATTGAAAAAAGCAGTCATTAAAATAATATTTAAAAAAAAGACTACATTTGACTAGATGAATTTATGAATGATTTCTTTGGGACACAACAAACTTTAGATAAAATATAACGCTTTATAATATATAGAAAATGAATAAAAATGACTTACAGAGGCACTGCAAAAACACGATTATAAAAAAAAAAGAAAAAGAGGCATAATTATTTGACATGCTAATCAACAATAAAAGTTGATTTAAAAAAATATTGTTTTCAATAATAATAATAATAATAAAAAAATTCAAACCAATCGTACAATAATGAGTCAGAGTTGGGCATTTTTTTTTCTCCCGATATTGAAAAAACATTTCATATTTATTAAACAACAATTTCCTGAGCAATTTGTAATTTCAATATATTATTTTAAAAAAAAATATAGAATACAGAAAACTTTCTGCATTTTTTTTATAGCAAATTAAATAAAAAATTTAGAAAAGAAATTGAAAATTAATAATTACAATTTTCTTAACTTCAATTTTTTTTATAAATATATTAATAATGTAATATGCTAAACATGTTTTTTTTAAACAAAAATGCATGATTATTTAAAAAAAATCATGAAAACATGAAAAAAAAATAAAGAAAAAAAAGCATAAAATATCACAGTAATCAGAAAATAATTTTCTAATTGTATTGGCAGTCATTAAAAAAAAAATTTCACGAAAAACTATTGTTTTAATTTTTTTCAAAAAGGGAAAATTTCCTTCTGACATATTTTTAAATAACAAACATAAAAAATTCTATAACAAAATATAAAAACACAACTTTCAATTTAAATATAAATTAAAAAAAAACAAATAAACTAAAATCGATTTAAACTTCAAAGGCGTGATAACAAGCTAAACAATTTTTAAACTTTACTAAAAAAAATGTAGTCACTTTTGAAATGAAAACAATTTTTTAATGAAATATTATTTCTATATAAAAAAAGAAAACAAACAATAAAAACAAATACAATTACAAAAACAAAGAGAAACTAATAAATAAATTTTTCTTTAGAATTTTGGTGAACTTCTATTTAACTATAAATTTTATAAAATAAAAATTTCTATTTTTATCTACTCGAATTTTTATTTAATTTAATTTTGTAAAAATTTAGCAAAAAAAAAATTTAAATATAAGAAAATAATTTTTAATTAAGTTTTGTTAAATAGAATTCTTATTTAACTGAATTTTAATTAAACGCAAATTTTTAATTAAACGAAATTTTATATGACAGAATTATATAAAACAATTTTCGTTTCATTAGTTAGAACTAAATTCCATCCAATTTTTGAATTCATATAGAATTTTTCATTTAGCCAAATTTTCATTTTGTTAAATAAATTAAAAATTTTATTCAATAAAAATTCTGTTGAAACGTTCTTATTTTTCAATAAAATTCCATGTATTTTCCATGATTCTTTGAAAAGAAAATTTCATCAAATAATAATTCGATTAAATGAAAATTTGGTTAAATAAAAATTCAATTATAAACAAAAAATTCGATCAAATTAAAATTCGGTAAAATAAAAATTCTATTTAATAACAATTTGATTAAATGAAGAGCATTTAACTAACCGACGAAAATGGTAATTATTTAGAATTTTTATTTAAAAGAATTTTCTTTTAGCTGAATTTTAATTTTTTCAAATTAGTAAAATTGACAGAATTTTTTGCTAAAAAAAATTCTAAATTAATCGAATTTCAATTTAAAAAAATTCTCATTCAACAAGAATTTTAAGTGATTCAAATTTTTGAAATGCAAAAATTTCCTATTTCTATTTTTTATTTGCTCAAATTTTTTATATTCGATAGAATTCTTTAAAATAAATATTCTATTAAATAAAAAATGTGTGTTAATTTAAATTCCATTCAAAAATAAATTTGAAAAATAAAAATTTGCAGCTAAAAGAAATCTCTGTCTATAGAAGAAGTTTTTTTTTTTTTTTTTTTTTAAATCCATGAAATAAAATTTCTCTACAATGAAAATTTGCTTTTGATAAAAATTCTCTATAAAATTCGCGGCTAAATGGAAATTCAAACATTTTATAAATTCTCTAATCATTAAATTTTGAGAGACATAATGGAACAAACAAATTACAAATTGCTTCAAGATGTTTTTTTTTTCTCATCGAGTAAGTAAACTCGAGAAGAATGAAAGACTCTTTTGAGTTAATTTCAAGAGCCCAGCTTTGATTATTATTTTCAAGTTTCTTTAGTGAAAATTTTACCGCCCTCAACTGGTGAATAATAAAAGGACAATTCATCAAATTCAGAGGCAGTCGCGTGTGGTGCCATATCAGTGTAAAGAGCATAATTTTCAGCCTCTGTTAATTCAATGCCATAAGGCGGTGATTCGTCACCATCAAATTTTAACGATTTAACACTCGTTATACTTGTCATACTTGGTCGTGGCAATTGTATATTATTATGCATTGCAATTTGATCATTGTTATTCTTCAAGGACGTTAAACTATCACTGACATTTGGCAATTGTTTTATGTTCATCGTGTCTCTTTCTTTTTTTTGCTTTTTAGCAAACAACTTTGAGAACAGTCCCTGCTTTGCTTGTTTTGGCAATGTGCCAGGAGGGGAAGGAAGATTTTTATTTGGAGCACCATCATTTCTAAATGATGATGATGATGATGATGCGACATCAACTTCTATTGGCGCCATTGCTACTGATAAAACTGGCATCGAGGGAGTTTTTCGAATACGTTTTGGTGGCAAGGGCGGTAATCGTTCATCAAAATCATCTCTTTTCGCAGATGACACATTATTATTACTATTATTATTATTATTATTATTACTAATGGCAATAATTGGACTATTAATAGGCACATCATCATAATTACGTTTCTCATTATCATCATCTTTATCATTATTTTTTAAATCAAATAATTCAATTGGATTTTTCATTGCCATTTGTAAACTCGTATATGTCATATTGTCATGAATGTCAATTTCATGTAAATTTAAATCAACATTGTTTGATAATAATTTTGTATTTGTATCGGCATAAATTTGATCTAATTCAGCGACTTGTGTTAAAAGTTCATTTAATGCTCGCTCATCATTTGATTTACTATTTTCATTTTCAATATTGACAATGTGATTATTTTCGGATTTTTTTTGAAATTCTTGTGTTTTTTCCACCCATTTGCCAATTTCAGAATTATTTTTATTATTAAACCATTGTGATTTTGTGGATTCATAAATTTTTTTCGATGAATTTTCAATTAAAGGATCATTTTTCATTATACTATTTTCTAAATCAATATTATCGGATATTGTTTTTTTAATTGGTAAATTTAATTTTGATGGGACTATTGAATTTTGTGATTGTAAATTATTACGAACATTATAGAGATCATTTAATGCGCGAAGTGCTGAGAATTTTTCTTGTGATCTTTTTAAATTGAGATCGTCATTATTATTATTATATTCGTCGATTGTACGCGATATTTTTGGATTAAAATGTGATAAAAGAGTATTATTATCGGCACTTAATAATTTATCGAAGGCACTGTGATCGGTCATTTTTTTTGTAAACGCTTTTCTTAATGACCAAAATGCGGGTCTACCTGTACCTAATGGAAGCATCTCGAAATCCAACGGTGGACCACCCTGATCTTTCTTCTTTAATTTCAATTGAATTTTCACTTTCACTGGTTCCGTGATGTCCATATTGTCGTACTTTGGTGTTCGAAACGATATTGCGTACTGTGGGAGAAAAAAAAATTAAAGTTCTTGTATATTTATTAGTTACATTAAAATTTTTTTCATTTTTAAAAATAAACTTTTAAAAGAATTTCTTTGTATAAACGAATTTTTTTTTTTATTTAAAATAATTCTAATTTACTAGAAATTTAATTTAATTTTAAAACAGAATTTTATTGGATTCAAATTTTGAAATGACAGAATCTTTGATTCTTTGAATGAATTTTTAATTATACGAAATCTAATTTAATAGAATTCTTGAAACGTCCAATTTTCATTTGCATGAAAATTGTAAATTAAAATTCGGTTACATTTGAATATTTTTAAATAAAAAGTTGGGTAAACAGAAATTCTGTAAAATAAAAATTCATTAAATAAGAAAATCTGTCAAATGCTAATTTAAAAAAATGAAAATTCGTCTAAAAAATAATTAAATCCAATAAAATTCTTATAAAATGAAAATTTTAATTAATGATTATTTAATAGGACATGTGACCAAAAAAAAAAAAAAAAAAAAGAATTAAATTTTTTCTTACTTGATGATGGACATGCGCGGGCTGAAATTCTCCATATCCTTCCCAATCGCGACCGTCTCGCTCTTCATAAAAACGAATTTGAATATCATCCCTCGGTACTTTGTCACAAAGTAAAATCATTTCCATTCCACCCGCGACTGATGCACAATAATGACTTAACTTGTGAATAGAAAGTGTACACGTTGCCTCTGTAAAAAAAAGTGCATTTATAAATTTATTTTCTCAATTCTATTTCAATATTGTATCAAATTTAAAAATTTTACTCTTTGTCCTTTTCTCAAAAATTTTGCAAGTTTCTTTGTTTAAAAAGCCCTGGTGACAGACCTCGAATCGACTTTAAAGCACAAAAAAAGGCGTTTTAGTCGATTTATATTCTAAAAAAAAGTCGATTTTTTTTTATTTTAACAAAATTTAATTGGTTAATGAATATTTTACTTTAAACAACTAATTGTATTAGATATTAAATTCATTTTTATTAATTCTGTAATGAGAATAATTCTATAAGAATATTATCAAGAAAATTTATTTCGAATATTTCAGAATTGAACTTTAAATTTTCAAAATTTTATTTAAGTAGGACAAATTTCTAAAAAAAAAAAATTCTTAAAGTTCAATTTTTACAACTTTTTTCAAGTCTGATTTAAGCAATTTATTCGAATTTCAAAAAATTGTTAAATTTCAAACAATAATTATAATAAGAGAAATTTCTAGTGATTTCTGTTGATGAAGAATTTATCAGAAATCACATAAAAAAATTGAATTCCAAAAGTTTTAAATTGAAAAATGCTTTCAGATAATTGAATTTTCGAAAAATATTATAAAAATCATTAAAAATAATTGAAATTTTTGCAAATAATTAAATTTGAAGTGATTTTGAATTAAAAATTTTGGATAATTTTATTTGCTAATTTTTTTAAAATTATAAATAATTATCAAATTTCATAAAAATTTTAATTGAAAAATAGTTTAAAATAATTGAATTTGTAAAGAATTTCATTAAAATTATTAAAAATAATTAATTTAGTTGAGAATTTTAGTTAAAAATTTGTTAAATAATTGAAATAAAGAAGATCTGAAGAAGATCTGCATTGTATACTAAAAAAATCCTATTTTTTGTTTAAAAATTAAAAAAAAAATGTAAAAAAAGTCGCATTTTATTAAAATAAGTCGAAAAAAGTTTTTATAACATCTTGCTTCAAAAACTCGATTAAAGCACAGTTAAATGGAGAGAAAATTGTAATAGTTACTCCTTCCATCACAGCACTTTAGACGAGTTTATTTTTTCCTTCTTCCCTTAAAAATAACTATTTTCATACTTTTCTCGACAATTGGATTTGAAACTACAGGAGCCAATGGTTCCCAATCCTTTTTTCCATTTATTTTCCTTGGAATAAAACCTTGAAAACACAGTCTAACAACATTGAGAGCAATATTGGCGTGAGTTCTTCTATGTTCAAATCCAACTGTAAACAAAAAGAGAAATTAATTTTTGAAAAAAAAAATATATTTTGATATTAATTAATAAATAAATAATTTTAATATTCATACCAGCAAAAGGATCGACCCTCTCTTTTTCTCGTTCGGTTAACGATGCCTCAACATCCTTTCGTCTCACGCATTGAATGCCGAGATTTGGAAATGATACTGTCATATTGTCACCCCTAAGGCGAACACGACAAACACCATTTTTACAACTTTCAGCTCTACCAACCAATTTGTGTGGATGAGCTCTTGGTCGATTATTTGGATTGTCCTCAACAGTTACACATGAAACGACAATCGTTATACTTCCTGTGTATCCCACTACCTATTGGAAAAAATATTTATATATTAAATAATAGAGGGACAGACCATTATAATTCGAACAAAGTGTAATGCGAACAGCATAATTTTGAAAAAAAAAAAAAAAATTGATGATACTTTCAGAAATTATTTTGTATAATATCTAGGGAACGAAATTAAAAGAATTATGTTAAAAATTTTATTATTTCTCTTAAAATGATGAGTTGCAAGTGGAGAAGGTACAGAAAACTATCATTTTTTTTAGCAATTAGAAAATATATTTTTAAAAAACGATACCTCTATGCAAAACTAACCACTCTGGCCTTATAACTCTAAAAAAACCGGTTTCACGTTAGTTGTTTAAACTAACCACTATTCAGTTGCATCTCTAAAACAACCAAAATGTAATTTTTCTAAATTTTACAGAAGAGCAGCATTTTAAGTAATTGACTGTTTCGTTAGCAGTAATTCATTTCATTGATTCTTATTTTTAAAAAATATGTACAAAATTTTAACTTTTTATTTAAAAAAGTAAATAAGCTTATATAATTAAAATTGAGAAAAAATTAATTTTCACTAAAAATGCAGTTCGATTGCTTTAGACGATCAACGTGAAATCGAGTTTTTTAAGAGGTTGAAAGCCAGAGTGGTTAGTTTAATTTTTGTATAGAGGTATCGATAAAAAGAATTATTGATTTTTGTTTAGTATATTAATTAATTTATTATTGTTTAATGTTTAAAATAGTGAAAAACAAAATAAAATTTAATAATGCCTTAATAAGAATAATTGCATATATGAATTTATCAGAAAATTTTATTCATATAATATTAAATTCATATAATTCATATAATTATTTAAAAATTGAAATAATTGATGAATTAAAATTGAAAATTATTAATTTGGCAAAAAATTTTAGACAATTTTAAAAATATAGTTTTAAAAATATTACATATTTAAGATTTTTAGAAATAGTTAATTTTTTGTTTTTCAATTGCAGACAATAATTGAATATTACAAATTTTTAAGTAAATAATTAAAAAATATTCTAAATAATTGAATTTTAGAACAACTTCGTTAAAAAATTCATTTGCATTTTGCCATTGTTCTAATTATTTATAAAATGTATATAATATCAATTTAAAATTTTTCACCATATAATTTTACAATAAATATAATTTTTATTTTTAATGACAAAAAATATTGAGAAATCAAGAAATATGATAAATTAGTTTAAATATGGTAAAAAATTATTTTCTGCGTATATCTTAATTAGGACTTTGCCATCAGAATGATAACACTATTAATTGTATTTATATGTAAATTCAAAATGTTGAATAAGAAAAAAATTTAAATTCAAATAAATCAGTTTTATTTTTTTAAATAATTCACTTAAAGTAGAAAAAAGGATTTTTAAGCTTAATTGTTTAAAGAGAAAATTTTTTTTTTTCTTTTTTCACTTTTTTATTAATCCTTCTTTTGTAGAAAATATAAATTAATACATTAAATTAAAATAAACTATTTACTCTATTTATTTAGACTTTATAATTTATAAACAATTAAAAAAAAATGTTATCGTTTATCTTTATCCAATAAATTAAAATTAAAAAATTTAGAAATATTTTTAAGACAAAAATTAAATTATTAAAATAGAAAAAACCGAGATACGTCAGCTAGTTCTTTAATAATAATAATAATAATAATAATAATAATAAAAATAATAAATTTAATCAAATTAATAATAAAATTCCCAAATAATATATATATATATATATATATATATATATATATATATATATATATATATATATATATATATATATATATATATTAGAAATCAGACGGACACAGTCAAAATAAAAATTATTCCAATTTTAAATTTTCATATTTATTTAAATAAAAAAATAATTTTTAATTAAAAACTTTTTTAGATAAGAAAAATGTGAGAAATTTTATTTTTATATTTTCAATAATTAAAAGTAATATTTTAGTAAAGATTATGTTTTTTTGTTAAATTATTAAATTTTTTATGTTATATATATTAATTTCCTATTTTGTTAAAAAACAACTAATTTTTAATAAAAAAATGCAATTTTAATATGAATTAAAAATTTAATTTGTTTTTTTGCAATGAAATTTTTTTAAAATATAAAATTATTATTTTTGAATTAAAAATTCAAAAATAACTGGAATAAATTTTGTTCCGATTGTTCATTTGTTTTTTTTTTTTTTTTTTTTAAATATTATTACTTTTACAATTTTTATTTTATAAAATTTATTAAAATTTTTAAAATTTTGTTTTTAAATTAATAAATTAAATAATAATAAATATATATAGATAAATAAATTTTTCAACTCACTCGAATAGTGGGATAAGTTTTCATATCAGGTCGACTATTTTCACCTGGTATACTTCCCGCTGATCGACCCTCAATTTCATAACGAAATCGAATTCCACTAGCAGGCTGCTCTAAAATTTCAATATAAGGACGATGACTCTCATTTTGTAAATGATGATGTTCCATAATTGGCGAAAATGAATTTCCTTGAAATTCGTCTTCCATTTCAGTATGCATATCGTCGTCTAATATTGTTCCACCAATTTCATCATTTTGAATAACTTCCACTAAAGAGACATACACACAGAGAGAGTGAGAGAAGGGGGGGGGGGATTTTTAATTTTCCCTCTTTTTTTTATAAAATAACATAAATAGAACAAAAATTATTTTCATAAATATTTAATTTGAAAAAAATTAATTTTTTTACAATATATATGTAAATTAAATTTTTAAAATCAAAAATTTTTTTTTTCTTTAAATTTTTAATTAAATTAAAATTACTCACTAACGTCGCTCATATGCAAATTTTCTTCACCATTATATTCGGCCATAGTTTTTCTCGAATTTTATCACTCGATAGGATCTTGATTACGGTCCAGCCTATAATAATTATTCTCAATAATCACTTTCTAATAAAATTAGAAAAATTACATACAGACAAAACTTTAATAAATAAACTATTTATTATATTTAAGTACATATGTAAAGAAATAAAACAAAAAAAAACTATTAACGAATAATTGTCATAACGCTCAATATCAACGATTTAAAAGAAAAAATATTTTTCTATATTATGAAAATTATTATAATTTGTTATAAAAAAAAAAAAAATTTTTGCAACGTTCCTCGATCAACAATAAAGAAGAAAAATTTATAGACGAAAAAAATTAATAATTATTTTTCGAGTGAAATTAATTTTTTTAATCGTTGATGAACTTCACGTAATAATGAAAGTAAAATAATGCCTTTATTCGAAAAATGTTGAATTTAATCATTTTTTTTTAATATTCAATTCTACAATCAAGAATTGCGCGCACTGATAACAGTACATATATGATAACTGTTCACGTTGGAAATTCGACTGTTTAGGTCAACCAAGTTCAAAAATATTACAGAGAGATAATACCTTTAGTTATTTTTCTTTTGTTTTAGTTAAAAAATATTTAAAGTATTCAAACATTAAAATTACATTTTTTTACTTTAAAATTTAATGTAATATATATTATATTTCCATTAGATATACAAACAGTTTATATACTATACATAAGAAATCATTTTAGAAAGGCATTAATGAATAAATAATTATTTAGATGTAAGAATTTTCGAAAAATTATTTACGTATTAACAAAAATTTGGTCTCAAATCACTGTTTTTAACCAAAAGAAAGTTCTATTTTTTTTTTTGTTAGCAAACCAAAAAGAGAATAATTTACAATTTAAATATGGAAAAAAATAATATGAATTGTAAAAAAACACGAAATTAAAATGTTTTTGTAATCTAAAAATAATAAACAATGAATTTTAAAGACGAGAACAGAAACGCAATAATGTAAAAAATTATAGGTTATGAAAGACCATATGTGATATTATTAATTTTCAAAGATAATAATGTCTAGATCAAAAGACACAAGGGCAAAAGAGAGTATTAACTCGAGGGGTTGAATGGTGATCCAATCATTATTTTTGGAAAGCCTAGGCCTCTTCGGTCTATAATTAAACTATATATCGTAGGAGAGACAATGTATACTTGCCTGCATATCGAGATCCAGCCGCGAAATTCTTCCGTGGAAGCTCCAAAAATTCTACTGCTTTATTTATAAACATACATACATATATATATCTATATAAATTCAATTCATTTTCACACACGTGTTTTTTTTCTCATCACTAAACGCATGTGTCACACATTTTAATCACAAAATTTTGAGCACAAACTCCTGCATCGGTGGGGAAAAAAAATATACAGTGATGCACTATTATATTTTTTTTTTACTTCAAAAAAAAAAAGAAAACAACTATTGGAAGCGTATGGCTATAACGTATTTAAGAAACTATATTACTATACACCTGAGGAACAATAAAAAAATATATATTTTTTTGAATCATGTGTCATTTGCGGGTTTTCCACCCGCGACACCCGGGGAAAAAACAACTTCTTGATAAGGTTTTACTGTGCGAATAATCGGCGAACTCGCGAACAAACACCCGATGACCCACGAGAGAAATTTTGAAGATGCGCAAACGCAAGTTCACATAATAATAAATATAAGCGCCGCGATCAGGTTGAAACTCGCTGCTCAGAGACGAACTGCGCCACTCTAAAATTATTTTTGGCAAATAAGAAAGAGATCTTTTCGGAATATAGTGACTGACATATTCCCTTAATCTGAATATTTATACTATATATATACACAAATTCACATACAATATTGCGCCGACAAAAATGAAATTGCACATGATTTTTTAAATTATAAACAAAAATTAATGATAAAAAAAAAATACATATAGTTTGTTTTTGAACATTGTTGACAAAAAAGAAATTAAGTCCCAGGGGCCCTTATCTGTACGCGTCGGTCCTGAATTTAAATGTCAGACATGTTTACACATTACACTTGTTGATAAGTTTTTAAATTTTCAATTCTGACTAAAAAGTATAACAAAATATTGTAATTTTAATAAAAATTTGAGTTTCTGTTTAAAAAAAAAATGAATTGTTAAATAATTGATCCATTACTGATAGTAATAATTTATATATGTATAGATATACACAAAGAGAAAGGTATTTATGTTTATGTTATTGTGATTGAAAGGATTTTTTTTATTGTTATGCGACCGCACAAAAACACGAATCTCACACCAATCGTAAAATTTCAGAGTTGTAACCTCATAATGTTTCTTAGAATTCGTTTACATAGTTCCGAACTTGTTTTGAGAGTGGGCCCTTGTCGAAAATCACTTTCCACGTGGAGAGCTTAGCGCGCACGCGACTCGATTGTTGGTTTTCTCTCATGTACGTGTTTTAAAGATATATATCCTAGAGTTTAACAAATTATGCAAATTATCATTGACCTTCAGCTTTAAGAAGGAAAAAATAAATTGTATATTTTCCAGCACTCTTCACGAATCACGAGGATACATTATATGATTTTTATTATATATATGTATATTATATGCAAACAGTGGTACAGTTTAAACAGTAGAACACTTTAATTTTTTGAAAAACTACTTAAAGAAACTCAACCAAAATTTAAATGTAAACCATGTTTATGACAACACACTATCTCCAAAAATTTTAGCCACATTGATTCATTATTTACAAAGAAAATTGAAAAAAACTGTTTTTGACGTACAAGAGTAAATTTTTTTCTTGAAATACAATGCTGATTTTTATATAGATAGGACAGTTTTAAAAAAAATGTAATTATTACTTCGTTTACTCATGCTTTTAAGTATAATATCCAATAATTTAAAATATTTTAAAATTTTACAAACAATTTTTATTTAAATAATTTGTTGCGATTGCTTCATTTTAAACAGTGGGACATTAAACACTGGGACAAGCAAAAATTTAAGTTTATGAAACGTGGATTTTGGCAACACTGACTATAAGTTGTGTCAGCTATACGCATGCGCATTTATATACTTACACAGCGACTAAAAATGTGCTTTTTTATGCTAAAAACAATAAAAAATTCAAAATTTATAATTAATAATTATTACAATTATTGTTCGACAACATTTAAAAAGTAACACTTGATAATGGAACGACTATATTCAAATTTTGATCCAAATTGTTTTTAGGTTATGACCAAATATTGTGACGTATGATCAGCAGTACTGTAAACATGAAAAAAAATAATAGCAATTTTTTATATGAAACTTGACATTGTATTATAAAAATGTAAAATATTATTAAATTATGAGTGTTTTGCAACATTTGTTAACGTTATTTAATGCAAAAAATATATATTTACAAAGTATGAAGCAGAATATTATTATTGAAATAATTATTCGGTTCTTAGTAATAGCTGTCCCACTGTTAAACACAAACCTTCAAAACAAGAAAAATGTATCAAGTTTCAAAAACTTCAAATTTTTTTTATTTAATAAGTATTAAAAAAAAATTAACAAAATTAAAATAAATAAAAAAAATATTATTAAAAATAATAATAATTATATTAAAATCATAATTCCGAAATTTTGTCAGAATTTTCGAATTTTTGTTTTTTTTTTCTCTATTTTTTAACCGTTTCTTTTTATATCGCTATGTCTCATAGATTTCATGGAAATCTATCAGAAAAATCGTCATAATACTTGTTTTTTATCCTAATACGTTTTTTATTCGAATTTCACGGTTTTCGTGGACAATTTCGAAATACCGAATTTTTTTGTCAAATTTTCAATAATGACCACATTTTATTTTATAATTGTAGAAAATAGCAACAAATTACAAATTTGATGCCAATCCCTTGATTAAGGGATGTCATCTTTTGGGAATATATTTTTTAGTATGTCTTAAATGTATTGCATTTTTTTCGAATTTTTGATTTTATTTCTCTATTTTTAATTATGTTATTATTATATAAAAACAAACATCGGTTGTAAATATTTTTTACATTTTTAATTTATTTCTTAACCGCTACATTAAACGTAAAAACGTAACGAAATTTTATAAATTCAGTACGTAAAATATGGTTAATCTTCACCCGAGCGAGCGAGGAATACGTCGCTAGTAATAATATTAATATTAAATTTTTAATTTTAATTTTATATAATTTTTAATATTATTTTGTTATTTTTAACTATTTTTATAATTATAATAATAATTGTTAAGAATTAAATTTAAAAATGAGAATGCAGAATTTAAAAATTTTTTTTTTTTACTTCCTGTAAAAACAACTATATATTTTCTCTTTTTCAGATTTCTGATCTAATCGAGGTAGAAGATGAAAAAGAGAGAATTAAAAATCGTTTGTTACCGGCAAAAGGTGGTCTTCAAATTTTGGGAAAATTTCGAGTCATATTTCCATTTGGAGATCCCTTTTTTCCAACAGTACCGAAGGGGAAAATGATACTTTGTTTGGATTGTGCAATCAAAAGAAATAAGTTCATTGAAAGAAAATTTCAAGAAGAGGTTTTAATAAAAAATCTAATTGGCGAATAATTGGGTGCATTCAAATTTGCAAAATTTCAATTAAATTTTTGGCACAAAATGAATGCCGATAGCACTTTTAAGCGTAAAAGAATTTCATTGCATAGACTTTTTTTTTTAGCCGATATTTAATTTCTTCCAATTAAGTATATTTGACAGAATTTTTAGATCACTGAATTTTTATTTAACAAAATTTTTATTTTTTTTAAAAATAATTTCTCCTTTTTCTTAATTATTCGGTCATTTAAAATTTCAATTAAATTATATAATTGAATATGCGAGAAAATAAAAATTCTTTTGAAATAAAATTTTAGGTACGAAAAAATTCTGTAAAATGAAAATTCTAATAAATTTTATAGAATTTTCATTCGATCCTCTCAGAATTTAATTTTTTTTTTAATTTTTCAGAAGAATAGCAGTGTCTTTTCTTTTTAAATTACAGTTATTTCAATTATTTAATTAAATTTTATTAACCCAATATTACATAAAATAACATAAAATATAATTATCAATTTTATGAAATTATAAAAAAAAACAATTTTTTTTTTACTTGCTTGGCTTTATGATGGATTGCCTATTGTAAGGCGTTTTAAAAACTCAAATTTAAGTTTGTTTTAAGAATTTAAAAAAAAAGAAATGTTAATTTTAATTGAGCTACTGTTAAATATTTTATTATTTATTATTATTGTAACGAATAAAATTTAATTAATTTATTAAAATTAAAATTTTTTTTTAATCGCGTAAAAATTAGTTTTGTAATTTTTAATTTCCGTGAATTTAATTTAAGTAATTGATATTTATTGTAGAATAAAATTTTAAAAGTAGTATTTAAAACGCAAAAAAAAAAGAAATAAAGATTTATCAAAGCGAAGGTTTTGAGGAGAGGAGCATTGCGTGTGTTTCTATTTATAAATTAAAAACATAAGGTTTTATAACTGCTGTTTTTAATATCAGATTTTTATTTACTTTTAAATAAAATAATTATAAACAAATTCTTTCAATTTTTTTAAAATAAATTTTTGTGTTCAATTTTTTTTTTTAAACAAAACAAAAAAATAAAATAAAAAGTAAATTAAAATTTTATTCGATTACTTTCAATAGTCATTTGTTTTTGGTAATACTTAAAAATTGTCAAATGTTGCTAAGAAGCGATTATAAACAAATTTCTATCATTTTATGTTGTGTATATTGAATTCTGAATATTGTTTGTTTGTTTTTTTATTCAGAATGTCCGAAATAACGATAGCATCAAAAAGCAATACTGAAGTACAATATCTCAGCAATAAGTGTCATGAAGATTTTACATCTTCATCACACAAAGCAGCGGTGAAAAATGCAACTCAATATGTTAAACGAAGATTACAATATTCTCAATTGCCAGTAAGATGTCAAAAAAGACCAATTTATCGACCAGCAAAAAATTCCTACAAATTACAAGGATCATCAATTATTCCAACAATTAATTTAATCAAGACAAATTCGACGAAAAATTTAGCGGATAATTTGAAATGTTCATCAGGTTCACGAATTCCAATAACACCCCGATGTAAAAGAAGTATTTCTCTTGTCGATCTATCACCAGGTGTTAATAATCCAGAATTTGGTGATTTGAGGTGATTTATTTATTTATTTTTTTTTAACATCATAAAATAATATTCTAATTTTTTTTTCAAATGCCCTAGGAACTTGAATTATTTAAATAAATGTTAATTTAAAAAAAAATCGCTTTAAATAAAATAATAAGAAAATAATTTTTAAAAAGCGTTACTTTACTATTTTATTTTTTAAAACATAATATTGTAATTTGGTTTTTAATTTCAATTTTATAATATATAATAATTATTATAAAAAGTATATAAATTTTAAATAATTAAAAACAATTGTTTTTTGTTAATTGAGAGAAATTGATGAAATTTGCTTTGTATAAATAAAGATCGGAAAGTAATTCGAATTCAACAAGACGAGAAGAAATTGAAGAGCGTAAAGCGGCAGTTGAAATGTTGGGTGTAGTTGAAATTGGCATGGAATATGGACAAACAAAAGAAATGAATTGTCAATTAGAGGAAGAAAATAAAGCCGCAAGTTTAGTGTGTCGTGTATTACTTATGAATGCATGGCGCAAAAGACGAGAAGAAGTTGTTCAACTTCAGACAAATGTTGAACAATTAAATCAGCAAGTCGATCATCTTCATATTCAAATTGTTGTTCTTCGTCGATTACTTGAAACTGAAAATGGTCGAATTGGAAAAATTACACATGAAATTAATCAAACAAAATTACAATTAAATGAAGTTATTCAAGAGAAAGAGACTCTAATATTGGTACCATAAATATAATTATAAACAAATTTTTATTCTTTAAATTTACAAATTTTTGAAATTTTTTAAAATCTTTTTAATAACCATGTATAGAAAATTTAATTTTTTATTATTATTTCAATTATTTAATAATTCATTAATATTTTTTTATATTTTTTTCTCAATTTTATAAAATTTAATTATTTAACCAGTTCATTTACAATAGAAATTTAATTTGTTATAATATAAAATTATAAATTATTTTTTGTCCTATCTGCACGGAAATATTAAATATTATTATTAAATTAAAATAAATATTATTGAATATATTTAAGAAAGAAAAATAATAGAAAATTCATAATTTGAGACTAGATCAAAACTTACCTTTGGTTACATAAAGAGAAAGTTCAGTATATGAAAAGTGTAACTAAATTATATTGAATTGTGTCATATGTTTCTGATTTTTCAATTCTCTTCCTATTTTACTATAAATTTTACTTTTACTATAAAGAAATTAATATTCTTTTAATTTTATTATAGAAATTAAGTTTTTAAGGATTAATTTACTAAGTATATATATATATATATATATAATGAAGGATTTTTGTATACTTTTAAAAGGAAAAAGAAAATCTCGAAAGAAAAGTTCAATCCATCCGGGATTCGTCAGAACAGGAAAAAGTGGCTGCGGAAAACTTGAGGAATCAATTATTTGGCTTGAAAAGTCAGTTGGAGGCACTAGACGGTCAAATAACTCGAGACAGAGAAAAAATATTGAAATTAAGAGAAGACAAGAAAATTTTAACAGAAAAGGTATAGAAAATTTTATTTTATTTATTTATTATTTATTTTTTAATACTTAAAAAAGAGATCAGCGATTTCAGGAATTTTTTTTTTTTTTTTTTTGCTACTGTTGATAAAAATTAATTTATTGTTGGATGCTAATTTAAAAGAAAATAATATTCTTAATAATAAATTTAAAATTATTAAGGTATAAATTAATAAAAAAATAAATTTAAATTATTAAATAATAGAAATAATTTTTTTAAAAATTTGAAAAAGGAATGAAAAATTATTTTTGAAATAATAATTTAAAGCTGATGAATATTTTTTTATATTTTATTTATTTTTATCAATGTTAAAAATAATTGGTTGTGGAAAAATATTTTTTTTTTTCTATTTTCGTTTTAATTTTATCAACTTTTTATAAATATGCAAATAAAAGAGAATTTTGAAAATTATTTAAAATTCGATTGCTCAAGATTTATACAATTATGTCTTCGTATCATGAATATATATTTTTTTATTGTAAAAATTGATCGTGTGACTCATGACCAGCGTTGATTGTATACATGTGTCTATATAGAACTAGAGTTCACTCGAGTTTGGGGGGTGGTTTTCTTATCTTTGCGTCAATACTATATATATATGTATAATCTTTAGCAAAAAAGTTTGGGTGGTTCCAGGAAATTAGTGATTCATCCTTTCACATAACATATTACATTATATGTGCATAATTTTTGATTGCCAAAAAATGTGCACGAAATTTTATTAATTATTATAATTATATTATTACAAGAAATTAGAATTTAAATATTATTAATTTATTTTTACATTTATTATTTATAAAATGAATTTTTATGAAATTTGTACAAAGTTTATAAATTCTGTCTTTTTAATTAACTTTTTGTAAAATTTAATTTCGTTTCATTTTAGTTCATCAAATTTTATTAAATATTTTTTTTTTTTTTAATTAAAATCAACTAATTAAGTAAATTAATTAATTAATTTATTTATTTATTAAAATTCTAAAAAATCGACTTTTCTTCTAATGCAAATCGACTATAACGATTTTTTTTTGTCATTCTGAGTTCTGTAATAAAATTGTTTCGAAAAATGCAAAAATTTTTCGAAACAATTTATAATTACCTAATAAAAATAAAAAGTTTTGGAAAATAAAAATTCGTCAAAGAAAAAAAAAATTATTTTATTTAAATATTAAAACTTTAACAAAAATAATTGAAGAAGTATTTAATTTAATTTTAATTTTTTTTTTAAAGAAAGGATTGTATATGAGATATACATTCTTTGTTAAATCCCGTTGAAGGAATTATATTTCATTCGAAATTTTTTTTGCAAATTAAAATTAATGTATCACTTTGATCTTAGATTTTCTCTGCGGTTTTCTTCTCTTGGGGGATTATAAACGTAGGGCAATGTATTATGGGTAGGTAAGTCAATGTACTGACTGAGGGCATATATATATACAGTAGGGGTGAGTCACACTCTAGTTTTTCGCTGATGACTCAATGTCACATAACTGCTTCTCTTGTAACTAGTTTGCTTGGAATAATAAAATTCATTTCCGTTTTATTTATTTATTTATTATATACCTCTGGTAATAATCAATATTCTTAGCAAATCTTTAAAGCTACTTTGCTTTCTGTTATCACATATATATATATATAACTGCAAAAGAATATTTTATTCAAATTTCCTACCGGAAGAACTGACCCAAAAATGAATTAATTTAAACTTTATTTATACTTCGTACCGTTTTGAGTTTGAATTATTGGTTTCGTGCTCTTTTTTCAATTATTTACTAAAAAAAAAGAAATTAAGTTTAATTTTATATATACACAGATTACTGCCAATGAGGAACAGTTGAAAAACGAGAGATTAAAGAACGAAGAATTGAAACTCTTGGTCGCATCCTCTGATGAAAAGGCGCAATTATCTTTCAAGTAATTTTTAAAAATCAAATTTATTTTTTTAATTTTATCATATTTTCGTCTTTTGTAATTTTAGTTTTCCTCATAGATTTATAAATAAATAAATTATAATATAATTTGTTTATGTAATTACTCCAATTAACGTTTTTCTAAAATTTTTTTATTCAATTATTTCAAATAAATGAATTTTACAAATAAAAATTGTGAATTAATTTTTAGGATGCTCGCATTCTTTAATAATAATTATAGTATTTTTTCGTTTTTCTTATTTTTTTAATTCACTACTTTTTTATAAAAAGATGTTTCTATTTTTTTTCTTGTAAGCCCGTTTAAAATGAAAATAAATAATAATGATTATAAAACTGTTTTGCATTTTTTTTTTAGAGAATTGAAAAAAAAGGAAGAAGAAGCTGAAAAATTGAAGGAACAATTGAAACTCAGTAAAAATGTAGCAACAGCTCTTGAAAATAAACTTTCAGATCGTGAGGCTGCATTAAGAAAAGTTGAAACTGCATTTAATTCACAAATGTAAGTCAAATACAATTATAAAGTTAAAATATATGTTTAATAAATTTTTTAAAAATAAATCAAAGACGTTTAAAAGTGCAATTTATTAATTAATTAAAAATTTAATTTCTTTTTAATAATTAAAATTTTATTATGAAATGAAATAAAATGGAAATTTTTTTAATTATATTGATATTTGAAAGGCAATCTTAAAAAATTTTTTTTTTGTTTTTTTGCATTGAAATGTAAGTGTAATTAATTTTATAATAATAATATTTTAAAAAATAAAAGAAAATTCGTTAAAGAGTAATTAATTCATAAAATTAATTTCAATATTTTTTTTTATTTTTATTTAATTAATTTTAAATAAATATTCAATAATATTTTTGTAATTAAAAATTGTTTTGTATTTATTCTACTTACTTGTAAAATATTGTCAATGATGATTAAATAATTTTTTAGATTTGAATTAAACGAATTGAAAGAACGTCTAATTCGTCAATCTCAAGAAATTGGATGGAGTACTCGAGTTTTGCAATTTGCCGGAAGTTTTGTTCGAGCTCCTCGAGCAATTTTACGATCATTATCGTTTTTCTCTAGTTCTGGAACAAATATACTTTGAAAACTTTTTGGTAAATTAATTTCAAGTATTTTTTTAACTTCTTTTCAAACAGAAGAAATATTAAGAATTATTTTAAATTTTTTTTTTTTTTTTTAAATTAATTCTTAATTTTTTTTTCACTTTGAAAGAAGAAAGTAATTTTTTCTATTTTTTAAATTTCATGAAAAAACTATTTTAATTTATAATTTATTTTTATAATTATTTTTTTTTAATAATTTAATTAACATGTAAAAATATAAGTAACAAAAATCTATTTTAGTATCTTCTAAAAAGCTTTTGATGAACAATTCGCAGTCACTTATATATATTCCAAGGAGCGATTCTCTGAACGAATTTCTTTTTTTTTTCTTTTTTTTTGCACAAGGCAAAAAAGAAGTCTTGAACTGCTGTATAGAATGTGTTGGGGAGAAAGGGACAAATAATAAAAAGGGGATTCAATTGGCAGTGAAAACTAAATTACCAAGCACGAATCTTCAATTATTTTTATACTACACTTGCATAGTTTACAAGTGATTTTTTTTTTTTTTTTTTAACAAAAAGAAAAAAAATGTATGTATTATTTTAATGATCTTTTTTTTTAATTTCTGTATTTTATCAAAAGAAAAAGGGGGAAAAAATTGGATAAAGGAATTTTTTTCTAGAATAAATATATATACATGTACAACTAAATAATATTTTCAATCTATGTATTTTTACAACTTTTTTTTTTCTTACAGTAACTTAGAAAAAATAAGCTACTGCATCAGATATGACACACTAAAAACGTATGAATAGTACCTATATTATTATTCTTTTTCTTTTATTTTATCATTCATTATTTCATTATTATTATTACTAATTTTTTTATTATTATCGCTATTATATTATTGTTGATGAAATTGTTTCAAAGATTTTCCAGGGATTTTTTCACATACCACTGTTTAATGAAAATAATTTTTGAACTAAATTTACAAATTACATAACTAAGTTAATAATAAAATTGCAAATTGGAACTTTTAATTTTTTTAATATCATATTTTCGATTAATTAAATAAAAATTGATTGAATTAATAAATAAACAATAAATAAATAAATAACTATTTTCAACTAGGGAAATTAATATTTAAAATATTTTCAAATAATAAAAATATTTATTTAATTTAAAAAAATAGAATTATATATTTTTCAATTACCATCAACCAAAGTAATTATAACGTCCATGAAGTTCACAGCGTTTATAATTAACGATATTTAGAAGAAAAACTATTTTTCTATGCAAATTCTATAATTTCTATAATTTTTTGTCTAAAAACATTTTTATAACGTTTCTTGATCAACAATTTTTAGAAGAAAATAATTTGTAAAAAATATAAATATTAATTATTAAAATTTTAAATAATTTTATAATATTTAAATATTCCCGCGCTCTGAAGAAAGGTATATTAAAAGCAAAGAATTATGGATTATATTTTGAAATTTTGTAAAAATACATATACATTGATATTTAATTCTTCACTATACATCAAAAATATTCAATAAAAACTGGTATAAATTTTACACAAATAAAGAAACTTTTAAAGTAAAACTATCGTGAACATAACCTATAATTCTTTTGCTTCTAAGGTCGCTTTCTTCACAGCGCATTACAATAATGTATATCTTGTGGAATCTTCTAAATTTTTATATCAGTATTTTATAAAATATTTCAAGTAAGTGTTTGTCAATTATGTTGAGATAATGTTTATGTGGTACGCTAACTTTTTATTTGCGATATTTCAAAGAGAAAAGTGTGAAAAATGATAAAAATTAGAATTTTCTGGGTAAGTAATTAAACGATTTTTTAAAAAAATTAATTATTTCTCAAAAATTTGTTTTGCAGTAAGTAAATAAGTACATATTTTCCATACCTTTTTGACATATTTTAAAATAAGTATCAAAAAATTAGAAATAAGTAAATTATTAGTTTACAAGGGGTGCAAAATAACCTCAAAAATTAAACTATCATTAAAATTTATGTTTTTTTAAAATTAATTTTATAGCTTTTTCTATAAAAATAATTTAAAAAGCTTGTTAGAAATTATATTGTTCTGTTTACTTAACCTGAAAAGTGTTAAATAAAAAATTTACATTTTAGTAAAAAAATGATTCAGGTTCGCAGTTAATAGTTAATTTTTTTTTTAATTCTGTATTTTAATAACGTTTTGAGTAAAAAAAACTAGCGTTTTTGTGTGTGTTTATAAATACCCCGGTTGACGGTATATATTTTCCAATTTTTTTTATTTAATTATAAAAATTGTGAATTAAAAACAACTAATTCGAAAATAATTATTCCAAAACGATGTCTTTGTTATATTTGCACTTTAAGTACTTTAAAGACTTACAAAAAAGATAATTTTTCCCCTAATATAGATATATTAGCTTATTCTCTATGCAATACTTTAAAGATAAAATAAAATTGTTTTGCAATTAAAATTTAATTTTTACGATTTTAACGAACAGTTGCGTGATTAAGATTGTACAATTGTTACGAAGAAAAAGATATTGTCGAATTAGTTTTTTTTTTTTTAAAAAAAAAAAAAAACAGGACTTTTTTGTTTTAATGGAAATTATTTTATTAATTTAAAATTATTTCTTTTAAGAAAAAAAAGTTATTTCTTAATATTATGAAAAGTATAATTGAATATTAATGCTGAAATTATTTTCTTTTTAATACGAGTACATAATATTTTTTTTTTAACAAGAAAAATATTTTTAAATCTTAAAATGTTTTTAATACTTAAAATATTTTTAATACTAAAAGTTTATTTCTTATAATATAACACATAAATTATAATAATTGTCACTAAAACAGCCTTTTCAAAAATCTAAACTTGATTTTTTTTTAAATGCGCACTGATAAATATATACCTATATATAATAATAATATAGTTATATCAACTAAGGACGTAATCCATTAAAATTCTATTCCATTCCCAATTATTATTATTATAGCTAATAAATATACTTTATACAATTTCTAAACAATCTATAAAATATTCTATGCTTTTGTTTTTGACTAATTTTGTAATTTTTTTTTTTGTTTTCATTATCTGTTGTAGTATTAGTGAGCGAAGAGAGAAAACGTAAAAAAATATATAAAAATGTTCATATTTACCTAATATATAGTTAGAGAATGCATTTTAACCTGTTTAGAAATTAAGAACAAAATTAATGTGTTCGTAATAGTGAAGCTTTCGTATATATATATATAATATATAGGCAAAGAAAAAATCGCAATTACGAAGTTTAACAATCATTCAGTCGATAATAATTTATAATATGTATATCACAAATCTCAATTTTTCTCATAATATTATAAACTAATATTTTTATTTTCTATATAATTATTTTTTCTATTTTAATAATCGATATTCATATAAGTTCTCTCTTTATATTTCGAAATTATTTTTCACTGGTTTCATAAATTTTTCATTATTAATACAAATTATTAAATTCCCATTATTTTTTGTTTAAAAAATTTTTTTTTGAAAAATTTCAATAGTTATTTAAAACGTATAATTAGAAACATTGAAAATAATTTAGTTTTCTATATTAATATTTTACTTTATAACTATAAAAAATCATTTATATATATTTATATTCTAATTAAATAATTATTTAAAAAAAATATATTTAAATTATATTATTGGAAAGTTTAATAAATTAATATTTAAACATTTAAAAATACTTTAACGGATTTCTATATAAATATTTGTGACTTGAAAAATTTTCTCTGGTGATTAATATACATTATATTTTGAAAGAATTCAAAATATTTCGAATAAATAAAAAAGGAAATAATTTGTTACTAATTTTAAGGAATTTTTATGAAATGAACATTTAAAGAAGACTAATTGATAAATGAATTTTAGAAAATGTTGAAAAAATTTTGAATTCAAAAGAAAATATATATTATTATATTGAAATGATAAATGTGAAATATTTGCGACGTATATAATAGAGTAGAAAATGTAGTTGTATTTTACAGGTGTATTACGTTGAGCGTAAAATAAAAATGCTTCTTTTTTTTAAATAAAATTTTTGAGCTAGATTAAGAAATAGACTAGAGAGATAGAATGATAGATCCTAATTATTATTTTTATATCTATCATTTTTGTTTTTTAAATCATTCCAAAGCCTTCGGCCTCGCTGATTGCAAGAAGAAGAGCCTTTTCGAAGTTATCGTAGCACTCGTAGTCAGGCAAGCAAAGTTGATTGAAGCTTTATAAAAAAAAAAAAGAATTTTTAGTTTCAAAAAAAAAAAAAAATTTACTATACCTATTTCTAAAAATGATTTCAATTTTAAATGAATAAAATAAAATTTATAAATTAACATTATTATAGGCCCGTAAATTGCAAATAGATAAAATAATAAATAAATATTAAATGGAGAAATTTTATCTTATCTAAATAAATATTCAAAGAAAAAATTGATATTTAATGAAAAAAAAGGGAAAAATCAATTTTCATTCTCACCAAGTGTGTGCAGTGGGTAAATTGCCAAATGTTGGCGCAGCTGTGATTTGAAATCGAGGGCTCAATTGTTGAAAACCACCCGGAGGCAATTGCGAGCATCCAGTTGTAAATTGAAGTAATCTCGCCATTTCTTCTTGAGTAAAATTACTGACAGCCGTCCAAAACCAATCCAATACACGTAAAAATTCATTTGAATTTCCATTGGCTATATGATGAGCACGCAAATCCGCCACATTATATTCACCAGTTCCACAAAGAAGCAACTGACCAAAAAAAAAACAAAAATTTGCTTTTATTTTCTTTTTTTTCGAAATTAAATTAATTAAATTAAAAAAAATTAATTAATTAATTAAATAACTATATAAAAAAATAGAATAATATTCGAGAGGGCGCATAATTATCCCATAAAAATCATTAATTAGAATTTTCATTTAAAAAAATAAAAATTTTTTAAATAAATCATTTTTTAGACGAATTTTTATAGAATTTTTTTTTACACGAATTTTTTAAATGACTTTTTATTTGAAAGAATTTTAAATTTAATCGAATTTTATTTTTTATGTGATTCGAATTTTTAAATGATAGAAATTCCATTTAACCGAATTTTTATATTTGTACAAATTTTTAACACGACGAATTTTCATTTGTCCGAAATTAATAATAGTCGAAAAATCAATTTATCGAAAGATTTCGGCGCAATTTTTAAAATTGACCAATCACGATTTTTTTTTTGATAATTTCTAATTGGTCAATTTTTAAAATTGCATCGTCACCTTTCTGTCGATTGATTGTTCGGCTATTTATAATTTCGGACAAATGAAAATTCGTCGTCATAAAAATTTTATCAATTAAAAATTCGATGAATTTCTGTCATTTGAAAATTCGATTGAAATTCAAGAATTCTGTTAAATTAAAATGTTTTTTTTAAATAAAAAGTTATGTAAAGAAAATGACTGTAAAATAAAAATTCTGCCAAAAAAAAATTTGTTATGTAAAAATTTGTATAAAAAGAAAATCTGTTAAATGAAATTTAAAAAATAAAAATTCGTCTAAAAAATAATTTAAAATAAAATTTTTTCTAGCAAATTCATGCGCCTCTATTTGAAATATATAAATAAAAAAATATTACCTCAAGTTCATTTTCATCAAAAATTCCAAGCAAATTATCAGGAATAAGTTCATTAAGTCCCCTTAGAAAATGATCAATTTCATTACGCGATGAACTTGCAAGTCGATGTTGTGCCAATGCATCGAGATAACGAAGTTTTGTCTCATTAGTTACCTTAATTTTACCACCACCCGGTATTAATTCAGCAATTTTTATTAATTGTCCATCATTATCGTATTCCTCTTCAATAAAATAAAGATCCATTTCTTCGACATCATTTTCCAATATATATTTCACTTTACTTAAATATAAATCGGGTTCATCTTGCTCGAAATATTTATAATGAACGCGTAATCCAATTAATTGTGCAAGAAATGAACGAGTGAAACGTGCTCTCACCAATTGTCGATATGATCCACCAAGTGCCGATTCATAAAGACATTTGCCAACAATTCGACCAGCGAATTCATAATGTTTCAATTTTAAATGTGATGGTCGTTTATTATTTGGATGAACCAATGCCTGTTGTGAATCGCCTGACGATGAAAATAAACCATTGCCCGCATTAAAAAGTGAAGCGCATATTAATTCAAACCATTCACGACGAACGCCACCCCAATCGACACCTAATAAAAATTTAAATATTGCATTTAATTAAATATGGACTTTAAAATGCAAAAAAAAAAGAATTTATTTTTAAAATTTTAAACAAATTATTGAAGTTTATAAAATTTTTTAATTAAAAAATAGTTTTTAAGATAATTAAATTTGTGAAGAATGTTATTAAAATTATTGAAAATAATTGATTGAGAGAAAAATTTAAACAAAAAAATAAATATTTTTCACTCGAAATTAATTAATTTCTTGTGTAAAAATTTTCTTCTAAAAATTGTTGATCAAGGAACGTTGCAAAAAAAAAAAATTTCAGATAACAAATTACAATAATTTACATAGAAAAATATTTTTATCTTCTAAATCGTTAATCATAAACGTTGTAAATTTCACTGACGTGCTATTTTAATTAGATGATAAGATTAAATAAACAAATTGTTACCTTGTTCGCCTTGGAATGTAATTTCAAAATTTCTGCACCAGTCACTGACCGAAAAACCTTTAGATGCTTTCATAGACTACGTGAGAAAATAATTATAAATTTAGTTCAAATAGAAAAATAATGGTTTAATTAATAATAATTAATAATTTCATTAAATTTAATTTTTAATTAATTTAATTTTTCAGTAGTAAAAAAAAAAAGAAAATCAAATTTAGTTTAAGTAAAATTAAAATTTCTTAAATGAAATATTTCCTCATTTTCTATAAATCAAAAAATATGTGACAAAATATTTATTTATTTTTTTTAAAATAAATATTTAGTTTATTTAATATTTCTTTTTTTTGATAGTAATATTAATTAGTAAAATAAATATTGATATGCGTTAACTTACGGATTCAAGAAGTTTTTCACGTTGAACTTTTATTGATAATTTCTCGTGATAATGTTTTTGATGATGTTTTCGTACTTCATGATAAAAGAAATCCTGTTTATCGGCAAACGTTTCACTTCCTCCGATGTTTTTCAGTAAAAATAGAGTAAATGTGGCAGCAATAATATCACGACAATGTGAAATCAATTCTACCGGAGGTTGACAACCATCGTCAATTGTAAACGAGTCACTGTTTGAACTTTCAAAGTAAAACTAACAACAAAAAAAGAAACAAGAAAATAATCAAATTGTTTCAAAAAAATTAGAAAAATAAATAAATAAAACTAAATAAAAAAATTACTAATTAAATTTTTGAAATATTATTTTTTTGTCTATTTCACAATTTTTTTTTTTACTCCCTAATATTGCATATATAATTAATTTCGAAGAATATAGTAAGAACCTAATAAAAGAAAAATAATGTTGCACTAAAAAATTGTAATAAAAATTATTACGAATAATTACACTTTACGAGAAGTAGAAGTAAAGAAATTTGTTTTTTTTATATAAATTCGCTATATAAATTCTACAAATACTTTTGGTTAGAAATAAATTAAATTTTTTTTATGAATACTGTTTAATATAAGTGGCTTAGAAATTCGCATCGTGAAAAAATTATTTTACAATTATTTTTTTTTTCATTTTTATAAACAAATTACATAAACAATTATACGAACATTAATAAATAGTTGTGTTTTTTTAAAGTGGAATTTAGATTATGCAAATAAATTTTATTCTCAATACAAAAAATGCTGTTTTTAATTTTCTTATTAAAGAAAAAAAAAAACAAATTGCTTACTTGAATTTGGAAATTGTTTATAAAAATAAGAAAATTTGAAAACACATTTTTTTATTTTATAGTTTAATTGCATATAAACTAAATTTTATTTATAAAAAGGGCGATTAAATTTTTCTTTGTGTTATTGCTTTAATTTAAATTTGTTTATAAAAATAATAAAGTTAATTGCAAAATAATTTTTTGTAAAAATTCTTTCTGACCAAAAATGTTATTGTTTATATTATAATTCGTTAAAAAAAGAAGAAAATTTATAGCAAAATAACGATTTAATAATTAAATTAATTTTTCAAAAAAAAGTAGCCTAAAGCGAATTTTTAAAAAAGCATTCTTCTTTCTTAAAAAATAAAACTTTTCCTAATGTGTAATTGTAAAATATAATTTATTTATAACAATTTTTTAAGCGCATAAACTTTTTTTTTGTTCCTTATAATTAATAAATCATGCAATATTAAATATTCGAAAAAACATTTGTGAAATAAATGAAAAATTGTGAAAAATAATTATTTTTGTACTTTTAAATTGGATAATATTAAATATTTATATTGCAAAAATTGACGAATCACATCTCATAAATCTATTTCGAATTTAGTTCTGCTCTCTAAATCTGAATTAGTAAAAATGTTTACTATTTTGAATTAGTGACTCACTTTTTGCTTCTGAATTAGTAAAATTTTACTAATTATTTGTAACTTTTACTAACAATTAGTAAAATTTTATTAATTCAGAAGCAAAAAGTGAGTCTCTAATTCAAATTAGTAAACATTTTTACTAATTCAGATCTAGAGAGTGAATTGAAGAAAAATTTTTTTTTTAATTTTAGATTTTGTCATAATTTTTTGTATTTTCCAGTACTTTGTAAGAAAGGGCTTTCTCGTTTTAGTTCAATAATATTGATAAATTTTAGTTTCGGTTTTTTTTTTCTTCTAAATATTGTTCTACATTTAATTGTTAATATCTATAAAAAGAAAAATTCAATATTGGAAATTTTAGAAGCTCACAGTTCTATTAATAAAATTGTATTTATTGAATTTTCTCTGTTGTTTGAAATGAATTTTTTTTGACATTCACATCAACACCGCTTTGAATCAAGTTTTTATGATTTTAATATTGTTCTCTTGTCTATATCAAAAGTTCTGGACTATCGAATATAGAACAATATTAAAAGAAAAAAAAAAACTCGAAGTAAAATACTTAAAATTTTATTCATTTATAAAAATTTTCAACTATTTAAATGTACAGAATTTTTTCAAAATATTTTTTCTCTTTTTTTTTTTAAATTCCGTTTATGTAGAAAAGGAAAAAGAAAATTTTTATTTTGGAAAAATAATAATTATTTTTCCGTTGATTCATTTTTGTTTTTTTTTTTTAAATTCATTTGCAATGAAAACAAAAAAGAGAAAGTAATACCTTCGTCGAGGGACAGAGTCGAAATGTCACAAGGCGCTTTGGTATAAACCTGAGAAGATATTCTTTAATTGTCAATTGTTTAGGTGAAATAAAACAAAAGACTTTCTTTGGTTTCGCAAATCGTTCGCCCTGCATTCCCAATAATTTTGCTGAATAACAAGTGTCAAAATTCTTGGATGCTACACTTTGATGAACAGCTCTACTAACAGCACCTGTGTGTGTGTTTGTTTTTTTTAATATAACGTGAAATAAAAAAAATAAATAAAATTTTATGCCTAATATAAATTGATTGAGTACAATTAATACTTTGAGGATAAAATTATTTTTAAAAAAAATTTTCTTTACAAGAATTATAAAAAAAAATTGTTGACGTTTTATAAAAAGCATTGCTAGTCCTCAAAGGGTTAATTTTTATTATTATTTTAATTATGATGAAAAATATATTGTTCGACTTACTCTCGAGGACTATTATTGAAAAGTCACCATTGTGAAGTTGTAGGCCTTTTAAGCTAACAGTTGCATGAAAGCATCCACCACTTGGAAAACTGACTTTTAATCGAATCCTTTGATTTGGCGAATCATAATCGAGTTGAATTTTACAATCCACTGGTATTGTTTCTTCTCCTACGTTACCGATCTATTATAATTTTTAATTTATTTTTATTTTAATTCTGTTATTATTTATGTCGTTCTAATTATGTTTTCAATTTTTTTTTTTTTATTATAATTTGTTAATTTATTTTTAATGAAATAAAATTAACGACATTTCGGTATAGTTGCCGCTACTTTTATCAAGTTTACATTTTTACTACAGTTTGAAACTGTTGGAAAACATTTTTGATTATTAAATTTATAAAATTATTTACATTTTGTTTTTAATTGTCTTAAAAGTTTTATCATTTTGTTATTTTGAAATTTCGAGCAAATAAAATTAAATAAATATTACTTTGTAGAATTTATTTAATAAGTAAATAAAAATATTCATTAAAATAATTAAATATTTATTTAATTTTATTTACTCGAAACTTGAAAAAAAATGAATACTTTCTCAATTTATGATGAGAATGTAAAAATAATAAAACTTTTAAGACAATTAAAAATAAAATCTAAAGGGTTGCGGTTACCGAAATCTTCTTTAATTTTATTTCTAATAATAAATTGACAAATTATGGCAAAAAAAAAATTGGCCTAATAAATTCATTTATTAATAATTATAATTTTTATAAAGAAAATTTACAAAATTATTTTTTTAAAACGTAGAAATAAAAACCATAATAATTGCAATTTACTGACGTATAATGAATTTTCTATAAATTAAATATTTATTAATAATTAATATTATTAATTAATATTTTAATTAATATTTCAAATTAAAAATAATTAAATGCTTATTTATACAAAAGAAAATTCTCTCCAATTATAAAATATAAAATAATTGAAGAATTTTATATATTTTATATAAAATAGAATTTCCTTTTGAATATTTTATTTTTTTATATAAAATATCAGAAAAATTATATTTAAACAAATATGTTTTTATTTTTTTTTTATTATAAATATGAAAATATAAATTATATATATATTTTTTTTATTAGAAAAAAAGTGATAAATTCTACTTACTTGAGTAATATTTACATCATATCCCTCTGTGGGAATGTCACCAGGACCAAATATACAGAGATTGTCGTATTCATCTCGCGGTTCAATTGTCAACGAGTGAGGAACGCCCGCAGTGCAAACAACTGTCGAACTTTGACGAACGAAAACAGTTTTATTTGGATCTGGAGGTCCTGAGAAAATAAATAAATATATTGAAAAATTTTCCTTTTACAAAAAAATAGGGTCAGAATCTCTCAAACAGATCACATAAAATTTTTTAAATATAATTAATTTTCAATGTTAAATAATTTTTTTTTTATTTTTACTGTAGTAAAAATAAGTTTTTGAAAATATTACAAACAAAAATTGTTTTTTAAAGTTATACACAATTGAAAATTTTAATTGTCTTTAAAAAAAAAAAAAAAAAAATTCTGGATATCCAGTTGACTTGAGAAAATTTTTTTTTAAATAAAGATAAAAATTTCAATTGTTTATAACAATTTTTTTGTTCGAATATTTCCAGAAACATATTTTCATCACAGTAGGAGTAAAAAAATTCATTTAACATTGAAAATTAAGTTTTCAAAATAATTTCGAAAAATTAGAAATTATTTTCACAAATTTTTAAAAATAATGTTAAAATTTTAGATGATCCGTTTGAAAAATTCTCAGCCAATAATAAATTTTAGGAAAATTATCCTATAAAAAAAAAAAAATAGTAAAAATAATAACTAAAATAAAAAAAAAATGTACCGGGAAGAAAAATTTTAAGGAAAGGACTGCCGTAAACGTGGCATGAACCGATAAGAACGGCTATACGATATTGTCCGGCATGTCGGACAGTAAATTTAACAACTGCTGCATTTGCCGCGAGAGGATCCATTCCTCCTAATTCTATTAAAGTTGCTACTCTTCGCGCTCCTTCTGTCACCTCGACAATGAGATTGTCCTCGTCGCAAATAGGATATGGCTGACCATTTCGCTGATAAAACTGAAAATTGAAAAAAAACAAAAAAAAAAAATTCCATTTAATTTCGTTAAAAGTTAAATATTAACATTAAATTACACTACTTTAATTAACTTTTCTTAATTAAATACATTTGTAAATTTATCAATTAAAAATTAATAGAAAAAAAGTGGATAAAGAATCCATTAGTATTTTTAATTATTTTATATTACAGGAAGTACAGTATCATTTTTTTTTTAATACAGATAAAAAAGTGAATTATTTACCGACAAAAATAGATGAGAAAAAGGTGATAAAAAAAAATTGATATTTAAAACCAATTAAAGTGTAAAATAACGAATTTGCATCTATTCAAATTCTGATTGACATTTTTCATCAATTTATTAAGGCAGTTAATGTAGTTTAAAATTTGGATAAAATGAATTTTTAAATAAATTGAAACTTAAATCATACAAAATATGTTTATATTGAAATTGGAATAATTTGAATCTTAAATCAATTGCAATTTGGAAAAATTGAAATTCATATAATTTTAAAAATAAATCATTTAGAAATTTAGACAAATTGAATTTTGAATAAATTGAAATTTTAATCGCATAATTTTTACATGTATATTGAAATTTCGTTAATTTTTTGTGTCGATCAAATGAATTAACATTTAAAAATTTTATTTAATACATTTGTTTTGACCAATAAAAAGTAGAATTAATAAAAAGTTGGTTCAATTTAAATTAAAAGGATTGAATTTAAATTTGAATCGAATAAAATTTTAATCATACGGTAATTAATTTAAATCTCGATTTAAATTTAGATTTTTATTAAAATTTGTCCTAAATAATTTTTTAAATCAATGAAAAATGTTTAATAAATTGGGTCAATTCAATCGTTAAAAAAAAAAAAAAAAAAAAAATGAAAATCTGTAATTTCCGGTCCCTTAAATTAATATAAGCTTCAAGAATATTGGAAAACAAATTCTTTTTAAACGAATAAATTAATTTTTAATATTTCTGAGCTTATATCAATTTTTTTTCATTCATAATTATTTATGAACTATAAAATTTTTATAAATATACTGACATATTTGTTAATAAAATTTATTTATAAATTTTATTGATTAATAAATTTTTATTATTTATAAAATTTATATATACGTCAATAAAATTCACAACGTTTATAAATTAACGATTCAAAGAAAAAATATTTTTCTATGAAAATTATAATTTTTTTTGTCTGAAAAAAGTCTTTGCTTCATTTTTCCATGAAGAATTTTTAAAATAAAAATTTCTAGAGGCAAAAATTGTTATTTTTATATGAAAAAAATTGTTTTTTTTTAAATTGTTGATCCATAAACATTGTGAACTTTATCGTTGTAAAGTTGTACTATAAAAAATTTTTATAATTAATAATTAATTAGTTATCTGTTATTATATTTACTTATCTATATTTGTTTATTTATATTTATTTATTATTATATTATTTATATATTTATTTATTATTAAATTAGTTATCTATTTATTTATTAATAATTTTTTATGGATGAAGCTGAAGTACGCAACGTTTATGATAAACGATTTTTAAAGAAATAATTTTTTAAAATGAAAAATTCAACAATTTTTTGCCTAAAAAATATTTCTTGTAGTTTTCATTAATCAAAAAATTAGAAAAAAATGTTTTTTAGGAAAAAAATTATAGAATTTTCCATTTTAAAAAATTATTTTTTTATACATCGTTTATCATAAACGTGTGTTACTGCCGTACGAAATAAAAACTTACTTAATTGATATTTTCGTGAAACCAAGAAAGTGACGAAAGACTGTCTTAAAAAAACCTAATGTAATACAAATAATTCTTATTAATCTTCATTTTCTAGGTAAATAAATAGAGTTCTTTCTAATTCCGTTGTTAAAAATTGATTATTTAAACAAATTATATTAAATAATTGAGTTAAGTGTTTTTTTACACAAGCAAAACTTAGTTAACTCGAGTTAAGGAGTGTTTTCCGAAAAGGTATAGGCGAGTTTGAGCCGCCGCTCAGAAGTAAAAACTCACTTAATTCAAGCTGGCACGTATTGTAAACATTATAAAAAATTTGGTTCTGAGTTAAATTTTAATCTGATTGTGATTAATAAAGATTATTTTTATTTATTTTATTATTCATTAATATTTTAAAAATTAAATTTAAATCAATATGTTTCAGTATAGAATTTATTACAATTAAAAATTTGTAAATAGATTGCATGAGACAAAAACGGTGTTATTAGTAGAAAAACATTGATTATATTTGCTTATAATATTCAAATAACTTACAACAGCTGTTTATAATTACTACAACAGTTTTTATTTAATAATCAATTAATTAAACATTTTAAAAATAGCGAAACTTAAACGCGCGAGATTTTGAATCAACCCGACGAGAATACTCAAGTTTTTGTTTCTTATCTCATGCTCGAGCTACGATTTTCGGACTCCTTAACTCGAGTTAGCATACTTTTTATATATAGTATTTCTTCATTTTCTGGGTTTTCGACAATTTTTTATAACTATTTTTTTGCAATAAATAATTAAATAAAAATTTTTTTATAACACCATCAGAAGCGTTTTTTTTTATTACGAATTCAATGATGCTACCAAAAAATCATTTTTCGCCAAAATATGAGTTAACCATAAGTTTTTACTTCGTACGGCAGCTGTTGAGTATACTTAAGCTTTGTTTTTATGGAGTATCTACATAATAAATTAGAAAAAATGTTCTTAAAAGACATTCTTACTTTAACGGTGAATGTCATTGTTTCTCCAACTAATTGTGGTTCCTCCCATTCGAAATGAACTCGACAATTACTAGGCAAAAGATATTTTCCTGTGACATATTGAAGAAGTGAATGTTTTGCTTCTGGAGCCAATGCCGGTTGGGTCATCGCTGCCAGGGTAACGAGTCCGGCAACTGAGACTGAGACCACCAACATTCCGCCTAAAACAATATAATTATTGCAATTTAAACAAGTTGTAAATTCAGATATTCATTACATGAACATTTTGCTTCCTCTTTACTATCAGCTTCCTCGTGGAGAAAGCATTAACATTGAAATAAAAATAAAAAAGAGTATAATAATATATAGACATTTGAGTTAAATTTAAAGAATTAATGGAAGTTAAAAAATCAAAAATTCACATTTTAACCGAAATTTCTAAATATTAATGAAAAATAATATATAATTTATAATTATTTACAATTATATCGATTCGTTTCAATGTAAGGAACACAATTATTTTATATTTAAACTTGTATTTAAATAAATATAAAAATTTTCAGCTAAAATGTGTATTTTCTATTTTTTAACTTTCATTAATTTATTAAATTTACCTCAAATGTAAATTTTATATATACCAATCGATTCGTTTTCATGTAAGGAATACAATTATTTCATCTATAAACTTCAATTTAAATAATTACAAAATTTTATAGCCAAAATGTGAAATTTTGATTTTTTAACTTTCATTAATTCTTTAAATTTAAATTAAAACTATACTTTATATATACCGATCGATTTGTCTTGACGTAAGAAATACGATTTTATTATATATAACCTTAAATTTTTCTATTTAAACATTTTTTCGATTAAAAAAAAATTTTGGAAAAAAGACGATAAAATTTTTTTTTTGATTATTTTTTAAAATTCTTTGGTCAGATTTGAGATATTAATATGATAAATGAGCCTACCAAATTTTAACTAAATCCATTAAAACCTGTTAAAGTAAAAAGGGATCCCCCCCCCCACACACACATACATGAGGCATTTCATATGAGAATACGGGGTCATGTCTCGAATTTTTCTCAAAATTCGGTAAATTGTAGTGATAGTGGTGCTAAATAAGTGTACAAATTTTGAATTTGAAATTTTTTTTTTGAAATTTACTTATAACTTTTTTCCTACTAGAAGTAGAGAAAAATGTAAATGTTTTTTACGCGGAAGATCTTAAACTTTTAGAAAAAAATTATTTAAAAAAAAAATATTAATTTTTAAACAATTTGTTTAAAAAATAAAATTTGTTTATAACTTTTAAACATGTTCTCCCTCATTTAGAAGCGCGAAAAAAATCATGAATATTGTTTAAGTCATAATAAATTGATGGTTAAGTTTTTGAGAAGGCATAATTTTTTGTTTTCGAGATATTAATTAATTAACTAACAAAAATTAATAAAAAATGAAATATTTTACGAACAAATAAAATTAGAGTAATTTTAAAAACACCATTAGAATGCTTATCAAAATTCGCATCTAACGAGCCCTATATGAACTATTTCTAATAAACGGGTGTTAAATTAATAATTAATAATAAAAATTATTTAAATAATTAATAACATTTAAGGAAATGAATATAAACCGTCAATTCTTTTTTTATTTGGAAGACCATCTAATTCTGTGTCAAAAAAAGAATATTAAGTATTACCAAGAATCAAAAATTAATTATAAAATGTTATTTAGAAAAAGACTGAAAAATACAATGCCGAGTAGGTAGACAGCCCTCTCCAACTTGTGTCGTAGGGTGCTGAAACCTCAATTTTCAATAATCATTTGTTAATAATTTAGATTTGTTAAAAATGTTATTTACACTGGTTTTATTTAATACAGAATTAGATGATCTTCCAAATAAAAAAAGAATTGACGGTTTATCTTCATTTCCTTAAATGTTATTAATTATTTAAATAATTTTTATTATTAATTATTAATTTAACACCCGTTTATTAGAAATAGTTCATATAGGGCTCGTTGGATGCGGATTTTGATAAGCATTCTATTGGTGTTTTTAAAATTACTCTAATTTTATTTGTTCGTAAAATATTTCATTTTTTATTAATTTTTGTTAGTTAATTAATTAATATCTCGAAAACAAAAAATAATGCCATCTCAAAAATTTAACCATCAATTTATTATGACTTACACAATATTCATGATTTTTTTCGCTCTTCTAAATGAGGGAGAACATGTTTAAAAGTTATAAACAAATTTTATTTTTTAAAGAAATTGTTTAAAAATAATTTTTTTCTAAAAGTTTAAGATCTTCCGCGTAAAAAACATTTACAACATTTTTCTCTATTTTTAATAGGAAAAAAGTTATAAGTAAAGCAAAAAAATATTGCTGAAATTTGTTATTGTAAATAGGTATCTCGAAAAATATTAAAAATTTCAAATTCAAAATTTGTACACTTATTTAGCACCACTAGCACTACAATTTACCGAATTTTGAGAAAAATTCGAGACATGACTCATGTATTCTCATAATAAAATGCCTCACATACATCCGGACAATTGATCAGGATCTCATATGACATATGTTTCTATATAGAAAAAATTTTTTTTCCGCCACTTTGAAAATTTTTATAAACGAAAGGACTACAAAGCTTCCTCCACAAGGAAGCAAAAAAAAAGAAAATAATTAAATTCTATTTTGACAAAACACTAAAAAATTTATAAATTTTTCAATTTATCACTCGGTAAATGCTTTAAAGAAAATAATATATTTTCACCATTTTAAATTAAAATTTGTGATTTTATTTTTTTGTTAATTAAAATAATATTTTTTTTTGTATATTCTTCTTTATGATGAGAAATAAATCTTTTTAGTTTTTCTAATGATGAAGACAGCATAACTTCCGAAACATAAGGCAAGTTTTTCCTTATTGACTCGGAGTGATAGATAAAATTTTCTATTATCTTTAAAACAGTAAAGTAATTTATTCTCCAAAGTATAACAAAAGGTAATTAAATATATATATATATATATATATATATATATATAATAATTTATATTTTTAAAAATGTCACAAGAAAACAATAAATGATAACATTTATTAAAAAAAATAATTTAAATAAGCAAATAAGTTATATATATATATATATATATATATATATATATATATATATATATATATTTATACATATATGTATAAATATTATCAACATAACCTCAAAACTTAAGTTGAAAAAAAACAAGAAATGTAAATAAAAATAATTGAATACTGCCGCCAAATATAAACTTATACCTTTTTTTAAAACAATTTAGATACATACTTCTATGAATAAAATTTTGTTATTATAATATATTTAACATATTTAATAAATTATGATTAATAATTTCTTCATGTTTTGTTTCTCGTTTTCATAAATCGATTTAATAAACGATTGTTCGATAGTTGATTTCCATTTTATTAGTGGCTAAATTCAGATTACATTCCCTGCGAATTGCGAAAGGACGCATTTCTTATCTTGTTTGGAATCAAGTTGCGCTGTTTGTCTAAATTTTTATCATTTTTGGAATATATTAGTGATTTTTGAAAGTAATATTTGTATATTTAATCGTGTTTTAATCATGCGTGTTAGGGAGAGTGATTCTGAAATAAATACTATAGTGCGCGTATCATCTATATACGCTATAGTAAGTTGTTTGCATGGAGAGCGTTTTGGAGAAAAAGATCGTGCGACGAATGCAGTTCATTGTAAGTTATTAAAGTTATAAATTATTCTTTAAATTTTCTTGGCAATTAAGAAAAATTATAAATAAATGTACAGTTTCTTCGACTTTGCAGCCAATATGCTTTTTGAATAGAAAATATATCTCATTTGTGTTGAAGGAAAATGAAATTCTCATATATTATAAACTAGTATAGTTTTTTTTTTGTTATATATGTATATATTTAGAATATTTATACAAAAATGAAAATCTCGTAGAAATAGGTTATGTTCAAACAAAATATCCAAGCTATTTTGCTGCATCAGTTTTTTCTGTTTCTGCACAAAATTATAATTACACGTGTATTTAGAGGTTATGTTGCTCGTACGTAATAAAATTGAAGAAATAATTTAATCTTTAATAGTTTAATTAATTGTGTATCTTTATGGAAAATTATGTAAAATAAATTTTAAAATAATTTTTCCAAATTTTTCGAAATATTTGTACATATTAAAAAATGTTTAATGTAGAGGAGTTTTATTAAGTGTTTTAATTAAGTGTTAAATAAAATAATTATACTGAAAAAAAAATTTATTTGATTAAAATACTCGATTACTTGACTATTATCAAATAACGGTATTTGTTTCAAATACAAAAATTATTGGTTCAAATACAATTTATTTAATTCAAATAAAAATTATTTGGTAAATATTTATTTGATAATAGTCAAGTAAACGATTATTTGAATCAAATAAATTTTTTTTCAATGTATAGATGTAAGATAAATTATTTAAAATTATTAAAAAAATTCTTTATAAAACTATATATATATGTATATATGTATAAACAAAGTTTTGGCAAAGATTAACATTATAGAGAGCATAAAAATATGAATATGGAATTTTTTTTTAATATTTTAATTATAATTAATTTAATTATTTTAATTTTTAATTTAATTTAATTTCTACAGGAAGTTTTTTAAAAAAACTATAACATAAAGGACAGGAATGTTGATCCAGAATAAATGGCCACAGAATAAAATAAATTTCCTGGAATATTGGGAGGAATTCTTTGTTTGGTCCAGAGGAACTGACCCAGATGCTGTTAGTCGTGAAAATCCTCGATCGGTGAGTCATTTTTTATTTACTTCTCTGTTTAGAGTATACCAGTGCAATATTCTTTTGTACCATACGTATGTATATATTATAGAAAAAAAATTGTCTTTCAATTATTAAAAAGTTGAATTTTTGTATTTTATATAATGTAATTACTAAATATATACAGGGGAAAAAAAGTAATTTTTACTACTTTCGGAGTAAAACGGGAACTGTCCGAAGTTTCTGCGCATCTCCGGCAACTATTACTCCAAAAGTAGTAAAATTTACTTCAGAAATATAGTAAGAATTACTATCGAAAAAATAAAATTTACTACAGAAATAGTGAATTTTACTATTTTTGGAGTAAAAGTTGCCAGAGATGTGCAAAAACTTCGGACAGTTCCCGTTTTACTCTGAAAGTAGTAAAAATTACTTTTCCTTTTTTTCCATGTATAATCTATAATTATAATATTATTTTATATCAGAAATTTCATTTGTGAAATTTACCTATGTACTTTTTTAATTCGTATAAATATAGGATTTTTTCCCCGTTTTGAACTGGAATGTCCCCTTAAAGAAAAAAAATTTTGAATTTTTCTATAAAAAATAACGTTTTTTTTTATTATTAATTTATTCTTTTTAATTTTGGGCATGATTTTTTTTACTTATTTTTTACTTTACCACAGAAATATTAAGAATATTTTACAAAAATGTTTTAGAGTGGGCCTGATAAACCTTATTTTTGTTTAAATAATTTAAAAAAAAAATTTTTTTCATTTTTTTATTTTTTAAAATAAAAAGTTGTTTGGCCACTAGGAGTTTTTATTTTTACATATCTAAAGAAATGATTTCTTATTTAAATAATTTAAAAAAAATTTTTATTCGTTTTCTTATCTTTTTTTTTAAATAAAATATGTTTTAATTTACTTTTCCATAAATAAAGTGAAGAATCTTAGCGGCCGTAAAACTTTTTATTTTGAAAAATAAAAAAACGAAGAAAAAATTTTTTTAAAACAAATTATTTAAATAAAAAGGATTATTAGGCTCGCTCTAAAAATTTTGTTTGTAAAATTTGTTAGTACTTCTAGGTATGTAAAAACTAAAAATAAAAAAATGTAAAAAAGCAGATCCAAAGTTAAAAAAATAATTAAATTATTTATAAAAAAAATTGTTATTTTTTATAAAAAAATTTTTAAAAAAATTTTCGTTAACATATTTTTAATGTTAAAGAAAAACTGAAACTATTTTTCTTTTGTCAAAAATTGATAAATTCAATACTATTAGATTTAGCCATGTAATTAAAAATAGGGTTTTAAAAAATCTCGAAAAACCTGGATTTTAAAAAATTTATAACACGAAAATTTGGACATTTATAAAAAAATAAAAAATACGTATATTATTTTTTCTGTAAAGAACGGAATAAAAATATATATTTTTCCGAATTTAAAAAGTCGTAGGTGAATTTTACTTGAAATCCATATATATTTTTTACATATAAGATTACAAACTTCTTAAGGCCATGTTTAAGTAGTGCCGTTTACTACATGAGGCTTCCGTTAAAAGCCTGGAATATATGACTTGTATCTCCCCTTAAGTCTCTTAAATTCTTTATATAAAATGCATCTAACTATAAGAATTTAAGTACATTAAGAATATGTACTTTATTATTAATTTTTTTTATAGATAATTATTTAGAATTTTCTTTTCTGATTTGATCTTAGTATATATAGTATTCACATCGAAAGAATTGAAAGAGTTCAAAACTTTTTTTTTCTGCATTTTGCAGCTGATTGGCAATCAATTTTGATTTCCTTTCCCACGACTACTCTAATTTAAGATCTCAATTATTGAAAATTCCTATTTAATGGAATATTTCAATTTATTGAAAAATGATAAGTCGAAATAATTTCGTTCTTCACTCACACAATTTAATTTAATAACACATAATAATAACGGGACGCATGATTATGTTCTAAAAATCATTAGTTATAATTTTCATTTTATGGAATTTCATTTGTCCAAATTATTTTTGAGCCGAATTTTTATTTGTTCGAATTAGTATTTTGCAGAATTTTCATCAAAACAATTTTCTATATTACAGAATTTTTATATAACCGAAAATTCACTTCACAGAATTTTTATTTGCTATTTTTTTGTTTTATTATTATTTTATACTTCTGTCGATTGTTTGTTCAGCCATTTGCAATTACGGACAAATGAAAATTCTATCAATTAGAAATTCTGTTAAATAATTTTTCGGTTAAGTAAAAATTATGTAGTATGAAAAATCGGTTATATGAAAATTATAACAAATAATAATTCGAACAAATGAAAATTCACCTGAAGGAAAATTCTATACAATGAAATTCTACGCAAGAAAAATTCTTTAAAATGACTATTATGATGTTAAATGAAAATTCGAGCAAATAAAAATTGTTTTAAGTAAATTTTCGGTTATATAAAAATTCTGTAATATAGAAAATCGTTTTGATGAAAATTTTGCAAAATACTAATTCGAACAAATATAAATTCGGCTCCAAAATAATGATGACAAATAAAATTCTATAAAATAAAAATTCTAACTAATGATTTTTAGAACATAATCATGCGTCCCATAATAACAACTATAAATAATTCATAAAAGATACTATGGGATCATATATAATCAGGGTTGCCACGGACCTGGAAAACCTGAAATTGTCATGGAATTTTTTTTCAGTCATAGAAAATCTTGAAAACCTGGAATTGTCAGGGAATTTTATAAAATCTCGTTCTAAAAATTGTATTTCCAGTATGTGACTCGAAAAATCTCAAGTTTTCAAGTCGTCATTACAACTTTTCGGTTTTAAATTTAGTGCTTAGAGTTGAAATCAATATGGCGTTTCTAAATCTCAGTTTCTATTGGTCAAATATTTTCTTTTGCATAACACGGTGTAGCTGTCCTTATAAAATTACGTAAAATAAATATTTTGAATCGAGCATGAATATGAAATTAATAGGGTCATTTGGGGTAAATGGAAACAGATTTGCTAAGTTTTACCAATAATATAAGTTTTTTTTTAAATAGCAATACTTTCTTTTTTTTGTGTATTGAGTTATTATTTAACTTCCGTGGAACAATTTTATGGGGTAATAGAAAATATGGGTATCATTAATTCGCAATAATTAACTGTTTCTATTTACCCCTAAATTTTTCAACTTTGCTAAAATTTAGGGGTAAATATGAAACAGTCATTATTTCTTAGAAAATTTAAGAAAAAATTAATTTGAAGTATGCAAATGTTAAAAAATACAAAGACTTACGTAAAAAATGGTGTTAGTTATAAAATAATTCAAACTAATAAATAATAATGCATTACATAAGTTTAAAAATAAACCATCTTAAATACTATGTACTGTTGAGAATATAGATGAATACTATTTTCAATGCATTTTTATAATGCTGAAAATAGTGTTGTAGTTGATAGAAACAATTTTCTCTCTCTCTAATATTGTTGAAATTTCTGTTTCTATTTACCCCGAATTTCTAGTTTTTAGGGATAAATAGAAACAGTCTCCTATTTTTAATTGAATTTTGCAAAATGAAAAAATCAAAGTTGATTTTTGTTGTAGTATTAATAAGAGATAATTATAATTAATAATATGAATTTTTAGTTTATTTTTTTTCCAAATGCGAGTCAAAAAAGTGAAAGGGTGTCTACTTTGATTTTCAATTTTTTATGCAATAGGAAATATTTTTGTTTATATTGCTGCTGATTGACAAACGGAAAATGGGAGAATAGTTAGAACCTGTTGGGAATGATCTAAGGTTCAAGGTTTAAGGCCGTATTTATTTTTAAAATTTGTTATTTAACTGAAATAACTACTGTTTCGATTTACCCCAACTGACCTTAATAAATTATTTTATTAATAATTTAATTAAAGGATTTTGTATTTTTTGTCATAATTGGCTAAAAATTAATTTTTAAAAATTTATATTTGGGTCTGGAATTTTTTAAAAAATGGTCTGGAAAACCTGGAAAAGTCATGGAAGTATTCCCGTGGCAACCCTGATTATAATCAAACTGGAAAAAATAGTATTGAATCAAAAAAATCCATTTATACTTGTTCGTATTCTGTCGTGCTAAGAAAAAACTTACATAAACGCCATTTTTGACAAAATTGAGTTTTTGGTATCAATCGACGCGGGAAGAAAAGCTGCATCTAACTATGTTAACAAAAATTGAAATTATTAATTAATAACTAAATAAAACAATAATTTTAAGTAACAATTTTTCAAATTCATTACCTATTTCTGAAACGGAGAAAAATACCCTTATCAAATTTTTATAACAGTTAAATTAAATCAACATTAAAATATGTGCGAAACCCAAATTTTTTTGAAGTTTTCAGAAAAAGTTACAAACTCTTCGAAAAATTGTGAAATTTTTTTCCTGATAAAATTTGATGTATAATTAAAATTAAATATCAGAATTATTATTCGTTAAAGAAATTCAAAACTTATTTATATTAAAATAAAAAAATCATGTTTTAGTATAAATAATTTTGTTCTCAAAGCAAACAGTTTTTTTTTCAATTTTCTCAATTTCAACGCGACTGGATATATGTAAGTTTTTCCTTAGCACGGCAGTATTTGATTCAATATTTTCTTGATTTAAGAAAATTTAATCAGTTTGAAGTGTAAATTTTTATGAATTAAGAAAATTTGTGAATCAAATATGGACAAGTAAATGATTTTCTTGAATCAATGATACTATTTTTTCAGTGAAGTTTATTTTAAAAATATTCGCCAAACGTTACGAGATTTATAAATAATTATATTATACAATAAATATTACACAACAAAAATATAGTACAATATTTAATGACAAAAAATTACAAAAGAAAATTACATTAAATATTAACAAAAAAAATTTGTATTAGTATATTAGCTATATAAAAAATAGTAATAAAAAATAAATAATAAACAATACGATGGATAATTACGCATTAAAATGAAAGAAATATATATATATATATATATATATATATATATATATATATATATATATATATATATATATATATATATATATATATATAATGGTAACATCAATTTAAATGAAAAATATCATATAATGCTTTTAGCGAATACATAAAACAGAATGATATAATTGCTTTTCATCGGTTTTTGTAAACTGACGTTAAAATATTACACAATAAACCGAATGCGATTTTAAACGAATATTCGCAGAAATGGTTTATTTTAAAAATTGAGAAAAAATTGTATTAATAGCGAATAAATGTGGTTTCGGATTTTAAAAAGTCCAACGCTCGAATTTGTATAATAACTTTTTGCCCTTGGTGTTAAAATTTAAAAAATTTTCAATATCATTATCTAGAATTTACTTTCAGTCAAGTTTTTCATTTTTTCGAATTATTATTTAATAAAAATTACATTTAATCGAATTTCTATATTACAATATTTTCACACTTTTTATTTCTTTGATTTTAATAGAATTATTATTTGCTCAAATTTTTAAAAAACAAAATAGTCATTTAAAAAAATTTTTATTTTACAGTAAGAATATTAGAAGGAATTATTTTCTAGCCGAATTTTCATTTGCTCAAATTTACATTTGACTCAGCATTTCTTAAAATTTCTTCAATTCTTAAAATGTCGAATTTTTATTTTACAGAACTTTCATCTGTCCGAATAAATTTTTCTGTTAGAAAAACTTTTGCGCTAATTTTAAAATTAACTAATAATAATTTTGATAATTATTTATAATTGTTTAATTTTAAAATTAGCAACTAAATTTTTCTGCCAGATATTCGGACAAATTAAAGTTCTGTAAAATAAAAATTCGTCATTTTAAGAATTGTGTCAAATTTAAATTCGAACACATAAAAATTTTTTCTAGAAAAGTACTTTTTCTAATATTATTTTCGTAAATTAAAAATTCTTTTAAATGCGACTATTCAGTTTTTAATGAAAATTCGAAAATATAATAATTTTGTCAAATTCAAATTCGATGAAATAAAAAGTCTGGAAAATGAAAGTTTGTTTATGTAACAATTCTGTAAATATGTAGAAATTTAGTTCCGGGTAATGTTAAAAAAATATCGTTCCCAAAGTTTTTTTTATATAAAAATTCAAAATTGTTTTTTTGTTAATATATTTTGAGAATCGATGAAAAACTGAAACTATTTTTTTCTCTTGATGGAAATTCTTAGCTAATACTTTTAGGGTAAGATGTCATATAAATTAGATTTACTTTTAAAAAACCTCAAAAAGACCAGATTTTTAAAAATTCATATATAAATAAAAAAATGTTGTTACTTATAAAAAAATATGTATACCACTTATTGTCGCAAAGAACGAAGAAAAGAATATAAGAATAAAAAATATTTAAATACCCCAAGTATAGGCGTCCTGATGTTGACTATTTTTAACAACAGAACTCCAAAGATCAGCTTTAAGGGCTTCCAAATCTTCCTTAGAGGTGGGCAAAGTCTGTCGAGCTTGAATCCACTTAGGAAGATCTTTTCCCAAAGCCGAACGTGCTGCATTGTCTTCCACCCAGTAAACGTCTTCCAAAGATACAACTTCCATTTGCATGAGCCTTGTTGAGTTAAAAAAAAAAAATTATATATAGACTGTATATATGTATATATAAATATTGTTGACTTTGTCGAACCAAGAGAAAATATATTATTACTTGTGCATGATTGTATTGTGTGCGAATATAAAATTACATTAATGTACCTTTGATAATAATTGTGAAGGCCATGGTCTGCTAACCACTGACGCAAGACCAGTCTCTGCTGCAATAATCTAGCTGCTCGTTGCAGCCTCTCTTCATCTTGCGGTGGCAATTCAGGCAAGTTGTCAACTTCGCCACAACTTGCCAAACTTGAAATGCCTGAAATAAGGAAAAAAATTTCCATATTTCATTAAAAAAAGGAATATGTGAGATGGCAATAACTTATAGGCAATAAGGCCTAAATTTAATTTGTTAACATTTTTATTTCATAGAATTTCATTAGATAGAATTTTTTCCGACGAATTTTTCTTTGTTTGAATTATTATTTGACAAAATTTCCATTTAACCCAAAATTCATTTAACAGAATTTCTATTTTGATCGAATTTTTTTTTTTTGACAGAACTTTCATTTGTTCGAATAAACATTCGGCAGAAACATTTCGGCATAAATTTAATAATTAACCCAATCAACATTTTTTTTTTTTGAATTTTTGATTGGTTAATTTTTAATTTCGTGCACAAAATTTTCTGACGGAAATTAATTCGAAAAATGAAAGTTCTGTCAAATGAAAATTTGATTAAACAGAAATTCTGTTAAATGAATTTTCTGTTAAAGTAAAAAGTCTCTAATACGAAAAATCGGTTAAGGGAAGTTTACTGTTCTCGATAGTGAAAAATGCATAAACTTTGGTTACTTTGGGGATTTTTTTTCATACAAGAAAATAGTTCTGGAACTGGGTTTTTTTAGAATGCTTTTATTTGAAATTGGTTTGAAGGTCATAATCGGTCTGTCATCGCTTGACATATTATATATGAGTATATATAGATATACACATACTAAACATAAACGATATTGTAGTAAAATCAGATTATAATTTATTTTATATTTATAATAATGGACACATTTACACCCCCATCCACTGATTAAACCCCCCCCCCCCCCGAAAATATTTCTTAAATTTAAACATATTTACTTCACAAGACAGCAAATTTTAAGGAATTTTCTAAAATATTCATGAAATCTTTTTTAAATCTTTATGGAACTTTCTAGAAACTTTAGTAAAATTTCTAGAAACTTTATTTAAACTTTAAAAAACTTCATAGAACTTTCAAGAAGGTTTATAAAAACTTTACAGAAATAGCTGGACATTTATAGAATTTTACAGAAATTTATAGAACTTTCTAGAAATTAATAGAATTTTCTAGAAATTTATAGTATTTTCTAGAAATTCATAGAAATTTATAGACATTTATAGAATTTTCTAGAAATTAATAAAATTTTCTAAAAATTTATAGTATTTCCTAGAAATATATAGAACTGCTCTATAAATCTGAATTAGTAAAAATGTTTACTAATTTGAATTAGTGACTCACTTTTTGCTTCTAAATTAGTAAAATTTTATTAATTATTAGTAAATTTTACTAACAATTAATTAGTAAAATTTAACTAATTCAGAAGCAAAAAGTGAGACACTAATTCAAATTAGTAAACATTTTTACTAATTCAGATTTAGAGAGTGTCTAGAAATTAAAAAATTTTTTAGAAATTTATAGTATTTGCTATTTATAGAAATATCTAGAAATTTTATAGAACATTCTAGAAATTTATAGAATTTTCTAGAACTTCCTAGAAGTTTATAAAAAAAATTTAGAAAATTAAAAAATTTTATATAAAAATTTATAAATTTTTCTAGAAATTTTTTAGTACTTTCTAGAAATTTATAGAACTTTCTAGAAATTTAAAGAATTTTCTAGAAATTTTATAGAACTTTCTTGAAATCTATATAACTTTATAAAAATTTAAAGAACTTTCTAAAAATATTATAGAATTTTCTAGAAATCTATAGAACTTTCAAGAAATTTTATAGCAGTTTCTAGAAATTTTTTAGACTTGTTTTTAGAATGATTTTATTTAAAGTTCTATTTTTAAAATTATAAACTAAAAAATCGTACAAGTGCGAGTTAAACTCGCTTTGAAATCGAGGGTTCCGTACTCGAAGCGAACTTATTTGGTATAAAAACAAATGTTTAAAAAATATGTGTTGTATGACAAATAATATAAGTGATATGAAGAGGAACAATTTTCTTGAATTTTACAAATTTGTTCCTTTTTGTATCACTTATTTTATTTGACACACAACACATTTTTTTTAAACATTTGTTTTTATACCAAATAAGTTATATACACGTAAAAATACGTCAAATAGTATAAATTTGAATCACTTGATATAAACTTTTTACATTTTTTGCGGAAAAATACATTTTTTCCTAAAATTGTCATTTTTTCTTGACAAACTTGATAAAAATTGATCATCAGCTCCAATCGTGCTTACATTTTTTCCCTATAATTTAGCTAGGGAGATTAAACAATTTTTTTTCGAAATTTTTGATTTTTCCTTGACAACGCAACGCTATGTTAATTGATCCGAATCAAGTTCGCTATATTTTTCCTGTAATTTTCACGTAAAAATACGTAAGTGTGCCAAATTTGAGCTTTTTATGTTAAAAGATGTTGCCGCTAGGTCATGACAGTTCTAAGAATTTTTTGAAAATGATTTTTTTAGCTTCAAGAAATATTAATTTGTAAAAGCATTCAAAGTTGAAATTTCACAATGGATGGATTCTTTCAACTTTGAATGCTTTTACAAATTAATTTTTCTTGAACCTAAAAAAATCAATTTCAAAAATTTTTGGAATGATACAACTAATTTTGTCAAACATGAATTTTTTCAAGTTTTTTCTTTTATTGAACTTTTAAACAGTTCTACAATTTTTCTCTATTATTTATTACTTTTTAGGACGCCATAATAAAAGCATTCTATTTTTAAAAATATTTATTTTTTTACATTATATTTTTTTTATTTTATTTGTCTATAAATACATAAGAAAATTTCATATTTTTCATAAAATAATAATTCAAAATTTTTCACAAGACATTAGGTTTTTGAGATAATTGCAATTTTAATTTTTTGCCCAGATCAGCCAAGTTATCTGATTTAAAAAAAGTTTGAAAATTATTAAATTAGAATAAATTTGTGGGGCCTTATCGTTTTTCTTTATTTAAACAAAATGGCAGCTGTTTGAAGTGAAAAATTCTTTTTTTTTTTGTTTTTCTTTTCGCTTCAAACAGCTGCCATTTTGTTTGAAAAAAGGAAAACGATAAGGCCTCACAAATCTATTCTAATTTAATAATTTTCAAACTTTTTTTTGAATCAGATGACTTGGCTGATCTGGGCAAAAAATTAAAATTGCAATTATCTCAAAAACCTAATGTATAGTGAAAAAACGGACTGCTGATTTGAACTCAGCGTTAAAATTTACCTTAGAATCAGTTTTTCGTTACTCGGGTCCAAAACCTTGTGAACTAGTGATATTTTTCTAAAAGAAAATCCTATGTAATGAAATTCGTTTAAACTGTTTTTTTTAATCTTATTTTTTTCGTTAAAAAAATAGAATTAAAAAAAAAAATTTTAAGGGGTCCGCAACATAGAAATCACACTGTATAATTATCAAAAATTTCTCTAGATAAGATTTATAATTATTTATTCTGTAATTGCTTTTTTTATATTATTTTCATATTGAAGTTTACTCTATTCTTTTTCTTTTTATTATTATTTTAGTTTATTTTTAGTCTCGATAGATAACAAAAGCTTTATTTTTGTTCGATAAAAAAGTTTCGTTCTTTTTTTGGTACGTTATTGTTTTCTGAGTTTGTCAAAAAAAAAAAAAATTTAATTGAACCCATAATGTCGAATACGAGACAAAGAGAAATTAAAAAAATCCCCATTTTCATTAAAAAGTACAAACAGAATACCGTAAAGATTTCAGTTTCAATTGAATCCCTTGACAATTTATTTTAAAGCCTCATTTTATAGCTCCTATGTAGATACATAGAATTTTTGAAGTTAACATTTTTAAAATATTTTCTTTTTGATGATGCAAAAAATAATTGAAATATTTTTTTATACTCGGGAAAATAATTTGCCTATAGGAAATAATAATAATTGTACAATATAATTTTTCTATAAATAAGTATTTCGTATAACAAAGTCAATGCACGGAAAAGTGTATTTAGATTATAAGAAAAAATATAATTTTTTTTTAATGGTAATTAAATTAATTTTTAGTAATTACGAACCATATATTTTAAAAAATGTTCAGTAACTTAACTTACTGGAAAAACTTTTTCCAACATTTAATCAATAAAACAGTTTAGAGTAATGAAACTGAAAAAGCAATTTAATTTTTCTATACTATACTTGAAAGTTTTTTAAACGGACTTTTTTCCCTCCGCAACATGCATAAATTTGTATATAATTATTAGGGAAGCAATTAGCGTTGACTATGAATAATAACTGTTCTTTATGAATATAACTAATTTTCACAGAGTTCTGTATTTAATTTTTGAAATTAATATTAATTTCCGATAAAAATAATTAGGGATATAAAATAGCTTTCTGATAAAAGAAATTCAACACACAGGAAACTTCATGTTGATTAAAAGTTTATCGTTTTGAAACATCCGTTTATGTCATTTAAAATATATATGTAATATTCATATATATTCGTTTTAGTTTCAAATTGACCACAATGAAGACTGTATTACTATTAGTGTTATTTAATATTAGTGTTTTCATTCGTTTTACAAATGCCACTTGTGCGCTAACCGATGTTGACGGTAAGTAATTACTTTTTTCACAAAATTTTTATATAATTTTTTTTAATTTTCGATTTTTTATATATTCGACATAAATGTCAATACTCTCTAAATCTGAATTAGTAGTTTTCTACTAATGAAAGAGTGCGTATTCGTTTACCAATTGAATTAGTAACAGTTTTGACTAATTTTTAGTAAAAAACTACTAATTGCTAGTAGGAAACTACTAATTCATTAGTACGTCGTATTTTTTACTATTTCAAATTAGTAAGCCGATTTACTCCATGAATTAGTAGTTTTCTACTATCAATTAGTAGTTTTTTTACTAAAAATTAGTCAAAATTGTTACTAATTCAATTGGTAAACGAATACGCACACTTTCATTAGTAGAAAACTACTAATTCAGATTTAGAGAGTAGAAAATTATCTGAATTAGTTAAAAATAACTAATATTTAGTAGAAAAGAATGCATAAATTTTTAATTACTAGTACAAATATAAAGTAACCTAAAAATGAATTTAACTCTATAATTAGTTAGTTTTTCCTGATGAATGATAACATTGTGACGCATGAAAAAGTTCTAAAAATCAATTGTTAAAATTTTCATTTAACCCTTAACTGGCACTATGGGTTCAGTAGACCCGAGCATTTTTTCGAGCTCAAATTAATTGAATGTTTTGAATATTTTTTGTATTTTAATATATTAGTTTGACATATTAATAATTTTTGTAAGTTTTTTGATACAACTAATTTGATAAAAAAGAATAAATTAGCTTCAAACATTAATAATTATAAATTTTTAATTTTAACCTAAAAAGTCACATTTTATTCTGCAACATAAATATTATCTTTTTTTCAAGTCCCTCTGTTGTGGTAATTTTTTCCTTAAAGAATAATATTTATTTATCATTTTTCGTTTTTATTTTTCACAATTTTCTTTTTAACTAACTTAAAATAAATTAATCCCTGTAATATTAATTAAATTTTAAAAAACACATCATAAGCTACCTTAGACTAAATTTTTGTGCAAAAATATTCAATACCGACTGTACAAAACACATTTGTCGGGTCCAGCAGACCCGTTGTGCCATTTATGTTCGAAAGCGGAATTGTGCCAGTTAAGGGTTAATAGAATTTCATTAGATATAATTTTCATTGAGCCGAATTTTATTTCTTCGAATTATTATTTGTGCGATTCCAGGTGAGATTTTGACTTTTTCGGAGTAGGTTAACCGATTGCAATGAAACTTTGGAATTTTGTTATATATAGTAAGACTAATCTTTAACGTAAATTTCAGCTTAAAATATTTGTTAGTTTACGAGATTTGCAATAATAACAAAAAATTTTAAACTGATGTATTTTACGTTCTAATAATCGGATTGAGATCTACTTTTTTTTTAAAATGTCAAGGAAAATGAGAGGAATAAATCTCTTTCAGAACAATTTTTTATAATTTTACAACTAAAAAAATTATTAAATAATAATTGAATAAATTTCACGCGACAATCTAAAATTCTATCACTTAAACGCTAAAATGATCTTACCAGTGTTTTCTTTAATAATCCAAAGGAATCCAATTGTAAATGCAAGTTTAACTTGGTTAATTTTAATAATTTACGAGTATAAACAATTGCGATTTCTGCTAGTTGACGTGCAGACGACATTGCGCACGCAGCATTCTCACGTAGCCAATTTAGTCCACGAATCACGTCAGCTGGTTACAAGAGAATGCTGCGTGCGCAATGTCGTTTGCACGTCAACTAGCAGAAATCGCAATTGTTTATACTCGTAAATTATTAAAATTAAATAAGTTAAACTTGCATTTACAATTGGATTCCTTTGGAACATTAAAGAAAACACAGGTAAGATCATTTTAGCGTTTGAGTGATTGAATTTTAGATTGTCGCATGAAATTTATTCAATTATTATTTAATAACTTTTTTAGTTGTGAAATTGTAAAAAATTGTTCTGAAAGAGATTTATTCCTCTTATTTTCCTTGACATTTTAAGCTGAAATTTACGTTAATGATTAGTCTTACTATATATAACAAAATTCCAAAGTTTCATTGCAATCGGTTAACCTACTCCGAAAAAGTCAAAATCTCACCTGGAATCGCACATTTTGCAGAATTTTCATTAAACTGATTTTCCGTATTATGGAATTTTTATTTGTTCGACTTTTCATTGATCAGAATTTGTATTTGCTCGAATTTTAATTTAACATAATAGCCATTTTAAGGAATTTTTATTATAGGTAGAATTTCATTAAATAGAATTTTCTTTCAGATGAATTTCATTTGTTCGAATTATTATTTTATATAATTTCCATATCACCGATTCTTCATACTACAGAATTTTTACTTAATCGAAAAATCAGTTGCCTGAGCTGGGTCCCTCGGACCCAGAAAACTTTTCTTTTCATATACTTCAACATATTCGCTTGGAAATCATTACTTGAGGGTTTTAGGGGTCGCTGATTACGAATCCGATGTCCGTTTTTTTAAATTCAAAATGGCCGATCCAATATGGCGAATATATTTTTTTAAATTTGACTGTTTTGCTTGAAACTCGTTATTCAGGGGTTTTCAAGGTCGCTGATTACGAATCTGATATTAGTAAATTGCATTGATTTTTAATTTTCTTGCCCGCCATATTGGAGCCGATATTTAAAATTTTGAAAAACTTATATCAGATTCGAAATCAGTGACCCCGAAAACCCCCGAGTAACAATTTTCAAGCAAATATGTTAAATTTTTTAAATTTTGTCCGCCATATTGGATTCGCCATTTGGAATTTTGAAAAACTAACGTCTGATTTGTTATCAGCGACCACAAAAACCTAAGATTACCCAGTAATACTTAAATTAAATTAATTACTTTTTTTGTACTATACACTTAAATGCGCCCTGTCGAAAAAGGTGTCACAACGCGACTTTTTGTGGGCTATTTATGTACCCTAGAGGGTCAATTATATTTGCAAAATATTAAAATTATAATTAAGAATTAAAATATTGAATAAAAGTATATACCTATAAATTCTGTAGTTTGAAAAATCGATTATATGGAAATTCTATCAAATAATTCAAACAAATGAAAATTCATCTAAAAGAAAATTCTATGCAATGAAATTCTATTAAATGAACATTGTAAGAATTGATTTATAGAATTTTTTATGTGCCCTATTATATTGATTATATATTAATTTTATTAAATGTTTTAAATATATATATATAATTTAATATATAATTCTTTTGTTTTTAATTATAGATTTTAAGAATTTAAAATGTGATCACTCGAGTTTCGATGAAATTCGTGACCAAATAGGTAAATTGGTTTCGAATATATTTATCACACTCTCAAAAATTCCACACATCAAGGACTATACATTTTTAAATTTTGGATCAATTGTACATTCTTTATCTCTTCAAAATTGTGAAATAATCGATATTGACAAACGTGCATTTATGGGCTTAAATAAGTTACAAAAATTAAGCTTAAATAATAATAATATTAGTAAAGTTCATTCAGAATGGTTCAATGATACGCCCAATTTAAAGGAACTTGATTTATCTTTTAATAAAATCAAAAAAATTGACACTTCAGTCTTTCAAAATTTATTGAATCTTCGCAATCTTAATTTGAATAATAATCAAATTTCTTGTTTGAGACCTGATGAAATGGAACCAATGAAGAGTCTTGATAAGATACGTTTCGATGGAAATTCATTACAATTTATATGTCGAGGAAAGGTAATAATAATTTTATTATTATTATTATTATTATTATTAGTTTTGAAATCCACCAATTAAAAATTATCAAGAAAATTAGGTTGGCTTATTTTGAATTAAATTTCAAAAGATCGAATTTCATAAAGTCGATTAACACAAGCCTGCAAAAAAAAAAAAAAAAATTTCCGTTGTCAGAGATCGAAAAGTCATTTCCCGCAGTTTTTGGTGCGCTGAATTCGAATCTGTCAATAAAAACCTTTTATCATGTCAGGATTTTGATAAAAGTGGAGATTAACGTCCCAAAAATCATGTTTTTGGAATTTTTTGAACATTTCTACCTGGTAAATCCGACGTGCTAGAGACTTGTCATAGGAGTCAAATTAAAGCTTGAACTCTGTACTTTACGATGATATAGCGATATTGACAACAACAAAATAAATTAGCTGTCAAAAATGGTTTTTTTAAGTTGTCAAGCATAAAAATTGACTCACACTGTTCGTAAATACAACTATTTTAAAAAATACTTAGATTCATTTGAAATTTATGGCTGTGGGATTTTCGGGGTCGCTAATTACGAATATAATGTCAGATTTTCAAAATTCAAAATGGCGGATCCAATATGGCGGACAACTTTTTAAAAAATCGATTTAATCCGACATATTAGATCCGCCATTTTGAATTTTGAAAATCTGACATATTCGTAATTAGCAACCCCGAAAATCCCAGTGCCACAAATTTCAAGTGAATCTAAGTATTTTTTAAAATAGTTGTATTTACGAACAGTGTGAGTCAATTTTTATGCTTGACAATTTAAAAAAATCATATATATAATATCTACTATATCTACTTTTATCAAAATCCTGACATGATGAGAGGTTTGTCACGTGCGCCAGAAGGTGGTTTAAATAAAAATGAATTGGCACTTAAAAATTCTTTTTGATTATGATTCTTAGATGAATAAAAAACATTTCTCAATAGTTTTTAAAATCAGTTTATGTACCCGATTTAAATAAAATTGAGTTTTTATATAAAAACAGTGTTTTATTGGGAATCAGAATTTATTTAATCTAATAAATACTGTAATAAATGATAAAATAATTACTTATTTTCAATTTTACATATAAATAATTATATTGCTGTGTAGTGTTTGTGTCCGATTTTAAAAAATTAAATTATAATGTTAAAAGAACGATTTTAAGAGTGACAAAATTTATTTAAGAGAGTCGAATGATCTCTGAAATTTTTTGGCAAGAAGAGACCTTTAATTAGCGCTCTATAAAAACGGCACTAAACGTGAAAATGATAAACATTGATTTTAAAATACTTTCTTCTCGAAAGACGGACACTTTTTACAAAAGCAGCTAGAGATCCTTATCTTATATAAATTTCCTAAATCCGAAAGATTATACGAATCCATACAAAAACACGATTGCAAAACGAAAAGTAATATAATGAGGAATTCATTACCTCCTGCCGCCGTCAGATGGCAGCAGCATGCAGGGCGCACAAAGTCGCAGCTGTTATTAGATTACTTTTCTACTTTTTGTTTTGCAACCATGTTTTTCTATGGATTCGTACAGTCTTTTGGATTTAGGAAATTTATAAGATGAGGATTTTGGCTGATTTTGTTAAAAGTGTTCGTCTTTCGAGAAAAAAGTATTTTAAAACCAATACTATTTCACGTTCAGAGCGATAATTAAAGCTCTCTTCTTGCCAAAGAATTTCAGATACCGTTCGACACTCTTAATGCATAAATATAAAAACGAAACAAGAAAATAACTTCATTGTTAATAAATTTATATGAACCCAAATCTAAAACATCTATTATCTATACGCATATAAGTATACATTAAATAAATTCTGGTTCCTCCTAAAATACTATTTTTAAATATTTAAAACTAAATTTGTTTTAAGTTGGGCACGTAAGCTGATTTTAAAACCTATTGAGAAAAGTTTTTTATTCATCTTAGAACCATAATCAAAAGGAATTTTTAAGTGCCAATTCATTTTTATTTAAACCTCCTTCTGGCGCACCGTGTTTATGTACAGATTCGAATTCAGCGCACCAAAAACTACGGGAAATGACTTTTCGATCTCTGACAACAGAAATTTTTTTCTTTATGCAGGCTTGTGTAACTATTTCAACGAATTGTTAAATGTTTGAATAACCAAAAAATAGAATAGTAAATTACAAAAAGACCATTTTACAAGTTTTTAAAATTTTTTAATTGTTTTCAAAAAAATATATTGTTTCAAAAAAATTGAAATATTTTTGAATCCATATGATTGATTGTTCAGAATCATGAAAAAAGTGTAAACAAAAATTGTCTGTGGAAAAAATAATTAAAATTGTAACAGAAGTTGAAATTTTAATTTTTTAAGAATTTCGTGCCCTATTTAAAAGATTATTAACTGAGTTATAATTTTAAAATTTTTCTTATAACATATATTTTTAAATAATAAACTTTTGAACTTTGGCTTTTCGAAAAAATAAAAATTCAAACTTTAGTAAAGTCGATCAAATAAACTTTCGAACTTTTAACATTTCGATCTGTCGATGATTCGAAAATTCGATTAAATAAAACTTTGATCTTTTGATAATTTGAATTTCTAAAAGTTGGATCTTTTGTCAATTTCACCAAAATAAGTCGACTCAGAAGTAAATTAAAAAACTGAAATGTTTTATTGTGAGAATATTTAAAAGAAATTTAATTATTCTTTTTAGTTTTTTATGATCTACGATTCAAGTTTGATAAGAATTTTTTTTTGTAACATATATTTTACTATAATTTTAGTTTTTAATTTTTGAAATTAATTTACACAGTTGACCCGCTGGTTAAAGGACAAAGGCAATCGATATACAAGTGAAGGAGATGGATTCAAATATCGAGAGGACTATCTTGATAGTTTAATTTGGAAATGTGCTATTGATCGTGAAATAGAAAATTCGGAACTTCTTATGAAGGAATGTGTCTTTTTAAATTTATACAATCAATTGCAAACGGCCTTGGTGACATCGTGTTCCTTTCCATCAACAGCATCCGAGTGTGTTAATGAGAGAAGTTCTCTTGTTCGTTGTATACAGCAAAGTGGAAATGGGAACATCAATAATGGAGAGGCTGTACGTAAATTGCTTCTAGCATTGAGGAGTGGCATTAAAACACCACGTTATATCTAATAAAAAATAAAGAGAGAGAAAGAGGAAAAAAAAGATAAATATACGAATAAAATGAAGTAGATATTAAAGCACCCAAGAGATACGAAAGGACTCTCATTATGGAGCTGTTTTATAGGATTAAAAGAAATGTGGAGCGAGCCATTACAGAGGATGCAGTCAGTCTCTCTCTCTCTCTTTCTCTTATATATAGGAAAAGAGAAAAAGTAGTTTAAACAGTTTTTTTCTTCTTTCACTAAATTTTCTCTCTGGCACTATGTAAATGTAATATATTTTGCTAATAAAATTCACGTTTATATTAATATTTATATTTTTACATTATTTGCGTTAAAAATTGGGACGCATGAAGATTGCCCACAAGTAAATTGTGATTTTGAAATAATGTAAACTTAATTTATTAGAATATTATAAAGAAAACATTAAGTTGAAACTGAGATTTCATATCGAAGAATTTTTATTTGAATGAATTCTTGAAAATATAGTATTTCTAATATATAAAATATATCTAACATTAAATGAATTCTTATTTAATAGAATTTCTATTTATCCGAATTTTTATATAATAAATTATGTATATCGAATTTTCCTTTCAACACAATTTCCATTTAACAGAATTTAAATGTTCCAAAAAATCTATTACATTAAACTTCATTTTTATGGAAATTTTGTAAAATTTAAATTCTGTTAAATGGAAATAATGTTGAAACGAAAATTCGATGAACTACACAATTTATTATATAAAAATTCGGATAAATAGAAATTGTATTAAATAAGAATTCTTCGATATGGAAATTTAGTTGCAACGTAAAGTTTTCTTTATAATATTTTAATAAATTGAGCTTATATTATTTCACTGAAAAAAATGTTGCCGAGAAATTCAACTACCATTGGATAGTTGACTAGAAAGTAGTTAAAATAACTACTTTTTTACACCCAGAGAAAAAATTTATTAGTTTTGAATAAAAACGTATATTTAAATCATTTTTATTTATTTCAAATAAATATTTTATTTAAATTAAATAAATAAATGTTTGTTTGAAATTGTCGTATATGTTTCTTACAAATAAACAATTTTATTAGTACTTTTTAAAAAGGTACATTTGTGGCAAATAAATAATATATTTAATTGAAATAAAAGTTTATTCGAGTTCAACGCAAGCATGCGCAGAATACTGTATACGATATAACTTTAAAGATGTCGGACGTAGTGAAAACGAGGTGACAGATTAACGCGACCAAGCAGTTGTTTGTACAAGGATTGATTATTATTTGATAAAACAAATACTAATTTTAGGATAATTAAAGAAATGTTTTTATTCGCAAGTGCTTATTAATTAAATCACACTTTCCTTTTATTTTGAGTGCCTTTCTCCCTGTTGTGTCTCAAATGTGAAGCAGAATTCAAATCAACTTATCATTGACACAGAGAAATGGAAATTGTTATGTTTCAACAATATCCACGGAACATACAAAAAAATAACCACGAAATGTAAAAATTTAAGATTTTCAATTTGAATCATAAATTTTAATTATATCAATTCCAGAATATTTGGCTGAATACCAGGCAATTTTGCAATTTGTCCTAAATATAAAATATATTTGTAGCAAATAAAAATTTATTTGTCTCAAATTTAAATATAAAAATTTATTTGAGACAAAGAAAACTTTAGTAGGCTCTGAGACAAATATCCATTTTTATTTAAGTCAAATACATTTTATTTAATTCAAATAAAACATTTCTCTGGGTGTAGTTAATCTAATCATGTTCATGTAGTTAATGTAACTATTTTTAAGAAGTTAATAAGTAATAGTTGATTTTACGAAAATATGTAGTTAAAGTACAACTACAGGTCGTTAGTAAAATTAACTTTCTTAAGGTAGTTAACCATCTTTGGGTATTTAAGTGAAAAGAAGTTAAAACAATTACTTTCTTAGTTAGTTTAACAATGTTTGTGTAGTTAATTTCACTATTTCTTATGTAGTTAAAAATTAGTAGTACAATTAACTTCAAAATGTAGTTAGAATTTAAAACTAACTATAAGAAATCTTATTATATCAACTACATTCTTAGTTATTTTAACTACTTTTTAGTAGTTAATACAACTTTTAAAATTGAGTTGAGGACCTATTGTACTATACAGGGTAGTTAAAAAGTAGTCAAATCTACTACTTATTTTTTTGAGTGTACATAATCGTTAGGGCATAAAATAAGCGTCAGTATAGGAGAGAGGATGAAAAAGTCAATTCTACTGATAATAAACAATTATAAATAAAAAATAATTTTATTTTCCTATTTTAAGTAGTAAAATCTACTACTTAAAGTAGTAGTTTTAATTGCAAAAGATTTATTAATTCTACAAAAAAATGTTCTTAAAGCCTATTGAACCACTTTCAGTAGTAAAGTTTACTACTTAAAGTAGTATTTTCAATTGCAAATTATTTATTAAATGTACCAAAAAAAAGGTTCTTAAAGCCTATTGAACCACTTTAAGTAGTAAAATCTACTACTTACATCTTGAGTTGTTTTAACATTTTTAAATTGAGTTAATACAATCACAAAATGTCATTCTACCAATTACATTTTTAATTGGTTTAACTATTTATATATAGTTAATAGAACCGTTTAAATTCAGTTGAGGACCTATTGTACTACTCAGAGTAGTTAAAATGTAGTAAAACCTACTAGTTTTTTTTCAGTGTTCAAAACCGACATTGACAAAAATTATAACAACTTATTTGTGGCATAAGGTTTTAAATTTGCGTTTATTTAAACGAATTTTCCATGTCGAATGGGATTAATACCGAATGTTTTGATGATTAATTAGCCTGATGAGTTTGTCAAACTCGAGTCAATAAAACGTCACTATTTTGATTTTTATTTCACTGACAGAGATCACAATTATTTCTACCCTTTTTAGGATTACGTACACCTTCGGTGTATTGACGGAACCCTTATGAAAAGATTTTTGCATTCGTCCCAGCTACGTGTCCCCCCTTGCGGCTACAGTATTTGATATAGAGAGCTGAAATTTGGTACACATATGTATTTTCACTCGTGGATTATAGGAAAAATATAGCAACCTTGATTAGAACTGACAAGGAAAGAAACCTTGTTTTTCAAAAAAATTGCAAAAAATGATCCTGACCCTCCCCTTAAATTCTAAATTTGTGTATCTGAAGAGCTGCAATTTAGTACACATACTCTCTAAATTTGAATCAGCAGAATCTCACTGATTCTCAGCTTTAAGTATACCACTGATTCTAATCAGCTTATATGCACTGATGAATTAGTGGAATATCACTGATTTTTCAGCGTATATCCGCTGATTGGTACCAGTGGTATACTTATCGCTGATTCAAATTTAGAGAGTACGTAAAACATGACCCTGTCCCCCTTTAATTCAGTAGATATTTAGCCATTATTGGATAACGTCTATGTGACCATAGAAGACAATATTTCGGGCTGAAATTGTAACACAATTTTCACATTGAGTGAAAGTGTCAAAAATAAAAGTTATGTAAAGCAGATATTTGAATGTGTTTGTTTATAATTTTAAGAATATATTTATAATTAAAGAAGAATTTATTATTGTCGGTGTACGGAAACCTCGAATTAGTGCGAGTGCAACTCGCACTTGTCCGATTTTTTTTTTTGTTTTTGGGGTCGATGATTACGGATATGATGTCAGTTTTTTAAAATTCAACATGGCGGATACAATATGGCGGAATTTTTTGTTAAAGTTCATCAAATTTGCTTAAAATTCGCGACTCGAGGAGTTTTCTTGTTGCTGACTATGAATCTAATATTAAATTCGTAATCAATGACCCGAAAAATTACCGACTAACAATTTTTAAGCGGATTTGGACAATTTAAAAAAAAAATTTGCTATATTGAAGGCGCCATTTTGAATTTTGAAAATCTGATATCTAATTTGTAATCGGCTACCCTAAAAATCTTCCAAGTAACGAGTTTTAAGGAAATTTAATTTGTTTTTAAAAAAATTTTTGAAATAATGGATCCGTTATTTTAAATTTTTTAACTGAAACTTCCGTTTCGTAACCAACTATATTTTACAAAATAAATTAAAATTAAAATAGAGACAGCAGCCCGATGAGAAATTGTAATATGTGGGTCTGATAAGGTACTGATCAAAAAATCTTCTTTTATCCTTTAAATTTTCAAGATTTGAACCTTGGCTACTATGTCCAAAGAAAAAAATCTTTTTTTTTTGCAAATACTGTCTTTTTATAGTCAAAATTAAAAAAATTTAAACCTTTGCGGTAAACTGGTTTAAATCTTAATAATCTTGACTGTAAAAGGTCATTATTTACAGAAAAAAAAGGATTTTATTCTTTGGCCGTAGTTCGCAAGCTTTCCTCTAAGGTTCAAATCTTAAAAAATTTAACGTTAAAAAAATTTAAAAATAATAGAAACTTAGTACTGTTTACATTTTTTTAAACAGGGAAAATTTTTGAGACCCTGAGCAAGGCTCCATTTCAAATATAGGACATAGTGGCGAAATTACTGCACTTAAAACTATATCTGGTACAATAATTCCATCAGTTATCCCCAACAATATTTTTCCCAAAGGAAATCTAGAAAGACTTTAACTTTGTACGGGAAGTAAAATTACATTTAATTACGTTTCATACTTAAGTAAATACTCGGTTAATTTGTAACAAATCCGTTAGATAGAATACATTTTATACTCGAAATGAGAAGACTATTACAATTTTAGGGAAATTGCATACGTTCACGCATTTGTATGCTCAATTTCAAGTTGAATATATTGTTCAGATATATATATATATATATATATATATATATAGAGAGAGAGAAATGTAAACGATGAATTTCTGTTCTAATTTCATTTATGGAACCTGTTGGACCGAATCAGTTTTGTCGTTTTGCATTGCAGGTACTTTATTAGTTCTAGTGCTTAACGTCACTTTATCCACATTTATATTTGCATATGTACATACACATATATATATATATAAAGCTTATAAACGTTGCTTTAGAATAAATTTAATTGAAAAGTTCTTCAAGTTTATAATGATATGTCAAAGAAAGCAAAAAAAGAAGATAAAAAGCTTTTCTCATGCACTTTTAAATATCCAAGAAAGAATTAGTCAAATATATTATACTGTGCTTGAGTCTGGGAATTTTTTTTTTTTTTTTTTTTTTAACAAACTGGGTACTTATCAGATTAACCTGATTCGAGTACGCTGAATTTAACAAGCGTTTGCCGTTTTTTAAAGTTAGGTCAAATTTTTTAAAATATACGTGACTTTATATTTGTGACGCGTCGCAAAGAAAGGGACCTTAGAAGCAAAAAATTATAGGATATATATTGAAATTTTGAAATGGAAATACACAAAAAGGATTAATTCTTAAAGCAAACCAATGATGTTTAAGTCTTTATTATATTTCAAATAATAAATAAAAACTGATTTTGATGTTAAATAAAGGAAAAGAAACTTTTAATCAAGGTAAAACTGTCGTAAACATAACCTACAATTCCTTTGCTTCTAAGGTCCCTTTCTTCGCGACTGTCATTGTTAATGCAATAACAATTAAAGATTGAAATTTTCTGGAGAACTCAAAAATAGTGTTGGAAATTGTTGTTTACCTAAAAAAATATATTTTTATAACTAGTTGATTAATAAAAACTACACGGAGAGACCGCCGGTTGGAAAAATTACTAAAAAGATTTACAAGTAGCGGAAATAAGGTTACTTTGTCATACAGCATACTTAATAAAACTGTAGACTATAGTAATTTCTATTCCAATTTGTGTACAATTTTACTATAGTCTACAGGTTTTATTAAGTATGCTGCTAGTAGAATTTTCGATTTCCTACAGCAATATTTGACAATGTAACCTTATTTCCGCTACTTGTAAATTTTTTTAGTAATTTTTCCAACTGGCGGTCTCTCCGTGTCCAAAGATTAATTAAAAACAGTGGATATAAAATAAATAAAAACTACAAGAAATATTTTTCAGGCAAAAAGTTTTCATTGAATCAAAGAAATTTGTGCATTGTTATAGGGTCAAAGAAAAATTTCTTTGCTCAAGGCTTGGCTTTGGTTCAAGACTTGAGTTTGGTTCAATCCTTGGCTTCGACTCAAGGCTTGGCTTAGCTCAAGGCTTGAGTTTGGCTCAATCCTTGGCATGGCTTCGACCCAAGGCTTGACTTTAGCTCAAGACTTGGCTTTGGCTCTAGGCTCGCGTTTGGCTCAAAGGTCGTGTTTGGCCAAGCCTTCAGTCAAACTCAAGCCTTGAGCCAAACTTTGAGTCGAAACCAAACCTTGAGCCTAACTCAAGCCTTGAGCCAGAGGAACTTGGTTTTTTGCCTAGTTTTTATGTATTTAACGTAGTACAGCTCAGAAGGGCTTCGTTTTTGGAGGTTTTGCTATTAACATTTTTTGTTCAGGAGGTGATGAGCTACAAAACTACAAAGTTGAAAAAAATTTGACCGGAAGATTTTTTCCCCTATAGCTTATGCGGGGTCCTTTCTTTAAATGAAAAATATGTTTTCTTCGCAAAGAAAACAATCAATACCTTCTTTCTTTGATTGAAAGAAATTTTTAATTAAGTTCAAAATATTATTCAAAGAAAAAAATTTCTATAATTCAAAATACTTGAAAATTTTTTTCTCGTAAAAGCAAAGAAAACTTTTTTAATTCAAACAAATTTCATCTTTAATTCAAAAAGTGAGTTTAAAGAAATCTTTTTTCTGGGTGTATATGTATATTTGTGTACCAAGCGTGGCAGCGCGGAACAATAATCCCTATATTTTGTTATTAAAATACGGGCTCTAAATTTTATTTTTTATAATAATTTCAAATTATATTTAGAATAAGCTTCTGTAAAGAAAATTTAATTATTTGTCTGAGAACATACTCAAATTTCAAAATTGTTTATAAATTTTTTTTTATTTATACGAGTTGTTTCTATTATTATTTGCTATTAAAATAAAAAGTTTAAATAACAATGGAATTCCCTTGGTAATTCGTTGATACACTTTAGAAAGCTTTACTTACTTACAAAAAAAAATTAAACTAAAGAACCTGCTATTTTTTATTTCTGTTTTAATTTGACCACATGAAATATTTACATAAAAAAGAAGTATATCTACATATAAAATCGAAAATAAATTGGTTTTATCAAAAATAAAACTAATAATTAAAATTAAATTTACTAAATTTTGAAAGATCTAAGGTAAAATGTATAGTGACCGATACCAGCTATTAAAAACAATAATAACCCCACTTGGAAAGATTCCCCGGAAAGTGCCCCCTGGAGGTTCTATCAGAATTCCGCCGGAACTTCCAACATAATTCCGTCGGAATTCCATCGTAGTTACAAAGAATTTCCGATTGGATTCCGACGGAATTCCAACGGAATTAGGAATCTAAAAATTTTGAAAAAAAAATTAATCGGAATTCCGTCAGAATTCCGTCGGAATCCCATTGGAAATTCTTTGGAACTCCGATGGAATTCCGACGTAATTACGTTGGAAGTTCCGGTGGGATTCTGATAGAACCTCCAGTGGGCACTTTCCGGGGAATCTTTTCAAGTGGGACTATAAAAATAATAATATTGAATTAAATATCACTAGTAAATTAATTAACATAAAATATTTAGAAACTGATACAATTGACACAAAATTTTATATGTTTATATTTTCCTCGATATTTTACTTTTTAGAAAACTAACTTCAAAAAATTTGCTTTATTGATTACAAGTTGTATAAATATGAAGAAATTGTTTAATAATTATATTTTAAAAGCAACTTTTTTTGTACATTAAATCTGAATAATAAAATTTGTGATAATATTAATAAATATCATGTTATTTAAAAAGTAGTTTAAATATTTTTCATTTTTGTTAAAAAGTGTTGTTAACTGTTTTCATACCATACATTTTTAAATTAATATTATAAACTCTTATTAAAGTGTTTTTTAATTTTAAACTTATGTACTATAAATTTTAACCTAAATATTTTATTTAAAATTTATTTTATAACTAAATCTTTAATAAATTCCAATAAAATGTAATTTAAAGTTGAAAGTATGCCCAGGGTGTCGGTTACTGTACCTGTTACCCTAGTTATACAATTAAAAATAAAAATTATTTTTAGCCATTTGTTGTGAAACAAAAATTATTTAACATTTTGTTTTTTGTTTAAGGTTGGTGAATAATTTTTATTTTTATTCATTTTTTATTAACAATATAATTCATTTTTCTCTTTGAAAGATTGTCTACAATTCTGTTTGTTAGTTTTTGTTAAAAAAATATTTGGTTTAAAAAATATGAAAAATGAAAATTTTATTTATTCAATAACTTTTAAATAAAATATTTTAAACAAAATTCAATAAAAAGAATTGTAGAGAATTTTTTACAGAGACATTGTGCTATTGTTTGTAAAAATTTGATAAAAATTATAATTCTTCAATGACTAACTTGTAACACTTGTTTTTATGTTTTTAAATTGGCGAAATTTTTGTTTGCCCATTTATGGTCTTTTACTCTCTAAATTTGAATTAGTGAGAATTCATCAGTAGAAATTTTTACTAATTTTTAGTAAAATATTATTATTTGAGCTAGTAATATTTTTTTTTTTCACTAAAGTTTTAGTGAAAATTGACTAAAAATTAGTAGAAATTTTCACTAATTCAGATTTAAAATAGGACTGTGGGACTTTGTGTATAAACTTTTTAGTTTAATTTTATGTTAATGGGTTGAACCTCCTTAAAAATGTACATTGGATTCAAAGCTAAATAGGTTTATTTTTTTTATTTTTTTTAAATAAAATGTTTGTTGGGCACAAATAAAATTTTATTTTGAGAAAAATAAAACTTTTTATTTGTTTAAAAATAAAATTTTATTTGGCGCAAATAAAAGTTTTATTTGAGTCAAATTTGAGAAAATGAATACAAGTTGGAAAAATAGCTTTTGAGAAAAATCCGAGTGAATTGTATATAAGATATTAGGGTGAATTTCTCGCATTGAAGTGAAATAATTAAATTTTATTAGATATATGTTCAATTCAAATCGAAGAAAGTTTTCTGTCTTACACAAAATAATATAGAAAATTGTACAACTTCATTTAAATTTAAAATCGTTCTAGATGAGTTTTTTTCATTTCTTTCTTTTTCTTTTTTCATATATATATATATATATATATAAATGTAAATCAATAATATGCACTCACCAGAAGAAGCACTTCCGCTTGGTCGTAATGACATGCCGATAGATGATATTTCGTCGGCGAAGAAATCTTTGTCTCGTTGTCCATCTCGATTTCTAATTTTTTTATTCGGCATATTGAAAAACGCGAATTCTTTTTGTTTTTTTTTTATTGACGAGTACAAAGAAGAGGCTTCGCTTTGTTGCAGTCTTAAATTTTATATTAACGTAGGAAAATCACGTGCGGCATGAAGTCATTTTTGCAAGTGTTATCTATTCGTTTTATTTCTTGAAAAAAATATAAATATTTATGTGTTGAAAAAAATATAAATAACATTTTTTTTTTAGGTTTTATAACAAAATTTCTTTATCGATTTCTCTTTATTTAATTATTAAAAAGCAATTTTTTTTCACTTTTATGTGATAGTATAAACTATTATATATACAGTCATAAATAAATGTTCGAAAAAAAAAATTCTGATTCACCACAATTTTTAATTAATACAGCACGGTATTGAATTCTTTTTATATTTGAAAAAAATAACTTACATACTTTCAAATTTTTATACAATATATTTTTTTTTCTACAAAAAATATGTAAAATATTTCTTTCTACAGTAGGACTCCGGTTATCCGAGCTAATGTGGACCGGACCTACCTTGGATAAGGCGAAAACTCGGATAATCCGAATTTTTATTACAATTTAACATTATTATTGTTTAAACAATTATTATTTATTACAAACGGGAAAATAATATTGTCTATATTCCATAATAATTTAAACAATTTGAATTTATTAAAAATAAACTCATATTTATAAAAAACTAAAATTAAAAATAACTCAGATGACGTAGACTACACTCAGAGATAATACAGAATTTCCTACTGGGACACCACCTCGGATAAAGCGAGCTCGGATAAACGGGGTTTTACTGTATTTTATTGTTGTAGCATTAGAGAAACAATGATTCAAGAATTTTTAACAATATAGAGCTCGTTTTCACCGTGTGGATAAATTTAATCTTCCGAGAGGTTAAAGGCAATAGATATATTCTGCGTCTGCGTAGAAGCTTTATACAAACATTCTGCGCAGACGCAGAATATATCTACTGCCTTTAATCTCTAGAAAGATTAAATTTATCAACAATGTAAAAACAGGTTCATAAAATTTTGTTTTGCTATGTTATTCTCATAGAATATAATTTTTTAAGGCTTTTTCCAATTACCCTATCTCGTAACCTCAAACTAAAAATTGGTTTTATCAGTTAACTTCACAAAACAAATTTTTTGATAAAAATTCACCGTTTTTTAAATATGATTATTTGTTTAATAAAGAAGTGCAATTTTCTTTGAATAAAATGCATTTTTTTCAAAATATCTTCCTTGTTTCTAATTACAATTTTCGTTTACAGTTTATTATTAATATGATTAAAGCAATTGATTAGAAAAGAAATAACTCGAAAATATTAATCATAATAAGAAATATAATATAAAAGTAGTTTTTGCAAGGAAGAGATGAAAATTTTGTTGATCGAAGATTCAAATTTAAAAAATGGTTTCAACCACCCAGATAGCACGGAAACTTGCAGCAAGCTTGTCTAAGTTAGCGAAATGTCCCACCCAGGGCAAGCTTGCCGTGAAAGCTTGCTGTAAGTTTTCCAGGAAAGGTTGCTGCAATCTTGACATGAAAGATTGCTACAAGATTGCTACAAGCATACTAAGAATGATTGCGGCAAGCTTGCCGTAAAAGATTGCTGTAAGCTTGCTACGTAAGGTTGCAGGAGAACTTCAACAAGCTTCTGGAAAGGTTGCTACAAGGTTGCTGCAATTTTTAAAAAATACATTTTAAATTTTAAAAAAATTTATTTGTTTTTTAAATTTGAAAATCTTTGTGACGTTTATTATTATTAATTATGTCCTGTTTATTTTCATTTGGAAACTTAACGAGAAAATGTTCGAAACAAATTTGAGGGGACTGGGAATTGAACCCGGGTTTGTTGAAGTTCTCCTGCAACCTTACGTAGCAAGCTTACAGCAATCTTTTACGGCAAGCTTGCCGCAATCATTCTTAGTATGCTTGCAACAATCTTGTAGCAATCTTTCATGGCAAGATTGCAGCAACCTTACCTGGAAAGCTTACAGTAAGCTTTCACGGCAAGCTTGCCCTGGCTGGGACATTTCGCTAGCTCAGACAAGCTTGCTGCAAGTTTCCGTGCTATCTGGGCACTTAGGTTTTCGTTTGAATAAATGAAACATTTATCTACACGATCTGCATGATTTTTAAGTTCATTTTTTTTATCTAAATAATTTAAATTTTAAAAATAAAAAATGTTTATCATTGGGGGCAAAGTTAAAAATGAAAGTCTCCATTACCTTTAGATATGAAAGTTTTCTAACTTCCCTACTGAAAATCCCTGTATAAGATCTTGTACAACTTCCTGTACAGGATCAGCAACTGAACTTGTACAAGTTCTGACCAGTTCCTGTACAGGAAAATGCATACGAATTTGGAACAAGTTCATGTGTGAGATCTTGTACAAGATCTGGTGCAAGATCTTGTACAAGAAAGATGCTTGCACAAGAAAATGTTCATGTACAATTTCATGTATACATGAACACGTCCATGTTCTTGCACATGTTAATTCATGTTTTTCTTTACTAAAAATTAAAAACTTCAAAGGCTGCGCAATAGTTTACTTTAACCTTTACAGCTGCGCAATAGTTTTTAGCATGCATGAGTTACGAATCTTAGTGGTTAAAAATTATCAAAATCTCAAATTTTATTAAAAAAAAAAATTTTACAACTATTTCATGTGCAAGAACATGAACGTGTTCATGTACAAGTACTTATACATAAAATTGTACAAGATCATGTACATTTTCTTGTACAAGTATCTTTCTTGTACAAGATCTTGCACCAGATCTTGTACAAGATCTCACACATGAACTTGTTCCAAATTCGTATGCATTTTCCTGTACAGGAACTGGTCAGAACTTGTACAAGTTCAGTTGCTGATCCTGTACAGGAAATTGTACAAGATCTTATACAGGGATTTTCATTAGGGTTCAAGCTCATCAAATGTCAACAAAAATGTAAACCTTCTTTTTTACCAAAACATGTTTCTTTTGTGATTTCTTATTATTGTTTATATTTTAATTATAAATATATGTATTTTTTATAACTGATTTTTTTGACATTATTTTATTAACTTTAAAAAAATTATAAATTTTTGGTAAATATAAAATCAACATTAATATATTTCATTATATTTTCGTGCGGTTATTTAAATTGTTTTACAATTTGAATAGAAGGTAAAGTAGACTTTTTAATGAAACATAGTGAAGATTCGAATTCAAAATGTGAGGTTAAAAATACGCGGGGAAAAGCCGTTTTTTGCATCTTCTTGAAAATAATTAAATTAACCAGGGTGTCTAACGGTCAGGGAAAGTCAGGGAATTTTGTTGGTCAGGGAAAAGTCAGGGAATTTCAGAAAATTTCGTTCAAAGTCAGGGAAATTTATGTAAATTTCTACAAAAATTAAAATTTTTTGTGAATTTAAAAATTTTTTATTCTAAAAAAACTTGAATGGTTTTTATTACCATTTGTTACTATCATTAGAAATTAATTTATTTTTAAATATGTCAGTAACCATATTTTTGTCCAAAGAAACCAGAAATAAGGTTATTAAAAAGTCAAGGAAAAATCAAAAAATGTCAGGGAGGAGTAAGGGAATTTTTTTCTCAATCCTTGTTAGATCCTTGTTTTAAATTAATTAGAAAAAAATCACAAATTAATGGTGTAATAAAGAAAATATTTATAAATAAACGTTACATTAGGGCCTTTGCCCCGCTCTCCCCTACATATCGAGCTTTCGTATATTTATTTTTCGATAAAAAAAACGAAAAACCGTTAAAGTGGTCTCAACTGGTACTTCTATTATTTTATTTTCTATAATCTAGCAAGAGTAATACCTTAAATTCTTTTTATTCAGTTATATTTCTAAATTTTCTTTGTTACGAAAAACAATATAGAACAGTGCGATTGATCTTTTATCTGAAAAACAAAAAAAAAAAAATATCTTTCAATCAAAGAAAATTGTTCTTCCTTTAAACGTATCTCTTGAACTTTATTTCTTTCTCAATCAAAGAAGTGAATTTTATGGAATGAAATTTTTCTAAATGTATTTTATTTTTTGTATTGTCAACGATTGAGAATTGTTCGTTTCCTCTTATAAAACATATATATATATATATTGTATAAATATATATAGAAAAAGAACGGCCTCTGTATAGCGAAAATGAAATAAAATTTTGTGCCAAGTCCACTAACATGACCTGAGATAGACTCTTGACCTTTTCCCTGCGGATATCCTTCACTGACATTATTTCGTATACTAACGATCCTTTCGCGGCAGTAGTACAAAACAAGGGATGCGGGGTGTGAGGATATGTGTGTCACACATACTCATGATTATACATGAGAGGGTGATTCGTGTATTATATATATATATATGTATATGTACATTTAGGTATATACAAAGAGGTGGTCTAAATCGATTGTTTCGTTGCGCTCATAACACATACCACTTTAATTTTATGTCAGTAATAAACAAACTTGCATTTTCCTTTCGAAAAACATTTCTTTTGTAAAACAATATAATTTCATTTCCTTTCAGGAGAATTATTCTTTTTTTTTTCCTTTAAATACTTATTGAATAAATTTTGTTATATTATTTGGGGGATAAAAAAAAAAGTACGAGTGGAATTGTTTTTTTTCTTCTTTTTTTTCCCCTCTGCTCGAAATTATTTGTGTCACGTATAAATTTCACGAATTTCCATTGAAATGAAATATTTTCACGACATGAGGTAAAAATATTCAATTTATCAAATTTCTTTTTTTTTTACATTTTTGATAGTGGGCGCATCTTTGTTTTTTTTTGGTTTGTTAATTGAATTGTTGAATTTATTTATTTAATATTATTCGATGGAAAAATAATAGCTATTGAGATATAGGTGAATGAATATGAATAATGTATTTATGTTTTTTAATTTCTGTATTTTTTTTATTATAAACGAAGTAGAGAAATGAGGTTCGTCATTTTTATTGTTTAGCGAAGAAAAATTTAATTTGTTATAACTAAAGAATAAATTGAATAAATAAGATATTAGTTTAAGTAGTTTGGGTAGTCTCGTAGTCAAGTGGTTAGCGTTCTCGACATGCGTCCTGAAATTTGAGGGTTCGAATCTCAGTGGAGTATTTGATTTTTTTTTACGATAAATATTTATTA